ACTAAATTGTCAAATGTAGCATTTGATTCTGACACAAATTTAAAAGAGTTCCATAAAGGTGGCAAGTTTAGTACATGTTTGCCATTAGAGCTGTTAATGGGTGTATTTGAGGATTTTAATAAGGTATTAGTAAATGTCAAACAAGAATTGGTGTTGAAAAGATCCAAAAATGATTTGAATTGTATATTAACAACCACTAGTGCTCCAGCCAGTGGCACTGCTGATACGATTCCCAAAATTACACTTAACTCTATTCAATGGGTCATGCCACATGTGATACCATCAGATGGAGAGAAGTTACAATTACAAAAGATGTTATTGCAAAATAAAAATTTGCAAATTGCATTTAGAAGTTTAGAGCTGCATGAACTTCCATCATATCCCAATACCACAAGACATACATGGTCAGTAAAGACATCTTCAAGTTTGGAGAAGCCTAGGTATATTATATTTGGTTTCCAAACAGCTAGGGACAATAGTGCACGAAAAAGAACTGATGAATTTGATCACTGTAAATTAAAAAATCTCAAAGTATTTCTAAACTCTGAATATTATCCTTATAGTGATTTAAATCTTGACTTTGAAAATGGAGATGTCTCTAAAGCTTATGAGATGTTTATGAGGTTTAGAGAGACTTACTATAATACTATCCCAGATCCTATGATTAGTAGGGCTGAGTTTATGAAGAAATATCCACTAATTATAATAGACTGTTCTAGACAGAATGAAACAGTGAAGGAAGGAATTGTTGATATTAAATTAGAGATTGAAACTGCAGACAATGTACCAGCAAATACATCTGCATATTGTTTGATAATACATGATAAAGTGTTTGAGTACAATCCTTTGTCAAATGAGATAAATAAAATGTAAATAAAAGATGAAAAACATTCAACAAGAATTGGTTGACTCTGCAAATCAAATACGAGAGAAATATAGAGCTTTAAAACGTGGCAAGTTTCTAGAGGCTGAAGAGAGGTTCCAAACATTCCAACCTTTAATAGAGCCATTACAAGAATTAAAGAAAATCACATCAGAGAGGCCTCGAATGGAGATACTCCCAATGACTCCATCTAGAATATCAATGATACCAAGATTACAACCATTACAACCATTACAACCATCCACCCCACAGAAATTAGATTTTGGTCTTTTAGCATAGACTATTTAGGAAATTACCTCAGTAAAAGTAGTATGACAGACACTACATATGGTATTAGACGAGAAGCAAATAAATTTTTTATTGGAAATAAGGAAGTTGATATTGGTAATGATGATGTTACAGTTGCAAATAAAACCTACAAGGGGACAAAAGGTTTATGGGAATTGTTAACGTTAAAAGAACCTGAGAACTATACTCAGGCTGATTTGCAAAATTATAAAGAGATTTTGGAAGCTACAAATGGACATTTAAAGAGTTACAAAGATGGTGCACCAATTTCAAGTAATAGACATACTAAATATCTTAATATAATTAAACCTCTATTTAAATCTGTTGGTGAAGGTTTGAGACAAGTGACTGGTAATAAAATAGACTATATTTATTGGGATGATCCTAATGAGCTTGTAGATAGGTTAAGACTTCTTTGGCTAAGTCGCCAAGCCGGTAACTCAGGAGTGGATAATGAAATAGATTCCATTATTGAGGAATTGAGAGAAAGTGGAATTATTTATTAAATAAAAATATGTTTATAGATAAATTTTATCGTTTATATAATCCATATAATAAGCCTGCAGAACCCAGGGCGGCAACCATGAGTAGTGAACCTACTTTAAATTTACAAGATGATAGTTGGAATTGTTTAAACCGTAAAATTGGTAATGTTAAAGATGGGGAGTTTGTAGATGATGTATCAACTTTAGGACAGACATTAACTAGAAAAGGTGATGTCTTTTTACAAGGTAAAACTAAATATGAGTTTTTAGAATCTAAGAATAAAAAGTGGAATGCTAAAAAACAGAAAATTACTAATGTGGAAAAGGGTGAAAGTTTAGATGATGTGCCCACTTTACAACAGACTTTAATACGAACAGATGGTGGTACATTTGTACAAGACAATAAAAATTATGAATTTTTAGAATCGGAGAATGGTGTTTGGAATGCTAAGAAACGGAAAATTACTAATGTAGAAAAGGGTGAAAGTTTAGATGATGTGCCCACTTTACAACAGACTTTAATACGAAAAGAAGATGGTAAATTTATACAAGATGATAATAATTATGAATTTTTAGAATCAGAGAATGGTGTTTGGAATGCTAAGAAACAGAAACTTAGCAATTTGATAGAAGGTACAGATAGTAAAGATGCTGTGAATGTTTCACAAGTTCCAAAAATGGAAGCAGGCTATTGGAGTTTTTATAATAAAAGGTTAGTACGTGTTAAACCTGCCATTGATGAAACTGACTGTGTTATAAAAGAACAGACTATAACTTTTGATAAAAAAGAAAAATGTTGGGATGCCAAAAAACAATTTATAAGAAATCTACCAGAGGGGGAACATTCGGATGATATTTGTCTAATGTCACAAGCTATGCATTACGATGGATCAAAATTTGTATATGGAGAAAAAATTTTTAATTTGATGGAATATAATCCTGATTTATTAGTTGCTGACCCCACATCTTTGAGTGGATTTAAGTATATAGATAATAGACCATATATACCAGAAAACTATGTATTTAAAAGAATGGAAGATAATCTATTGATTGGGGCTAATGGTGATGTATTTAGAGTTACAGGAAAGGATGATGTTATAAAAAATGAATGAAATTGCATACGAACTTCATAAGCCTGCAAGAAAGAATTTCATTAGAAGGTCTTTTAAAGTATTGGGTATAAACGAAACTGTACAAATAGATTTAATTGATATGCAAAACTATGCTAGAGAAAATTCTGGCAATAAATATATTTTAACTTTAATAGATACATTTTCTAAAAAAGCTTATGCTGCTCCACTAAAGAATAAGACAGGGTTGGTGGTTACAGAAGCCATTAAAACCATTCTACCAAAGGGGGTTAAAAACATTCAATCCGACAATGGAAAAGAATTTTTTAATCAATATTTTAGCAAACTAATGAAAAAATTAAATATTAATCACTATCACACATTTTCTACAACTAAGGCTGCAATTGTGGAGAGGTTTCAGAGAACTTTAAAGAATTGGTTATATAGAGAATTTAGTGCTCAGGGGAGTTATAAATGGTTGGATTTACTTCCAAAGTTAATTCGAAAATATAATAATAAAGTGCATAGATCTATAGGAATGAAGCCTAACCAAGTGAATATTAAGAACAGTAAATATGTGCATGAGAGGTTGCATGAAAGGACTTCTAAAGTAGTGCAAGTTAAAAAGCCAAGATATAAGGTAGGTGATAGCGTAAGGATTTCCAAGTATAAACATGTTTTTAGTAAAGGTTATACTCCGAATTGGACAGGGGAACTATTTACAATAGTAGAAGTTAAGAATACAAAGCCTGTGACTTATATCTTGAAAGATGAAAATGGTAATATAATCAGAGGAGGCTTCTATACAGAGGAGTTGTTAAAGACCAAGTATAAAGACATGTATTTAGTAGAAAAGGTAATTAGGAGGAAGGGTGATTTATTGTATGTCAAATGGCTTGGGTTCCCAAGTAGCCAGAACTCATGGATTTCCACAAAGGATGTCCAAGGGAGCATGCCCGCGACCAGGAGCGCGCCCACGCCATGAGCCGAGTTCGCACATACATGAAATATAATATATCAACTGGAAAGGGGAATGGTAGATGTACTAGCAATTGTGCATGGGGCAGAGGGGAGTGGTGAGGGGGTGAGGGGGGGGGGTTGGCCCAAAAACCTCGAACCACAAAAAACGGCCGCGACAACCTATACTACTATACATATACACATACATGGGTCAATAAATGATTTTTTTTTTATTTTTGCTTAATATCGAATATATTTATGGGGAATAACTAAGAAATAAGGTTTGACAATTTTTATAGGGATTTGCAGGCAAAGATCAGGATTTTAGATTTGGTGGCCAAAAATAATCCCCATAAGAATAACATGGGAAAAACGTGTCTAAAGTGAGGTAAAACCGGCAGTTCTCCACTACTAGTTGCTCAAATAGATGTGAACAGCAGCCTTGTCAATTTCAGCTCTTCCAATTTTCAAACTTGCTAAAAGGTTATAACAGCGTATTGGAACTGTTTCAGGGGGTTCCATGGTCCATTTCGGTTTTATCAGCTGATTCCAACAACTGCTCTAAATACATAGTCAAGTATTCTTCATCCAATGGTTTATAATTAATTTTCTGATTTATACTTTGACTCTGAATTTTTACTCTGTTACTTTTATTTTATACTCTGATATACGCATTTTGATATATAGCTACCAATAGCTACTGATATATGCAGCTTTGTATATACTTTATCTTACGTTATCTGGTCCACTCAATCTATTCGTTTCCATAAGGGTTTAAATTTTCAAATGCCACATAATAGGCAAAACTACTCGGAATAGTGTTGCGTTGTGAAGAACGCTACTTAAAAACGCCTAATAAGGTACCTATTCACAGCGTTCCTGAACAAGGAGTGGCATCACATTTCATTAAAACCATTTTGAATCACTTTCAGGTCATAATATATTTTTCCAAGACAAAAAAAATTAAACCAATCTCTTTTCACACAAATAACTCTTATGTACCTTCTTCGACCTGGTACCATAAATTACACAAGTTGTGAATTAACTTTAAATACAATATACTTGCACTAATTCTTCTGCAAAAAGATTCTAAACAAAACTTATCAAAATCTTATCGTAAAACTAAAACCAATGCGCTTTACCATTGAAATTCAGCATCGACTAATGTAAAAAAAAACGGGTAATCTACCAGGAACCATTAATGGGTGACAGCCTTTTGGGAGAGGTAGTACTAAATAATAAAGTGAAGTGTTATATTTGTTGGAAACATTACATTTCCTGTTAACATAATCAGTTTTTTCAGTACGATTTTACCCGTTCCAGAGTGTCCAAAGTGGTTGGGTCTATCCTGTGAATAGTAGGTGATTCTGTGAAGCAGTAGAACTCGTCTCCGAAAGGGTACACTGAGATCATCCCGTTGTCTGATAATCCTTCGCCAGGATCGAACAACGCAGAGACCCTTAAGTGGGCAGAACAAAAAAATACTAAAATAGTGTAGCCTACACGTTTATTTAGTTGTTATCTAAATTAATAGCTACGCATTATAGTTTCGGCTCTTACATTACAAATATATATGTATATATTTAGAACTAAGCAAAATTTTACATTATAAGTGTGGGAACCGTTGGTGGCAGTTAGATTAATGCATCTGCAATACTAAAAGGCTATGGGAAGGGAGGAAAACAGGTTTACGTTGTAGGAAGTGGGGAAGGAAGTGGTAAAGGTGAGAAGTTCTGAGTGTAGGAACAGTTTGTGGCAGTCAGATTAATGTGCATGCAATACTAAAATGCTGAGGGAAGGGAGGGAAACAGTTCCACGTAGGAAGTGGCAATGGAAGTGGTAAAGGCAAGCGTGCGGAGTGTGGGAACCGTTTATGGCATTTAGATTCATTAGTTAGATAAACATATATTGGATTTTTGATCAATTTTAGGTGATATTATAGCGCTATCGTTAGTATGTGTTATATATCATCATTATAAGCCATACGATATTTTTAAGAAGACTCCTTTACACCGTACTGTGGCAATTAGGTTAAGTGAGATTAGTTCAGTTTGGTTTAGTTTAGTTTATTTTAGGCGTCATAAGAAATAAGGAAATAGGCTTCATTTAACCAAAATACGTTATGTACAGGAACAATGGATTTACCTCCTATCGATAACTGTTGGAAATCCATTACGTATTTTACCAATGAATTTAGTTAATTAATGGACGAGAAGTTAGGATTGTTGTTGACTGAGATTTGGTTTATTTGCCCATACAAATAACATTGTGTTCACCAGTGACACTGGTAAGATGTAGGATATGTTGCGCCCACGCCGTGTTGTCACTCATCCCGTTACGCGCAGAATAAGCGTACTACATACTAGTTTTATGTTAACGTCGTCCCATGGAGCCGCGATTAAAACAGCAGCACACAATTAGTCACGTAATTGTCTATATCCCTGCTCGATCGTGTTTTCCACAAAATAACATATCCTTAAACCCACTCAATGTGGCAAAATCATCAGTTTAAAATTTCCACAATTCGGAAGACGTTTTTACTTTTGTCTTTTGTAGTAAGGAAGTTCTCATCAGTTAACAAGTAAAATAATATTATGACTTATATTATACAACTAACAGAGTACCCGTCCTTCGTACGGGGTTGGCATATAAGTATAAAATTCTTATTGCAGTTATACTCAAGCTTTGCGTTTGCAATGGGGGAGGACAAATTTGAAGAAAATTGTTTAGCCTACTGTAATAAAATTTAAGGTATACTATAGTATTACACATCTACCATGGCCATAGTGTTCTACCACTTCATCTAAACAACAGATACGGATAAATTATTAACAATTCACAAAATATTACAAATTATTCATGAAAATAAAAACATAAACATAACTGTAAACAGTCCTACTTTGGCAGTTCTCATTGCATGTAACAGTTTTTTGTTGCTGCTTAGTTCAAATAGTCAATGGTTCAAATTGTATTCATAAAAGCAAAAAGAATTATAATGCTACACCCAGTTGGTAAATCTTATAACTCTTAATGCTTTTGCATTTCATAGAACCACCTTTTTTAGTTAAAACAGCTGACAAAATTATTTAATCCCCTTTAATTATGAATACTCATAAGGTTAACATGGGGAACTACAGAGCCACTGGGGCGGAGCCCGAAAGGATAATTAAGATACGAATATGCCTATACTTTAATTAATCAGGAATGTGAGCTATCCTCACACCAAATTTCAGCCCAATCCGTCCAGTAGTTATGCGTGATTGAACTTCAAACAAACAAACAAATAAACAAATAAACAAACAAACAAACAAACAAACTTTCACATTTATAATATTAGTCAGATTAATTACTGGTGTTTTAAATTATTACTCGGCCTATAGTACAACTTTGAACTGCCAAAAACTTGTTTTAACTTATCTTTAAAGCTAAGAATGTATACAAAACAAAATTATAAATATACGCTTTTACTATTACGTATTTGTACATAAGATAGAAATGAAATTATCTGATATATTACGAAGGTAGTCATTCAGTCAAATAACAGTATCTATACTTTTCAGTCCAGTGACTAGCCTCAGTGTAATTCTTTATTTTTAATATATCAACGTTTCATACATGAATGGAGTCAGACAAGCATTATCTCAATCTTTGATTGTTTTCTTTGTCTGCTCTAAACTGTCTGTTCAACGCAAATGGGTAAATTTTTTATTCTTGTTCCTAAATGGATGAATCATATAAACTTATGATATGATTTTGGTATATAAATTTAGGTAGGATTCTTATTACTTATCATCAACACTTTTTTCACGCCCCTTACAGCACTTAATTATTTCCAAGAACCAAGACTGCAGTTACATACCTCTAGGTCACAATACAGAGTCAATTTAGAATATTTATCTCTTCACTATAAAACTCGTCAAAGATAATTAATTCGTGTCCAGAGTTCAGATCAGTAAAAATAAGTATGGGAATAGTAAAAAAAGGTTTTCCTACAGTTACCTAACAATGTACATGTTCTCTCACTGATTTGAGAAAGCAAAGTGGCCAATTCACTCATCAGTGAGACAATGTTAACATTGTCTCACTCTAAATACTTTGTCTCACTCCAGATTTGCAACGTGAAGGCACGAAATAGTGAGCGCATAACATGCAGACAAGGTTGTATGCGCGCGAAATACGTTGGCAGCACTGGCTGTAAATCAGCTGGTCAGCTGTTGTACTGTTGTATTTGTCACTTCACATTAAATGTTATATTAAAAGTTCACTTCTGTGTAAAAATAGGTTATGTTTCTTCACCAATTTATTTGTTTTATGGTAACTGTAGGAAAAGTATAATGTGCATCTCGAGTTCAAAGTACAATTGCCTCACTCGAGAAACCATTCCTCACTCGCCTACGGCTCGTGAGTAAGGATTTCTCTCGAGTGAGTCAATTGCTCACTTTTCTCACTAGTTGCACAAATAACTATTGTAACACCCTGTAAAACAATCATTAAGTTGTCACTTAAGGGCTACATGAGTCAAAAATTCGCCTACCTCTTGAAGATAGTTTGGCACGGATCCGGTACCGCCTTGGTACCAAACTCGTTGACCACGATACGGTTGGCGGCGTGGTTCTTGATGTAGGTGTTGGACTTGAGGAAGCGGCACTGATAGGTCACTTCTCCGTTTTTTATAGCAAACCTAAAAAAATGTAATTGCTTTTATATTATTGCACCCTTTTCTACCCTTTTCTTATGATGTTTTAAGAGGTTGGCTGCCTCTTTCAAACTTGCATTTGACCGTACAATTTGGCTGCGGACCTGTGTGTGGAACGTATCCAGCAATACTATGAGTGAACATGTACGGTACTAGTAGGGTGAAGTGTATTGATAAAAATAGTGGCAGGGGCCAGGATCTAAACCTACGACATCCGTTTCTTTTGCGCCAGAAGTCCGAGGCGCTACCGACTAAGCCTCACGAGTGAAACACTAATAACAATTATTGTAAATATACTGGAAATGAATTACTCTTTAGTGTTTACAATAGCATTTATGCAATCATGGTTATACCAACTGCCACTGAAGCTGCAAAGAGTGAAGCCAAATTCTGAGTGACTAGACATACACTGTAACCTCTGTCTACCTGAGGACTGGCAAATTGTTTAGAAGGTAAGGATACAGGTTGCATCATACATACTATCAATTAAAAGAGTCCTACCTATGTAGAAGTGCAGAGGAGTCGAAGAGATGCTGGAACGTCATGTCACCAACCCTCATGTTTCCTGGACCATTCCTGAGAAGAGTTCCCTTCAGCCAAACCGGGATCATGCCTGTCCAACATCATGTCTATAAATATGGCTGAGTAGGTAAGTGAGTACTGTATAGGCATCTAGTAAGAAGGTTGTTGGTTGAACACTGAGAAAAGTAGCTTGGTAAGTTTGAAACTGACCCAGCTGCCCTTAATCGTGGGGCTTTTCATGGTCTGGATAAAAAAAACAGCTGGTATTAGTCAGTAACATTCACATTCGGTTAAACTACGCAGAATTGTGCCCCTGTCTCAATGCAATTGTGTGAGTAATTATAAACACCTGACAACCCTCCAGCACTGTAAACATTGATTTTTAACTGTCTACCTTGTATGCATGCTATTAATTACGTTGCTGAGTTTCATTTTACTTTCTCCCCATATACATGAAATGGAGAAGTACTGTTTTCGTTCAAATGTTCTAATTTGAGTTTTGGATGGAAATATCCGTTTTGGGTCCCCTAAACCCAACAGAAGTGGATATTGAAGTGGAGTCTGCGTGTGTGTGTGCACAAGTGGCACGATTTAGATGAAATTTGGTATGTAGGTATTAATTCATTGTAACTCCAGGCTTTTTCATTTGTATGACATTTTTTACGGTGATTTTCCCATATAATCCATAAAAAAATCAAATTTTCTCAAAAACGGTTCTAACAAATTTAATTGAAATTTGAAATGAAATGAAAAATGAAATGAAAAACGTCTTTATTTAGCCAGCGTTATTCAAAGAACAGTTCTTTGGTTTTCAATACAACTGTTGTCAAACTAAACGTAATTGGTCAGCTTATACTAGACTTATTGCAACAATACATTTTAGATCATTTGGTATGTTATACGTTTGGTATGTCGGTATGTTATCAACTCTAAACGAATCGGTACAACCTCAATTGATGTATAATTACGGTTCAAAGGTTTTTGTAATTTATGTGATTTTCCCACAAAAACCCATAAAATAATGTGAAATCTGATTTTAACAAAAACAGCTTGACCAATTTTAAATTAAAATTAGTAAGTTATGGTCCTCATCACTTAAAAAAAGATTTCCAGCTGCATTAGATAAAAAGCTAAATAAATAGCGGAGTTAGTTGACTCATCTGTGTGGAGTTAAACCGTCTCGTAAGTAAACTTTATTAAAGGAGTTTTAATAAGGTGAGTTGAATAATCTAACGTTCATTGTCAAAACTAATAATTAATTCAAAACATCTTTATCCGTCAACACCAATCTGTGTTTTCCCGGGAACAATTGAAAAACATTTAATTGTTTTAGTATGACACGTGTAAAGCTTTTGATTCTTTTAAACGTATTGTCTTTTAAACGTATTCCAGACATGTGTCATAAGCAAATCCCCACATCAACATAGTATTCTAGTATTTCATGGAAAATCTAACAACCCTTGTGTCAAAACAATGCTCTCGTTGCCTTGAAACTCGTCGTGTTCTTGTTTTGTGTGGTTTATACAATTCTTTTTTGTTGTCACTTCCATTCAAAATCACGATGTATTCATGGCTGGAGGGCAGAATCAGAATGATGCTTCAAATAAATAATTTTCCTAAAATCTTTTCGCAGGGGTTTTTCCTCCACAGTTGTATGTGAAAATAACGGTGATCGTGTCAATTGTTGAATTTCCTTCATATGCTAAAATATTCTCCTGCCCATCCGACATCATACACTAATTCAGGAATAATTCTAATATTCAGCTCCAATGACGTCAATGACAAAAACTTTGAATCTTTTTTTTAATATAGAAGTATTACAAAAAAAATGTGGTGTTTAGCTGCATGCACTATTCACTGAGGGAAACTAGGTATTCATTGACATAACCACAGTATCCAAAAGCATTCACATGTTAACGGGTCTTAACAGGAGAATACAATTGTTTTGTTTCCACATCGGTTGGATAATTTACAAGAACATGTACGTACACTGTACAAAGTTCATAAAACCATAATAACACACCCTCGATGAGAATATGTGTAAATGTAAGTACCAGTTGTTTCTAACCATACAATATACACTATGCAAATTTTAACTTTATTTTCACTTTGTCTACTAACGTTAGAACTGTTATTATTTCCTTGGAATCAAATCCACCATTTCATTTTTTACTGGCTACCACTTAAATTTAATATCATTCTACCTAAATTTAAATAAAAATCAAACTATTTTTATCTCACTGTATGTCATGAGTCGGAAAATGTTCAGATAAAATATCTTAAAGTCAAACACAAATATAACATTACGGTACCTTTAGAAAAAAAAATGTTTATCGTATTAGAATATCAACAGAAAACTACGTTACCAATGTTCGAAATAAATTACACTCAAGATGGTTCAAAAATATTTTTATCCAAGCCATATAAATTATGAGTTTTGTTTCAAATATAAATAGAATATAAAAGGCCCAATCAAATGTTTATGTATTGTAACACTATAAATACTCTAGTTTTACACAACCATTACGAAAACCATTACGATTTTAGGTCAATTTGTTAGCTTTTTACCAAATGAATTTTAATCCAACCACATACGAGTTGTGTAGTAATTAAACGCCAGGCTTGTCTTGCAATAAAATATCAGGGATGAAATTTTACAAATCATTAAAATATGCAATTAATTGATGTAACCTCATTTATTTATATGGGTTCTGTTATTGGAATGCTGAATAGTAATTGCTGATTATTTAAAATAGATCGGGTTTCACATTATTTTAACGAGGACATGATTTAAAGTTTGAGTCTTGTTGAAAAGTCTTAACATCAGTGGAACATGGTACTCCATGATATTTTTTGAAATAGCTTACATTGAAGTAGTATTCCTGTACTATCCTACCTGTGGTCTCTCCACGGATAGGTTCTATGATCTCCTTTTCGCAACTTCTTAACCAGATGGAATTGTCACAGTTAGGGTACAGAACCTAGAAAACAAGTTGTTTTCATAATATTATGATGCTAAATATGTCATACCATTGGCGTCATACTTTTTAATAATTCTTTTATCTTACCAAATGACTTAAGTCACTTATACTAAGTAGTTCGCTCGTTTAATATCTGACAGTTTTTTACCCTTTTGTTACTACCAAGTAGTATACAAAGGGGCTTCTCGATTGTGTTGAGTTATTACAGCTGTTCAGTATTCATTAAAAGCAGACCAGATGATCATTGTGACAGAGTGAGAGAGGGAGTAGATTACACAATCCATATGGTAGCAACAATTCGACAATAAAAATTAATAAAATGTAAACATGCCTTTTTTCCAACTGCATTATTACCTTCATCGTATTTGTTGTTTTGCGTAGCTGTGTTCATTCTTTTCGCCTGTTATTTTGTTTTACTAAATTAACTCTTTTTTTTTGTGCATGTCTAACCTATTAACCCCTAAAATTTGGATGTAGATTGCGTATGTGTGTAGATGTGTATAGATTGATAATTTTATAAATAGGTAGATTTTTACTTTAACAACAGTGCATTGTTTCTCCTAGCTCACATTTACTAAACAACGGTTGTTTTGACCAGTTTTTCTTTTCTTTTTAGTTTTCTTGAGATTCCTGTATACATCCTGGTCTGCTTCCTCCGTTACAGTAAACTAAAAATCTTAATATCCATATGAAAACCGATGAGGAGAAGAGAAGATACGGCAAATAAGTTGCAAAGGCATCAAAAGTACAAATGTTACAAAAGATCAAAGGCATCCAAAGCACAACTAATCACAGAATAGTTCAGACTAATGTCAGATCTTATTTACTGTTGTAGGCATGTGGAGAAGGCAGGTCTTTACCCTTACCTCTAAGGCTATCTATACCAATTCTTTTAGTTATGCTTGATAACAAATTGGTGTATCTAAAAAACGGTAATTTACATCAGCGCTCTCTTTCGGTAGATCATTTTGACTACATTTTTATTCTAACGCCCCAATTTCAACATGGGAGAAGAATGTCTACTTGTACTCATATTTTGTTTACCTCTCCGTTGCGCATCCTCCGCCTGAAAAGTTCTCGGTCCTGGGCCACGGCGTTGTCCAGGGTGGCTCGGATACTCTCCACGGTGACCGCTGGGCAGCGCTCCTCCTGGGAGTCTTCCACATCCTCCCCAGAATCCTCCATTTCTTCCACACACTCTGGACTGTAGTACCTGGTAATGGAGCGATGGATGAGAATTTCATCACAACTTATTGTAAAAAAAAAAAATGATTTTCAAGTTGCAATTCTTCCTACAGTCAAGTAGCAATTTCCCCTACAATCAAGTAGCAATTCGCCCTACAGTCAAGTGGAAGTTCTAGCAATTTCCCCTACAGTCAAGTAGCAATTCCCCCTACAGTGAAATAGCAATTCCCCCCACAGTCTAGTAGCAATTCTCCCTACAGTCAAGTAGCAATTCCCCCCACAGTCAAGTAGCAATTCTCCGTACAGTCAAGTAGCTATTCCCCAACAGTCAAGAAGCAATTTTCCCCACAGTCAAGTAGCAATTCTCCCTACAGTCAAGTAGCAATTCATCTTCCAGTAATTCCAGCCATCTATTCATTGCGAGTCACATGCCACTTCAAATAATGTCACGCTCGTTCGACCTGTGTTAGAGTGTAAAAGGGTGAAAAAGAAAGACTGCCAAGGTGCTATACCTGTATACTGACGAATATACGTTTAGAATACCCCACCGCAGCAAACCTGCAGACTAAGCGAAGTTCTATTTACCTAACTGGATTTCTACAAAAATATTCCTTTAAAATTGTCAGATTCTATCCATTCATCTGAACCATCCATACATTCATCCATTCATCCGTCCACCCATCCATCCATTCACTAATCCATCTATTTATAATTATCTGCTACGAGCCTACCACATAATAATCATTTCACCAATTCTATCGTGTAAAAATGTTTAACTCCCTATACTTGTTACGTTGAACTATGTTTTGATTAGATTTAAGAATGCACTTGATTCTTAAACAGAGCCGAAGACCGACGCCGACGCTGTATCAAATGCTCGTATTTCATCAGCACAATCCAACGTTTTGATATAGTTTCAGTATGTAATAGGACGTTGCACAATTTTTATTTCAGCCGTGGTTTTTTGATACGGATGAAACGGGAGCATTTTATTGACTGTATTTGTCACAAACAAGAAAGTAAAAGAAACATGTGTTTGCTGTTACTCGTATTATCCTATACTCGTATATGAGCAATGTTTGCTTGTATGTATGCTTGTATGCTTGCCTGCACAAAAATCTCGAAAACGGCTTCGACAATTTTCTTCAAATGTTTTAATAATTACTTTCTGACCTAAAACGTGTTTAATCCAGTTAAAACTGCCAACAAAAATCTAATTACGTAAAAAAATTAAATTGAAAGTCAAAACTTTTTAACATTGGCCTTATAGCTAAGTAACCATGTTGGTTGAAGAACAAAATAACAAGTAGGCCTAAAAGGCACACAAAAAACTTGTAAGTTGTAACATGTGTTCATAATAAGCCATCCACCCACAGTATACTAGCAAATTACAAAATACAGTACAAAAGGAAAAACATCAGTTGTTACTATTGAGCAAAGATTACATTGAAGATAACTCGATATATGTGAAAATAGTCCGATCAAAGTTCCGATCAAATTCTGATTATTTAACTTGGCTCTCTCCTACCAAAACTTAATCCCCAAAGTAATCAGCTGTTTTAATTTAAGCAAAATGTCAAAACAATGTTTATGCAAGTAGAGGCCATTATAAACGAGCGACCTATCATCAACTTTAAAATTAATGAATGTCTTGAGGATTGTCAGGTTGAAATTCCCATCATAATAAATTTAAATTCCACTGAAAATTTAATAATGAAAGCCAAAATTAGTTGTAAATAAAACGTGAGTTTCCTTTGTATTGCTTTTACAATCGAAATAAACTACACCGAGCCATGGCTCGGTCCCCATGTACTTAGATTTAAGTAGCCATTCCTCTTCAGTGTTGTGGAAGTTAAAAATTTCTCCTAAATAGTCCACACAGGAAAATACCGCATAGACATTTAATAGAACAAATTTCTTATACGGTCTGTAATTTTATGTAACATGTTTTAACTTATCTGTTTTTAAATAAATTAAAACTAAATATCAATTCTATAGCAGCTTACTTGGCTTTAATAAATGTTTTTTTATACAAATAATTTTCCTAAACTTTTTTACAAATATTTTAAGTAAAAGCTGCATTTGTTGTATCTCTTAATGAGTCCATCGTGTTACAAAAACACGGGTCCTAGTAAAGTATTAAGGAAGGAAAAATTGGTAAAATAAGAGGAATACTCTACAGTATATTCTATTTTATATATTTAAGAAATCGTTCGTTAAGCTTGCTTGTTTTCTCTTTGACGTGTGATGACTTTAATCGTTGGTTCATCTCTACTGCACAAACTTTTGAAATTATATCGGAAAAGGGTGATATTTTTCTCTTCTTCCTCTCTTGAAATACAAAGGATAGAGCCTATTTTTTGCTGAATAACATGAAAAATAACACATCTAATAGCGTCTTCTTAGCAAGTTTTCTTCATTAGAATTATTAATTAGAACAACTGTATGTTTATCATTATAAATTTCATAAAATTACATTGATAATAATTAGATATACTATATAACACGATTCAACCTTGGGCCTAATGAGTGGTACATGTAAGGAATAGATTTTATAGTTATATCAAAACAATATGTCTCAAAATTAGTCTCTGTGATTTTGATATATCTCTTTTGGGCGCGAGAACGTGGTGAATTTAATGTTTAATGAACAAGGCTTCATCCTGTAGAACTGGCTTTAAATCCAGCCATTCACCAATATTGCTTTTAGTATTGTAGTAATTTAATGATGGAGTGATTGATTTTTCTATAATTTTAGTTACACTAGTGAGAAAAATATGATTATTTTCAGCAAGGTCGATTGCCTGTGTAGGCTAAATTTTACATCTGCTTACATAAAAGTGCATACAGTATATCAAAGTACTATACAATAATGTCGACAATGTCTTCTTAAATCTATCGTAAATATCACTACCATCTTTTTACATACCTCCTGATGGATTCTGGAGATCCCATTGGGGTGAAATAGCAACTGCTGCACTTAGATATTCTCCCAACATCAACATTTTCACTAGGGACATGTTCTGGTTCTTCTTGAAAAGTCTCTTCGACAAAATCATCTTGAGCCGGGATCTTCTCACACTCAACAAATTTTGGTTTCGTTACGGGAGGATTTTTAGCTTCCGATCTCACTTTTTCACTCCTTCTTTTGAACAAGTATTTCTGCGCTTTTCTCCTTACAGTTGACAGCCTTCTGAAAATGCTCCCGATCCTCTTTGTGTTTTCTCGGTTTTTCTCGTTTTCTTTTTCTTCAGAGTTTGGATTTTCCTTGATCGTCGTTGTTTGTGACACCAAAACACATCCTCCTGATCCGTCATTTAGTGGAATAATTTTATTCCGCTTGAATGTAATGCTCGTCGCTCTTTTCAACGGGTTCTTTTCCTTCTTTCCTTTTCCTTTTGGTTCTCTCTTTTTATTCTTCGCATTGTGTTCGTTAACTGAGTTTTTCCTCTTGGGCTTTCTTTCAGTCTGACGGTTTGCGAAACTCTTCCCGAAGAAACTGAGGATGTATTTACGTTCTTGGTTGCTGTCGTGGCCCTCCTGGTAGCAGTCGCACTCCCTCGCTGATTGGGTGTGCTTCACCTTGCGTCTGACGGGGGTTCCTCGCGGCGGGCCCGGGGGGATGTTGGGGGTGTCCGAAGGGAAGGTTTTACGTCGCGTAAACCACATCGCGCCTTGGGGTTGACTGAATATTTCCCCTCGATGGTGTAATAATCCAGTTACAGACACGTGAGTTAGTCCTCACGTGTGTTGCTTAACGCCCCCCCCCCTTAAATACCCCCTAACCCCCTCCCCCAATCGCTGGACATTGACCACAACACCTTTGGATAAACACGGCTTGTGGTGAACTTGAATGGTTTAGTTGCACCTGTTGGTGTTTCAAAATAGAACAATGGATTGATTATTATTTTACTTATATTGAAACATTTTTATTCGGATTGCAATTCCTTATGGTACATCATTTTCTTCTATTGACAGCCTTGGATGTGTTGACCAGGCATATAGATTGAATATTTTAACAATTTTATTCATAAGTTATAAAATGGTATACATCGAATTGTGCTAAAGTGCCTATATCCAAATCAACTGTCCCCTAGTGGGTTGCCAATCTCTCTGTTATTTGTGATTGATTTTTAATTTATGGAACGTAGCTACAATCTACTTATAGCTGCTAATAACCTCGTCTCTTTAGGATAATGTCCTCAAAGAAAAATGTTGAAAATAACAGTGAAACCATTGGGTTGAAGCACATGAAAAACATATTTAATACCTACTTCTAAAACGACAAAAAGTTGTCATAGTTGTCATTTTGTCAAAGGTTTCCCAAGTCATTTTTTTGTGTAGTAACTACATAAAATATATTGTATACTTGATACATATGCCTATTTATAATACTTACTGCTTAATAGTTCAGAGATCCCAATAATTTACATAATCGACCTTTTAATATAATTTTTTTTTTATATCTTTTCATTATTTAAATACTCGCATTTATTATTCAAAACAACATCATACAATTTAAAGACACTATAATTGTTTAAAAAATGCACAATTACAATTTCGTTTAGGTTGCACAATTAGGTTCGTTTGAAAAATGAAACAAATATATAAATGATCGAGTGAAGTTTGTTGATAGTCAGAAACAAAGTTCTGAATTGACCTAGGGATTGGATGAATGTAGGTAAAAACCTTGAAGTGATTCTTTGCAAGGTCGAGTAAGGCTTCCTCCCCCTCTTCTCCAATAAGTTGATGGTCAAGGGGGTGGGAGGGGGTGGTCGGAGAAGGGGTAGTTTTACTTCTCCCTTGGGTCATTGAAGGGTTCATGGTTATATAATACCACTGCTCGATCCTTTTACATACAAAAACACAGCCAGTCTAGAGTTAACATTGTATTGTTTTCTTACAATCAGTGGTAGATTTGTCATATTGTGTGTTGTATTGACTCATATCTGTCCTATTGTTTTGACTTAGAATTAAAATTCCTTTAAAGTTATCTGTAATAAATACCTCTACGTTAAACCTCCGGACAGGGCAAAGATTTGCTGTATCCAGTATTTATCTAAACAGGTTCATAATTAAACTCAATGTTTAAACACAACCACCACTGGTTAGCTGTTTTGATATACTGAAAAATTTTTGATTGATTAGGTTTCATAAGTTTCAAAGTTAAAAAAAATTATTTCCTTAGCTTTATGATGATATTTAAACAAAAAAACCGTTATCCTAAAAATCAATCAGTATTTTCAATGTGAATTCAAAAAAGTTTAAATATATGGTCTACATTAGACATTTCATAGATTTTTAGTTATAAAAGAACCTCACCTACTACATTTTTAGTGTAGGTTGAACAACAATTTCTCTGATTTTATTATGTTATAGACATGAGATAAAGTGGCCACGCATCAAAAAATGTTATGCCTCTTTGAGAATTTAGAAAATATGGTTTTCAAATCACAGCTGGTAAATTTATTTCAATAATTATTATGTTAATTACATACAACGGTTTGATCATATTCAATTTATAGATTCACTAGGGGCTTGTAGGGGCAAAAGCCCCTAAAAAACCAAAATACATAAATTTTTTATCAACCTTCATTGGTCATTTATAAATAAACACTGATTTTCTAGCATTATAATATAGTTTACAACACAAAATGTATACATTATATTATATACAGTAGATACATTTACATTTAAATGGTGGTTTGTAGGGACAATAGCCTCTAAAACAGTAAACTTTTTTATTTTGAAAATAATAAACATAAAAAACAATTAAAATTTGGTTAAAGTTTTATTTACATGAATAGAAATCACTACTTACTTATTGCATTTGATAATTGGTCAGAACCTCTGGATAAACTATGTTTTTTGTATATGAATTGTTTTCTGTATTGTTCTGTTCTCTTGTATTTGCCATATATACTCTGATTCCATCTGATGACTTGACTCTGCTAAATTCAAAGGCTATGAGTACACAGATTTTCAGAAATACAACTAATACAAATCTGTGGCACAGCTGTTTTAATTTCAAAAGATGTAAACAGATTAAACCCCATGTTGTTTTAATGGGAAAAGTTTTATTCTGTTGCGAATTTATGGTAAAAAAAAAGAAAAATGAATAGTTTTCCCTCAAAATTCATGTCAAGACCTTTAAAATAAGACCCCTCCCATCCTTCTACGGCCATCCAGTCACTCACAATTTCTTTACAAAAATTTGACTTACGGAATTATATATATAGATAGCTAACTATCCAATAAGAAAAAATGCAGAACGAAGAAAGAAATTTGTTTTATGTGGGATTTAAATATGAGGAAAATGAGCCTAACAAAATGTAAACTGTCAAAATAATAAATTCTAACAAAACCAATTCTATATTAAAATATTTTGTGTAAAATACAGAAAAGTCACCTTTCTCAATTATGTGTACAATTAACGTAAAAAGATGAAAATAATTGCAGTTAAAAAACTTGCGTTTCCTTTCAAATTACTAGGTTAACTTCATGTTTAAGTCTACAACTTGGTGTATCTGTGTATCATATACCAAGGAAAATCCAATTACTTTTATAAGCTTGTATTGCATGCGACTGTGTATATGCAATGATACAAGTCTCTTTCATATGAGAAAGTAGGCTACGGTACTGTAGACAATTTAATTTTGTAAGTAGAGAATTCCCACCCTGGCAAAATCTTATTATGTTTTCATTTTCAGTAAATAATGAAAAAATAAGGGAAACATTATGTAAATTATGATTATTCTTTGTATATATGTCTTATTGTTACATGATAATATATGTATTAACCCATCAACCATAATTGCAAATGCTAAATGCTAATGAAACATACTATTAAAACACAGAATCTCTTCTTTACATTTTTAACAAATTACATTACAATATTTTACTCAAATTCCCTAAAACGTCAATAAAACATACTATGATAATACAAAAATCCTATCACAACACACAACCCAACATAAGTCGTTTCCTTCTTTTCATTTTATTACAAATAGCATTACAATATTTTACTTGAATTCGCTGAAACATCACCAACTACAGATAACCCCATTTTCGTATGGATCTATACAAAATTGTATAATGGCCATCTGTTTTGATGTAGTAAACTTGAAACAGTTCAGATAATTGACACCATAATTCAGCACAAACTCTGAAATTTTAAAAGCCTGTAGGACGAAGGGCTTTCCCGATACATCATCCAAAGCTTTAATTTGATACCCGATATGCCTAAAAAAATAAATATTTAGGGGTCGATTTGCTGCACACAAAAATCCAACAAATTATTTTAATAATATCCAGATTGCAAATTTTTGTTCTATAATAAAAACTCAATTCAGCTGTTATATTTGTACAAATATATATTTTTCAGAAATTTAACAAATTGTGGGGAAAAGAGTATACTAGTAATTGTGAGTAAAAGTAAGTAAAAATCAACGAAAGAAATATGAGCCTGAAGTAGTGTTTCTCATGTCACCATTAGTGTAAAGAATTGCTTTCCTCTGTCGTCTAAACTGAGACCTGAGCCAGTGCAAGTAATGCACTTATTTCAACTAGGTTTTACCAGACTAACATTGTTTGCAAGAATGTTATTTATGTAAATCGTTTGATACTCAAACTCTTTGGGTACCTCCTAACCTTCTTACATTCTTCTGTTTTAGGAACTTGTTATCTTTATGTATAATGTTTATAGGTCCTCATATTGGGAGTTTTTATAGTTATTTGTAAACCCACTGTCGACTACCAATCAGAAAGTGATAAAATCTAATGTTTTTAATAAAGGAAAAATAGTTTAAAATACAGATTTGTTTACAATTGAAAACTGACATTGCATTTTTAATATCACATTTTATGAAGTTTAAGAGAGAAATATGAATAAAAAGGTTCCCACTTTTTTAGGAAACAGGTGCCTAATAGTAGTTTACGCAACGATTGCGTTAAGTTAGTCTTTACGACACGAGTAGAAGACTTAAAAACTTCTACGAGTGTCGTAAAGGCTCGCGAGTTGCGTACACTACTTTACCTATGACCGTTTTTTAATTACTAACAATCTGGGTTTTAATTACTAACAATCACTACTCATAACTTCCTAGAGAGGTTATGTTTTCGTTTATTGTCATTGCCACTGAAAAGGATGCAATGACTTGTTGTATAATCAGCTGATTTCATGTAATTACGTGTTTGTAAAACTATAAATAATGCGTTACTTTTTCAGGGAAAAGGTTCTGCTAGCAGAATTCTTACCATAAATACCGTATCAGGTACAATTAGGGAAATATTGCATATTTTTTGGACAACTGAATAATATAGTGAAACAGTTAATTTACAGTTAGATTTCACCATCGAATATGTGGTCCACAACGAGTTGGGTGAAAAACTGGTTAAGAGGTTTTCAAAATAAACCAGAAGCACATTTTCAATTTATCAATTTAACCTTATTTTGTTTCTCCATTTAATGAATTGCTGGTATGTAATTTCATACCTTTGTTTCGATGTTGGTGGCCAAATATTAGCAGAAACAGTTTGTGCTCTTATTTCCATCTCGTCAACTTCACTTTCACTTACTGACATTTTTAAATCAGTTTAATCTACCATCCTTTAACTTCCACGAATTTAGGTTAAGAATACGCGAGTATCAACAGGAACAAGTCGGATCAACAATTAATTAAAATTGTCAACTGATCAGCTGATCAGCTGATGAGAAAAACTATGCTGTTATGAAATGAAACTAGTTATTATGAAAGTAAACCGCTGTTAAGTGAAACTTTTTAATTCTAAGAACTGAACTAAAATTGCTACTTTAAAAAACGGTGCCTTGAAGAGTGCCTTAAAGACTTCTACGAGTGTCGTTAACACTATTTATGTGAGTTGCGTACACTAACCGCTACTGATAACTTATAAAAGAGGTTATGTTTTCGTTTATAGCCTCTCATTGTCACTGACAGTGACGTATTGAAACATTTTATCAAACACTAATTGCACCAATCAACAATTAAATTGGCCTAAACAGCTGATTAGTTGAATTTCGAATCAATACAATTTTACTTTTCCTCTATCAATCCTTGAACCTCATTGGTCCGTTACCAGTGTTGTTATGAGTAAAACTATGCTGTTATGAAAGTAAACAATGCTGTTATAGCTACGCGCGCACTACGGCGGCACGGCACGGACGGGCGGTACGGCACGGACGGCATTTTTTAAGAGGGGGTGCGCGCACTAGGGCGGCACGGCACGGACGGACGGGACGGGACATCCGCACATCCGCAATTTAGGACAGTTGACAGTCTGCGAGCTAAAAATTCTGAGTAAAGGTGGATGTAGATACAGTGGTGATAGTAGGTTTAATTTTAGCAGAGGAAGAGGAGACAAGTAGGCGCAAGCAAAGATTTTAGATACACCACATAAACAGAAAAATACTAAGTTTTGGAGAGATCCACACCTTGTTTCCTGATCTTGTAGAAGGATTATGTGTAAAACTTACCTGATTGTTTCATAATAGATCATATTTCTGCCCATAAATTGTCACGCCGGACGTTATTAAAATATTCCAGATGTCGCATGTTGTACAGTTTCGGGTATTTCTCAACGATAAAAATCAACCTACTAACATCTATGTTTACAACACACGAAAACGCTACTACAGTAGAACCTCTTTAATCCGAACCCCCGTAATCCGAACGTCCACTAATCCGAACCCCTCATTGCTGTACTCTATACACAGTACAGCAGTTCTTTATTGTATACTGTATTTAATTTACAGTACGTTTTATTCACTATGTTTAACTACTGTATTAAATAAACACTGTATTTTACTTTATAAAACATTTTTTCACTTTCCCAAAAATAATGTTGATCAATTTTAGCCATGTTTTAGCTATTGTTATGTAAAAACAACAATATGTTCTGTAATCCGAACTATTCAATAGTCCGAACTACCCCTGGTCCCAATTAGTTCGGATTAAAGAGGTTCTACTGTACTTTGACAGAGATCAGTTGAGAATGGCGGATGTCCCGTGCCGCCCGCCCGGTCGGTGTGCAGTGCTCCCGGTCGGTACGGGCGGTACGGGCGTCACGGCAGCTCGGAAATGTCCTGGAGTTCTGTCTCCCGGACTTTTTAACAAACGGCGGAAGCTGCCGAACGTCCGTTGCCGGCCGTACCGCCGTAGTGGGCGCACTCATATGACATTCAATGTTATTAACTTTTAAAAATTGCCGTGCCGCCCGCCCGTCCGTGCCGTGCCGCCGTAGTGCGCGCGCAGCTTTAGAGATACTTTTCAATTCTAACAACTGTACTGAAACGACTACTTTAAAAAACTGTCGTAGGTAATTAGTAGTTTACGCCACACTACATTATTTTGACGAACTTCCCACGCAAGGATTTAGTCCAGAAAACAGGTGTTTGCCGCCAGCTTATTCAAATAGGGTTTCATTGCGTAATACTGTTCTGCAATGAGTTTTACCGGACACCAATCAGCTGATTATACTGTATTTGCGTGGCAATGATTTGGTTATAAACAAAAACATAACCTCTCTTAGAGGTTGTGACTAGTGATGTTTAGTCCTTTAGTTGGTGGAAATATATAAGGATTTGTACGAATTAAGTAGTATGGTGTAAACTATCGTACGTAACTCGTCCAAAATGTGTGTACCGAACTCGTATGGTAATCCCGTACCACACTCGACCGGTAAACACTTTTTTTCAGGACTAGTAACGTAATATACTATTACGCAACGATTGCGTTATTACGTCTGCTTCATTCCATCATTTTAATATGTTTTACATTTTAATCATCTGTTGCAGAGTTATAGAGTAAACATTGTAATAATTCGTTTCAATTGATTAGTTTTGTAGGCCCTACTGCTCAGGACTGCACTATGCACTATCCCCAGACTATAGAACCAATATTGTCTGTGGCACTATGCACTATATTCTTTGACGACTCAAATGCATTGCCATTTCCATAACCCTCATTAAATTACCAATAACAATAGGACAAATTCATTTAGATGAAACGTCTGTATAAGCCCATATTCTGAAATAGAAGTCTGAATTTGTGATTTGTTTTTATTAATAACTTTTACATAGGGTTTTCTATCCCACACTGGACTGAAGAGGAGTACCAAATATTATTTAAAAAATTATTTAATTAATATAAGTTACTTTAAAATAATGTATAAAACCTACTACAGTATCTCCCTGATTTTTTTACCTAAATTGGTGATATTTTTTCATCAATAATTAGAAGTGTAGTATATAACGTTTTTTAACACTAACTTCATTCGACCCTGTATATCTACCTCATTTGTGAAAAACTTCTCTATGACTAATAATCAATATTATGGAATCAATAATCGTTGTTGAATCAATAACAAATATCGTGGAATCACTAATCAATAGCATGAAAGACCTACCTGAGTATATACAACACTGGACACTGACTTGCACAGGTCGACTGAGCTTGTCCTTTGTAACAGCCTCTACTCGTTAGCTTAGTGAGTTCCCTTTATTGTCAAATCTGCTTTACATCCTCTCTGCACTTGCCTAACATTTGTTCAGCCTTTTCTGTTTGAATAACAAACGTTTTGTAGTTTCTTTTTTAGATTAAAAACTTGGAATTGTTTTCCATAATTGTAAAATAAGTCTTTGTAAATTATTTTACACGTTATATTAGTGAACACCAACAGATTCGACGGATGTAGTATGATGGGTCAGTTATAAGTAAAATCAAACAGCAGTTAATTTTTTTTGTGTTTACATTTCTCTATCTATATTGGAATCTTTACGTTTTTAGTAAAATACAGTACAATAGTAAAATCCTAGTCTTGTTACTATCTGAAGTCTTTTGTTAGCATTATTAATTAATATCTCTATAAGAAATGGCATATGGGTTTAGAACGACACCCCTTAGCTTGGTGCAGTAACCATCAGATTTGAAGGTAAGCAATATAAGCAATCAAAGAGAAAGACCCAGATATTTAGATCCAATAATAAAGCAGATCTAGGTTGTATAGAATAAACTATATCATCAAACTGACACATACTTTCTCCCATTGGCTTGTCAAAACCCTTTAGAATGGGGAAGATGTGGGAGTGACTATAATATTTTATGGGCAGGCTAAAATCACAAACATATCAATTACTTTCAAACCGTAATACAATAAAGGGGCCATACAATTTTGTTTAGAGTTAATACCATAGAGTTTAGAGTAAAGTAACATAACATACTGAATTTGAGCCAAAACCGTTCAAGCTAATTTTGGGGGAATCCGAATTTTGTGTTTACATTATTTTCCGTCAAAATCACCACTAAAATTCTAAATTTAAACAAAAATTATGTACAAAAAACCTGGAGAACACATGAATTATTACCTACGTACGAAATTCGTCAAAATCGGTCCACTAATTTAGTCTGTAACTCTGTACACATCAACACACATATATAACTTCAAAATCCACTTTTTTGTGTTCAGGAGGATGAACCCAAATATATGTTTCCACCCAAAACTCAAACTAAAACGATTTTTCGGAAACAATACTTTCTCCATATACTATGTAATAGGGGAGAAAGTAAACATTTATACAACATGATTTGCTTGAAGCTACACCACTATAGAATTAAAAGTAATTATTTTGCAAAAATATAAATGAAAAAAATTTAAAATACAAAAACAAAAATATTAAATATGAATGTTTACATCCTGCACATTTAGTCTTTACAGCTATTTATACTCTTACTTACTCTTACTCCTAGGGCCATTTATATCGGAGGTGATATTTGGTCGCACCAACAAATCTTCGCCAAGTGTTGCCCCAATGCTCTCCAAATCTTCTTGCACTTGCTTCCACCACCTCTGCTTAGGTCTTCCCCGGGGTCGCCTTCCTGTAGTGTTTCCCTTTAAAACTCTTCCCAGTCTACAATCTTCACCTCTTCTTAATATATGACCAGCCCATCTGATTCTTCGGCACTTGATTTCTCCAATTACATCTGTGCTATTATACAGTTGCCTTAATTCCCTTACAGCTATTTATAGAAAAAATAATTCTGTAACCCATTTTGTCTTCACTAAATTATTTCTAAGGCTAATCTATTAGTTAGTATAAATCCAGGTTGTATTCAACAGGAAAAATAAATTTAAAGAAATACGTAGGGGCCTACCATAATTTATTTTATACATATTACAAATTTACATCTTTAAGCATATAGCTCTTAAGCGTATGAAGCGTAAAAACAATACAAAACTACTAACAGTAAGTACAAAACTATCTGTAGCACTATAAAAGTATAAAAATCAAAATATACAAATGATTTTGTCAGAAGTAGAAAGCAGGAAGCCACTACGAGTAGGAGTATCTTCAAGTTTATTCTGATTGTTCATCACCAAACTGAACATTTCTTCTTTGGGTTCATAGGAGAGCCTAGAGGACACTTGAAAACTTTTGCGAAATCTTCACTGTTTGTCAAAGTTCCAATTACCCTGGGGAAAAAAGAAACAAAATAAAAAATACGTTTCAATGTATTTTAAAGTTACACGAATGTTCTAAATAAACTCCAGTACTAATTTTCTTAAAACTTATGTACTTTTAAATTAATAGGGGGTTTTGAATAGATCCTTTGTTTTGCTTCACAATTATCAATACAATTATCAATTATTTAAGATGGGGACGCCACTATGTGCAACAACAATGGCCTATCATCAGCATGTCACAAACTGAAGTATAAATGATCTGCCATACATAGTTACACAGTAAACCTCATCGAACTGGAACCTGATAGTCTGAACATCCTTGATCTGGACAAGTATTTTATAGTAGTGTACAAACATTTCATACAGCTCGTCATAGGAATGTGCCACTGTAGGCTGCTTAGAAAATGAAATGAAATAAAAGCAAAATACAACTTAATTCATTATGCACTTGTACATAACATTAAACAGAGTCAATAATTTTCTAAACCACAATAATAAATAATTATAATGAACCATGATATCATAAACAACAAAATTTACATGCCTTTAGAATAAAGTACAATTATCTAAGATTCAGATAAATACTTAAAAATAGTTAAGAGTCACTCAATTTGATAGTTTATTGTTATTTTATTTTAAATGGTCCCATTTATGTTTTTTTCTTTCTTTATTTTGTTTGGAATATTCCTCATGTTTATGTTAGGTACTAGAAAGTTTTTAACTCTAATTTTGGCTGTTGTATATTTTAATGTTTATATCTGGTTAGGTATTGTTTCGTTATGAGCTGTTTGGTTTTAATGTTTTCCTTGAAAGTCATTATGGTATCAAAATGCATTATCCAAAACTCTTGAAATTCCCAAATATTTAAAATCTTGCTTATTACTGTGTCTCTTTCTCTCAAGTGCTAACCTTATTCGAATAGGTTCTTTTTTGTAATTTTTACCTTTTTTAGGTTTTTCTTTTAGGTTAACCCAGAGAGGTTATCCCGTAGCAATGGGAACAAGGTTCACCAACTTAACATGTATTTTAGCACATAACTACTGTTTGTATTTTAAATTCAGAATGCATCATTTTAAGCTATAACATGTAAAAGGGGTTTTATTGCTTATAAGATATCCAAGAAGTCTTAAAATTTAGTGTAATCCAAACTTGCATTAATCCAAAACACTTTAAACGCCAATTAGACTGGATTGTAAGGGATATACTGTGTTTATAAACCACCCAGGAGCAAAAGTCAAGAGTGTATAATGTTGAACAAACCACTAACACGTTATACATTTCTCTCTTAATTATAAAATGTTTGCTTCATTAGATGTTAATATGACAAAGTTGAAATTAAACGTCAAGCGGGGATAGTTAAAAAGTTGCTGTATACTTGATATCAGAAATACCTACAGTTACACGTAAAAGCTTACACATTTGTAAAACTTTGGCTGCTCAAATTTCAACTGAATCCTGGTTTATAAAAAGTGGATAGCCTCTTTAAAATGGGAGGTCTTCATTTAGGTTTATTATCCACTAAGATAATCCCTTCAAAATTTATGCTCGACGAAGTAGCAATAAAGTAGCATTACTAAGTTTCATCTGTGTCAGCAAAGAAACAAAGTAAGGCGCAAGTTAAGAGCCATTTAGTATAAGTATGTTTAACTCTGAAGTTAGTAGTTGTTGTTGTATTGTGTATTCTTAGAATGCATTGTAACTTCTGTCAAGATAAAGAAAAGGATCTCCAGAACTTTGTATTTCTTTGTTTTATGTAAATTTATTTAGAACTTGTTGTCTTTTCTTGTAAATAAATTTTCAATTTTTTTACTTTGCTTGAAGTTTGCTTTTTGGAATTGAATAAGCTGTTAATAGACAACATATCACAAGTACCTACACAAATTAAGAATGAATTTAATATATTACAATAACTTATAATCTGTAAATTTTACAGCATTGGTGATAGTATAATTTTGTTTAGAGTAAAAAAAGGACCTAAACATACGAAATGTTTAGCAAGCCCTTCTTGAGAAAAGCGAGTTTTTCAGTTAAGGAAAATCACCATTAACAATTTCTATAGGAAGTTAAAAATGGCTGGAGATATCATGCATTTAGTGCCCACATACAAAAATGTCATCAAAATTGGATCACGTGTGTAGTCTGCAGCCCTACACACACACACAGACAGACATCACTTTGAAAACCATTATTTTGAGTTAATGGAGGGTAATGCAAAACTGATATATTATTTGATATGACAATACTTTCTCCATATACTATGTATATGGAAAAAATACCATATGGAAGAAACTAAAAATACTATTTATATGAAAGAGAGTTAAAATACCATCAATCACATCAAAATCAATGAAGATAAGCATTGGACTAAGACATAATAAATGACTACCAGTGATGAAACTGATTTACTAACTCTGTGGTCAATGAAGGTAAAACATTATGCTATAAGCACCTAAACCACCAAACATGTTAATCATATTAATCAGCTTGTAAACAGCAAAAATAGTCTACATTATTTCAAATTTATTTTTACAGAGTTTGCATAAATTCAGTGAACAATGTTGGAACGCAAGGCAAGCTGTTGTAGTACCAAGAGTAGTGGTCAAGAGACTTAAGAAACTTTCCAAGTCCAGGACACTTCTGTCCACAAAGGGAAGGACTGCTGCTATTGTTTCTAAGTCTACATCGACCATCAGCTTCCAACAACAGATTAGAACATCATCTAGAATATCATCTTAACAACCAACAACAGCTTAGAACATCATCTGGACGATCAGCTCACACAACAACAGACAAAACCTCAGCCTAATTACTACTAAGTTTACCTCATTTTAGAACATCAGCTTCTAACACCAAAGCATAGAAAATCAAGATAGAACATTAGTATAACCTATCAGCTTGTTTGCCTATTTACTCCTTTAGCTTAACATAAAAATATATTCTGTGAGTTTGAGATCCACTTTCAGAACAGCTATAACTAAGGGGGCGTCATATCAACCTGAATTTTTTTAAGGGTTTAATACATGTTTTTATACAAAACTGGTACTAAAATTATTTACATTAAATTATTATTCAATGTCAATTATTTTCAAAAATTACCTTAAATTTAACTTATTTGTGTGTAATAAATAGCAGTAAAATTGTTCAGAGTATATTAATAAAATTGGTACCACTTCTGTAAAATAGCTTCAAATATACTCTGTAAAAATGTCATGGTTCTATCTCTTAATAGGTAGTTCCTGGGAAAAGGGACATGTGTATTACAAAAAGTAGTTTTGAAGGAAACGGACTTTAAAGTCGAGATCACTAGATTACTTATTACTCAAATGTCAAGAAAAAAAGACCGGGTAAGGTTTCATTTAAAAAATTATTTCTAAGGTTAGGAATTTTTTTAGAACCATAAATAAGGTGTCATTTTGTTCAGGAAGTAACAGGCTTAAATTATAACCAAAAATAAAAAACATATTTTTTTGCATATGATACCACCTTTACTGAACACAAAGTAAATATTGCCATATTTTTCATAATTAATATTGACATTATACAGATTTATTGAACTTATTGTTCTTCTTATTGTAACTTTTGAACATGTTCTTTAATTATATCCCTGGTGCTTATGAAGTATCATACTTATTGCAAATATAAAAAAAAACTAAGCAAAATCCAGAACTTGAATTGCGTGTGATTAGCTTGTTAAAAAAACGCTGAGTAAAATTATTGAAATCCGTAGAAGTAGATACTTATTGAAAAGTAAAATTGGTTTAGACGGTTTTAAATGTATATGAAAACCATTGGTAAGACTTCAAATAATTGTATTTAGATTTTCTTGTTTTTACAAAACATTGCCAAAATATTCATAATTCATTCTTCTTTACACTTGAGTGTAGGTTGGATGTTGGACTTAAAGAGCAGGGGATAAATTCTCTGGTTAAAAATCTTCCCTTCCAATTTTTTTTTTCAATCATTTAATAGCAATGTTATTTAAAAATTAAAATTTCTTTTAGAAATGTTTGAAGCATTAACACAGATATTAGCCTGTGAAAACGTCAGAGTAGCCTAATTTGAAGGTTACCTTTTTCAACTGACCAAGTTCCCGAACACCTTATTCATAGGGAGGTGGCCGCAACATGCTGCACAAAATGTAAAAAGTTTTGCTAAAGATAGCACACCGAGATGCAGGGCCGCTTAAGTAAATGGCACCAGGGGGCAAGGAAGTGAAAAAATTCCCTTCAAGAAAGGTAGAGGGGATGCAATGATCTCATAGCGGATTACCGCCTCACATGCAAACTGCTGGCCTGCCAAGATGTCCTTCAAGAAAGGTAGAGGGGATGCAATGATCTCATAGCGGATTACCGCCTCACATGCAAACTGCTGGCCTGCCAAGATGTCCTTCAAGAAAGGTAGAGGGGATGCAATGATCTCATAGCGGATTACCGCCTCACATGCAAACTGCTGGCCTGCCAAGATGTCCTTCAAGAAAGGTAGAGGGGATGCAATGATCTCATAGCGGATTACTGCCTCACATGCAAACTGCTGGCCTGCCAAGATGTCCTTCAAGAAAGGTAGAGGGGATGCAATGATCTCATAGCGGATTACCGCCTCACATGCAAACTGCTGGCCTGCCAAGATGTCCTTCAAGAAAGGTAGAGGGGATGCAATGATCTCATAGCGGATTACCGCCTCACATGACAACTGCTGGCCTGCCAAGATGTCCTTCAAGAAAGGTAGAGAGGATGCAATGATCTCATAGCGGATTACCGCCTCACATGCAAACTGCTGGCCTGCCAAGATGTCCTTCAAGAAAGGTAGAGAGGATGCAATGATCTCATAGCGGATTACCGCCTCACATGCAAACTGCTGGCCTGCCAAGATGTCCTTCAAGAAAGGTAGAGGGGATGCAATGATCTCATAGCGATTACCGCCTCACATGACAACTGCTGGCCTGCCAAGATGTCCTTCAAGAAAGGTAGAGAGGATGCAATGATCTCATAGCGATTACCGCCTTACATGCAAACTGCTGGCCTGCCAAGATGTCACGAGTTGTGGATATTTATAGGGATGCACTGTGGATGCGATGCTCCCTGGTGTGGAGTAACGTCCGCACTAGTGAGTACTACGACTATCCGCAGTACTATCCTGATAATTAGACCAATTCGTAAATTACAAGGAAAAAATGTGGTTCGGATTCCACTATAAACTGTAGGTCCCTTAGTTGCCATTAGTTGTATGGGCTATTAATTAACAGCTGTGTCTAAGGAACATGTCGGCCTTAGTCACTAACAAGACTACAAGATCGCGCCACTCATCCTACACTCATCCTTCACTCATATTTGGGTAAAAATACGCACATAGTGGCGTCCCCATCTTAAATAATTGATAATTGATAATTGATGTCCTTCGAGAAAGGTAGAGAGGATGCAATGATCTCATAGCGATGACCACCACACATGCAAACTGCTGGCCTGCCAAGATGTTTTATCGTCTTTTCCTGAACACTCTACTGCTGTTTTGGGTTTGTGACGCCATTATTAGCAATTGTGTTTTAAGATGAGCAGTTCTGAATATGAGGATGCGTTTTTATTATGTCATGTTATGACAAACTACATTTCTCACTGACTCTATTTATTGTACTTGAACATTTATGAATAAAGGAGATTTTGATTTGATCTGATTTAATAACAGAAAAAGATAGATAAAGATGATAGGCTTCCACTATCACACTAGATAGTCAAATCTAGGTCTTTAGGTGATGACCACGTCCTTCAGCTTCTTCAACGACATGGTTATCACCAGAAGACCTAGATTTGACAATCTGTTATTGAATCTTCCACTACCTCACACTGCGAGCTTGCCACACAGCCTCCGCAGAAATATTGTATATTCCATATCCTCCCAAGAGTTTTGGCAGCGGAACAGTTCCACAGTGGTCACAGCTGCGCGATTACAATGGCGTGTTTTCAATGATTCTGCTACAATTTATTAAAATGTAAATAATTATGCCAGAATACTTTCTATTTGCATGGTGCAGAGTATTCCCTGTGTGCGATGAGCCAATGCTGAATTTATAGATACTTCATAGCTGGTATTGAAATATTTTTTTAACTCCCACCTGAATTTCCCCGGAGAGTGTACAGCCGTTTTGAGTTTGTTCCGTGTAGCTTCAGGCCTTGTGTTGCCACACCACACTTGCGCAAAGTTGAGAAAGAACAGCTGCATACCGGTGGCGTTGAGGCCTGGCAGAGTCTCGTCTGCACAGCCATGTTTGTGCAGCCAGTGTTTGTAAGCCTACGCACATAAACAAGTTATTTTACGTAATGTTAATAGGTATTAGAAATAAATATCAACGAAGATAATTTAAAATCTTTGGTGGAAGAGTGGAAGCTCTTTCAAAAAAAGGAAGGCTAATGATCCACAGTGGAGGTGTGTTTATAAAAGTCAAAAACACTAAAACACATCTTCAAAAATGTATTGCAATTGGAATTAACAAAAGAAACTTTGTTGTTATATTAATGAAAACATGTTTTGCAAAGTTGAACCACAGCAGACATTTTGGTATTTTCAGTTTATGCCTGACCTTAATTTGAGTTGGAACCGAATGGAACAACGTCTCAGAGCTTCTCTAACTAAAGACTACATTTTTTGTTTTAGACTACAGTGTTTAACAAACATTGTCAAAACAAGCACTGGCACAAAGGACTGGTACTGCTTCACTCCTAAAACTTTTTGTCCTTATTTAAAGGTTAGAGTTAATTCAAATGTTCCTATTTTAATTTAATAGTATTTTCTACTTGCATTGTTCTCAAATAAAATAATAGTTTATTGGTAATTCAACGAATGTATACTCTGAATATCTGAATAAAGAGGGACGGACATTATTATTTGTCAAAAATTGAGATTTCAAGCTTGAACCAGTTTTGAGAGGAGAAAATATAATATGTTTTGACCATTTTCGGTAGCTATACATCCTGTAATTTATTTTTTCGGTAGCTATACATCCTGCAATTTATTTGTTGGCCAGTGATTTGAATATTGTTTTTTCAATAGTAACAATGTGACAAAGTGATTTTGGAATAAAATATTTTTTTCTTATTCAAAAGCCAAAAACCAATAACTTTTGGGCTAGAAGGATAATATTAGGTATTGTAATCCTTCTCTAATAAATAAAAGTGTTCTAACACTTCTATAATATAAATTTAAAAAAATTGTAAGCATCATTTTATGAGATATAGATGTGTATGTGTAATATTAGATGTAAAATTATACACATCAATAAACAAACACAAAAATATGAGCCACATTATTTGGAAACTTTGGATAAGCTATATGCCTAAAATGTAACCCCTGATTTCTATATTGAATTTTAAAAAATATCAGAATTCTTCTTCGACTTTCTACAAAAGAAATCCCTTTTGAGTTAGATATACTAGTAGACACAGATTATTCCATTTGAGAGTACATGGAATGTATTTCCATATTCAAATAAACTCTTGCTTGGTTGCATATCCCTTCTACTGTTATGTTAAAAGCTGGCTTATTCAAAAGAACAATTTTGAAAGTTCCAATAATTAATGTGTTTCACATTGAATTGTTCATGTAAATTTCACATTTCATATTTAATTTCAATGATATAAATTCCTAAACATAATTATATAACAGTATTCTAAACCCATTCTAAAAACTGGCTAGAATCATTGGATTCCTTAAAGCTTAGCTTCGTACCACAGACACAAGAAAATAACGAAAGTAAGAGGTCGTAACAACGTTATTATTTTACTGTATTATAAATCTTCCATTTAAAAATTAAATAATACCACAACTAAGATAAAAACATACCCTGATTATTGACAACATAACAACTTACTCTGAACGCCTCTTTAATGCCTCCATTATCAGCAATGTTTTCACCCTGAGTGTTGATTCCATCTATCTGTATACCGACTTCTTGCACTGTATATTTGCTGTACTGTTCTAAACAAAAATATGCAGGTTAGATCAATGTTACTCGTTAATCAAGGCTTTATATTACTAAACCATGTTACTACTAAGATTACTCGAACTACTACAGAATTTTTTTATAAAAAAAAACTGTTTTTATTTCTGAGCATTACAAGGACTGATTTTCTTAATGGTTAGTAGTAGTCAGTAAAAATATGCAAGAAAAAATAACATTGACTAGAACTACTGTGCAAGAAAAACATATTTTTGGTTTTGAAACACAATCTAAGTTGATTTTGAAAAATTCCTATTTTAGTTTCCTAAAAGACTCACTTTTACTTTGAGAGTTGGGTATGCTTAGCCTGGTTGCTTGGATATGCTAAGCCTGGTGGTTTTCATTGGTCTCTCAGACATCATGATCTGCAGAGATTAGCGGATATAATACCTCACAGAAAGGTTTTAGGAGTTTATTGTGTTTGGAAAAGATTCTGCAGACATTGACAAACAGATTGTATTAATTTACTTTTATGATAGAGTTATGATTACCGATGAGGCAGCGAGCTCTTTCATGGAAGTTGTTAATGGCTTCTTCTCTCCACCAACGATGAAGGTTGCCGTTCTTGTCAAAGAGTCTCCCCTTGTCATCAAACCCATGGGTGATCTCGTGACCAATCACAACTCCGATGCCGCCATAGTTCAGACTACGGGGAAAATATCTGTGGTAGAACGGGGGCTGTAGAATACCAGCTGGAACCACTGCAAACACATAGTTTTTATTTGTAATTTTACTCTTTAAATAAAACATGTGATTAAATTCACCGGATTACCTAGTGCTTGAAAAATAAATATATACATTAATTTTACACCTGATGAGAGCCCCAACATAAATCAGACAAACAGTGACAGATAACAGCTGATATATGTTGCAAATTGGTTTCACAAAGGTATTGTTGTGAGAAATTATAAATCAGCTCCTGTTTCAGTGATTATAAAACTAAAATATAAAAAAGTTATCTGGTTGCATTCAACTTTTAAACAATAACTAGCAGAACATTAGATTTCATGTACTATTCAAGCACCTAGCTGGGTCAAATCCCATCTATTGATGTAATTAACTATTTGATAATGGCAAGATTTGGTGAATTAAAGCCCACCTTTATCCACATGCTAAATAAAGAAACAAAAACTTATTCAGTTAGTTTCGACGATAAACTTTAACCCTATTAAGCAAAAATAATGATTTCATTTTGTAAAACATTTCAGCATTTTAACACATTTACTGTGGCCCATCAGTGGCTTTCAAATTTGGGTCTAACGATTAGCAAATAACGTGCTTGATGTGCTGCATTATGACTAGAGTCGACGTAAGTTTGCTAAAACACCCACAGATAGCAGCACTGCTTGGAACGTAGCCGGTCCCGTTGTACTGCCAATAATTGGAGGGAGAAAGACGGAATGAGAACAAGTTGATTTCTAAGCATGCCAGACAGGGATTTTATGGGGAATTTTACTACCAACCTACACCACAGTTAGACTGGTATTAGAGACACAATACTAACATGTATATCAACTGTCCTCGGCGAGTGCCTGAGCCACATTGACTGGGCACATAACACATTGCGCGCTGTGTCCCCGGTGACACAGCCGCCTCACACCATCGATGCCTCGCACCACAGGCGTCACCGGGGACCCAGCCACAGCGAATATGTTAAGTGTGACTTTAGCTATTCCTGTTAACTAAAATTACAAACAACAATTTAATCAGCTGACATTCATTTGATTGTTCACCAGCAGATGATTCATTTCTCCGAGTCTCAATTCACTTACTTATCTGGTTTTTGTTGCGGCTGTAGTAAGCGTTGACAACTGCAGGCGCTGTGTTCCAGAGTGTTTTGTTCACTCGACATCCGAGATTGTTCTGTTCCACTCTCGTCAAGTGACGAAGGATATTCAGGGTGTTCTCAAAGTACTTATCTGGATCAATCTCCACCTGTCAAAAATACCCCAAGTAGTAGAAAAACAAGAAAAAAAATTATTTAAATAATTTATATATATATCAGTTTTAAACTTATTTTAAACTGTTATTAATATAAAGTATAGTTAACAACAGTTTCATTTCAATATAGATCAAAAATTGTTTCCAACTACTGTATATTGCAACAGCTTTAAAATTGTTTTACAACAATTTAAAAATTGACTGTACACCAATATAAAATTTGTTTTCACATAGGACCAACCATCCCATGGGGTTATCCTACATAAAAACACAAAGTAATAAAGGTTTAGTATGAAAAACATGTTTATCAATTGATGATTGTTACGAACCTGAGACTTTCAGTTTATGAACCACTGTAATGCAGTGTTATTATACTGTATGGGTTTTTTTCCTAGCCCCAAATTGTTTCCTACGATACTACAGCCTAGATTTAGCAGCAAGGGGCTTTATCACTAATATCAAATCCAATGCATTGGTCATTAGCGGGGCTTGACTCCGAGAACTCGGGGACTGAAAGAAGCACTTTACCTTAGGACCAGCTCGCTCCCCTTCCTTACTGTACGGGAATTAGGAAATTAAATTAATACAATAGTTTGAACTAAATACTGTGCTAACGACGGTGTCATCTAGGATGGGAGCTGGGCAATAGTTGAGGTAAGAACAAAATTTTTGTCTGGGCAGTTGGATTAGGAAGTGCCGTGACCCGGACGACCAAGAGCATTAGCTAATTAAAAATCATCATGTATTATTAAAAAGATATTATTGGCAAAAAAAGCAAAGTGTTATCAGAGTAGATTTAAAAACAAAGAATATCATTGAGCAACAGTGATATTTTGTGTCAACTTTACTTTATTTGTTTTCATAGTACCTTTGGGACATATGTTTGATTTCTCAAATAAACTGGGATGGTCCAGTAAAATGAAAAATTACAACATTATTAAATGATCAAGATTGACGCCGCACAATCCAACCGTATAAGATTGGATTAAAATTTTATAGGCATAAAAACAGTCCACAAACTCACTTTTGTTTTAAATAATTACCTTTAGATCATTTTTTTTTTCAATCACGCAAAGAGCATTGAGGAACACAGCTCTGGCTTATGAGAATCAAAGTTACTAATTAAATATACATAAAATCATTTTTATATTGATTGTAGCTGTCTAAAGGGGTTTTGCATTTCCATGAGTCACTTTGTGCCATAAACAATTATTTAAATCCCATTTCAGTTGTCACTCGTAATACCCAACTCGTGGAGGGATCAGCAGACTTAGGTGATCAACACATAAAATATTTAGCTTGTCAGGCTAAGCTGAAAGAATTCTTTGTTGAGTTCCACATTTAATCAGACAATCTCCTTCTCTAACTGATCCTAGCTTATGACTTTCAAATATTTTGTTTCCATTAACCTCTTTGATTACGTCACGTTACGGCATGAAGGGACATATGCAAAAAAATATTTCCATTGAAAGACGCCTCTGTTTTAATTATTTTGATAAGAGCACTCCAGTTGGGTATTTGGCAATTAACTGTCTAGCTTAGCAGGACTTACATCTCTGTACCTAGTGCTGAGCTGGTCGTGATCCAGGATGTAGTCAGGATATCCGATCCTCAACATCATCGTCTGAACCTTCTCAGCTGCCAGAGATTTTGTCTCGTCGTCGATCCACGTCGTCATCGAGAGAATCTCTTGGAACGACTGCTGAATCTCTGTAGTCATGATCAATGTCTGTTGACGCAAAAATTAAATTAATATTCTTTGGTGGCTCACTTTAACTATACATTCATGTTCATTCTTAAACCTGGTACTGTTCATCAACATGATTGGTTTAGTTAAATTGTGTTTAACTAACTTTGTACATTGAGAAAGGTACTTTGATGAACTTTCAACAATAAATGTATGTGTTCAACAACAGAAAAAATGCAACACAGTAAAAGCATAACAAATAAAAAAGTACCTACTAAAATGCTATACCGTATTTTAAAGTGAAGCCCATTCGCTAGTAAGTTTTTAAATAGGAGTTCAGCTAAACCTGAGAAAATGAGAGTTCAGGGTTCAGGAGCTAATATATACACAAAACAACTTACTAATATTATAACGTAATAACGCCAACTTTCCTTCTCAGCTAGCTATTAGGTAGTTTTCCCAAAAGTGCTGTGTAAATATAGAAAACAATACTGTCTAGTTTTCTTTTCAATTGGCAACTCTGAAGATAAATACAGTGTTGAACTGTAACTGACATTTCTCTTCAACCTCCTCTCTGAAGAAGTACTACACAGCAGGACAAAATATCACTAATATTAGTGTTATTTTCCCTTTTATTTTATCGTGTATTTATTAGCTCCTCGACTCTAATTTTCTCAAAGCTAGCTTAACTCTACATATTCCTGTTTCAAAAAATGCATATAGGCTACTAAAAGATTGATTAGAAACTTACATCATTCTTGCTTTTCTCATCAAAGTATTTGTGCACAAACATAGCGCCGACCGCCATCCCGAGGTTGCTGTTGACCTGAGTGACACAGTTCTTCCACCTCGGAGGCGATTGTTCCCGGCCAAACAGGATGTAGTAAAACTTCTGTTTCGCCTCTTGAAACCGATCGTCCAAATTGTTGACTCTGTGTCTGACAAATCTCCAGAGCAAGTAGTTGGAGATGGTTCTGTAAAAGTGTTTTCACTCAGCATTGTCATGAAATTCACATAATGATCACCATTTACACATTTATAGTTGATTATACATAGATTGGTGTTTGCTGATCGCTACAAAAATATTCATAATAGCATTGACTATATACATATATGGTCAATGATAATAGTTAATTTACTTATTATGTTGTATGAATAACATTTTATAAGCTTTGAGTTATTCAAGAATAAATTTATTTTCTTGTTTTTTCAACTTGCGCAGATCAATTGGTAACTCATGTAATCTTTCAATTCATGTTAAATGTTTTTAGCACTGTAATTGTTGTACTAGAGGACGAGGAACAAACAATAAAGTTAGACTAATGTTTTCAACAAACATTCATCAAGCATACCAATACAATTGTATAGTTATCTGAAGCTTGGATTCACTGTAGAATCCAAGTAGAATCGGCTTCAAATTTGGTGAAGACAAAATAAATAATTTTATGATTTTCACATAAACCGAATTAATATTTTTTGGCAGACCTAGTATATTTAGTATGAAATCAGTCCTTTAATCAAATTTGAGATATTCTATCCTGCTAATAAAAAAACGAATAGTTTTTCCATCAGAAATATTTTCCTCAAATCTATTCCCTCAAATTAAACCTTCAACTAAATTCACCTTGGAGGAGTCTGGCTCAACAGATACACCAAGTCCTGCATGTAGCGGAGGGCAAAGATGACGACAGGCTCGGAATGATTGATCTGTCTCTCCGTCACGATGGTCAAGTATAGCTGCCAGTCGATCTGTGGGATGAAGGCTCTCAGCTCTCCGACCGTCATCCTCTTGTACAACTCACTGACGTTACGTCGCTCGTCGGGCGCTGCTGTGATCTGCCGGGTAAAATGTAGACTATTAACAATTGAATAAATCAAGAATATCTCTTAACAGTTTTTATCCTTTTAACGTCAACCTCATAGTCATGGTTATGGGTCTAGAATAGCTAAGAACATTTTTTTGAAGCAAATGTTGTATGGTTTCGGAATGATGATTCAATATATGTATTTTGATTAACTAAGGTATAAGGTATCGTAAGAGTAATAGTTGATATAGTTGGTACTAGTATTTTGGGCTTGGGTATGGATAGTTAAACTTTCTTTAATACTAATCATCCTGACAACAACCAATAACTGATAAAACTAAGCCGTATAAGGTTGTAAGCTTACAATACCATTAGTTATTGATCAAATCTATAATTAATTAAATTACCTGGGTAGCCAATTGGTTATACTGATCGCCTTAAAATCAAAAAAGGTTGCTAGACATGCTGGTTCTATTCCAAGCAAGAATAATTTTAAGCCCAGAGGGTAAATGGCCCTGGCTAAAGATCCAGCTAATCTTTGCTTGTAACAAGGCTAATCCAACACCTACACACTTCACTTAACCTGAAAATAAACACTCTTGTGTGTAGGTATCGTATAATCTAACAATTGGTCAAGTGCATCATTAAGTTAGATGATCAAGCACTAAATTTTAACTGCAGTACTGAAAAACATACCTCAGCTAGAGCTGTCTCAAACGATATGACATCGTCTGCCTCGCTGGCTGCTCTCAGAGGGTCAGCACCCAGCAGTGTGGCTATCTTGACCATGTAGTCTCTGTACGCCTGCAGGTACACAAAGTTGACGGCCTGCAGGTAATACTCACGAGTCGGCAGTCCCAGGCTGGTCTGATCAAACTGTGAACAATCCATGAACAGAACAATCAATCTGTACAAGATCGAGTTGTAAATGTGTCAACTGGAAGCTGTACTCATAGGCTGGAAGAACTGCTTTTTTACACACTTTCTCTTTTATCAAAAACATGCCTGGAGAAAATTTACCCCGCACAGGCATTCTAGGGTTAAGCAATGGAATGTCTAGTTCTATCATCAAAGCCTCTCACCTGTATGACGTATTCATCACTGTTCTTGATGTCAGGTCCAACCCACTCTGAAATGAGAATGTCGTTGTTGTAGAGCCGCAGCCGAGCCATCAACTCCAGCCAGTCAAAGTTTGATTGGTTCCAGCAGGGACTGATGATCGGCCAACCACCGAGGGAATCTAGCAGTTCCATCAGAGGCTTCTCTCTTCGGTGTTCCAACATTTCTGAACAAAATCAGAACTTATTATTACAGTAAGAGAGAACATCAATCGGTTTTCATCATTAGCTCTATTTAGAATCTTTTGAACATGTTACCGGACTAAAATTTCTATCTAGTTACAACAAACTTAGGTCACTCATACTTAGTTTCATGACCAAAGCTCAGTAGTGAACAATGACACTAATGATAGTTATTAATGATAGTTTATTATTACTTATCGTTTAGGTCAGTGACAAAAGGGTTTCCACTTCAAGTTACTATGGATTGTTAGTTCCAAGAATTTCAAACTCATACTCCTACTAAAAAAAAAAAAAAAAACATAAATCGTACATAAGTTAACATCAATCACCATGCAACGCCAATCAGAATGCGGGTGTAGGAATGCCTTTTAAAAACAAAAAATAAAGTGTCGTTTAAGAGCATGGAAGTTAAGATGCAGTAGGAGATTTGTCTTGTAAGCGACTGGAAATGCCAGTTATTAGGGTGATATGAAGCCAGAGGGTGGCTGAAAGTAACTTCAGAGGGTGTTCATGACCATCGACCATTTTGAGACAAAAGGTCCATCAACTGATATGGGAGGAAGAGAAATTGATGAAGCAGAACACCTGGGGGTGATGTATCATCATAACTTTTTCCAACTTCCTCTCTGAATTAAAGCAGCAAAGGCCAAAATAAGAGGGACAACACAACCACAGAAAAGAAGACAATCTTCCTTGAATGATGGGTTTACCCACTAAGAGGGGCAGCAATAGGGTGCAAAATTATAACATTCCGCAGAAAACAGACTAAGATACCCAGGTAGAACCTCTTTAATGATAGGACCTCTCTGTCCTTCAACTATATCAGCACACAGGATAGTGAAGAAACTTTTGTAACTAGGAAGAAAAAAACACTTTGTTAATATGTTGCTTTTTTTAATAGAGTTTGAAGTAGACTCTAAAAAGTTTCAATTGTCATGCCATAACTTTATTCTGTTTTGTTGTACCTTTATTTAGAGTGTGGGTTGGTAAAATTTGGTGAATATATATTTGTTTTCCACATAATTTACGGAATGAGCAAAATATATACTTTTAATACACAAACAATTAAAAAATATAAACTAAAACTAAAATAAAAAGAACATTTTCTGTATAACCTCATTTGCTTTATTTTAAGGCAATTGGCAGACATAGGCAAGTGCTGCCTGTGCATCTGCTGGGTTGCTATCAAACAAATTTAGTAAACCAAATCATAAAAAATGTAATTATAGGAAAATGAAAATAGCCTGTTGCTTTAAAAAATATATATTAGTTTAGGGGAAAGACTGTTTATTTAATGCACTAAAATATATTAAACAAAATTAATTAGATAAAATACAGTTAATCAGTTTTAATCAGTTGGGGACAAAAAATATTCCTGCTGGATGGAGGGGACAAGGATAGGGTCAACCGCACCGGTAATCTGCCGTGTTGATTGTTTTTTGTTGAGTTGTAATATTATGGTTTTTTTAACAAAAAAGGCGAGTAATACCTTACCTTCATTCATGCAGCTCCTGTAAAGGTTCTTAGTCTTGACGTAAGGCTCCGGATCATCGCTCGTGGGGTCTGCTTCGAGCAGATCCTTCAGCACAGTATCCAGAGACTCCCGCAGGACCTCAAATGTGTCAAACGCTGCCTTATCCTTCGGAATCGGGTTGTGGCTACCCCAGTTGCCACATGCAAATTGGTAGAAATCGTCGCAGGGGTCGGCTGTCGTGTCCATGAACATTTTCATCAATCTGCCTAACACAATCTTGTGTGAGAAGTTGTTAAGTAAATTGATGATTTTGTTTTTTTAATTCCCCATTTTTCCAATCATTGTATTGATCAACCGGGAGAGATTATAAGGAATCAATGTTAGATTTAAGATTCTACTAGGGTTGTTTTGTAAAATAAGGTTTTTATTGCTCGGGTTTGACACGAGCAAGGACGAAAGTAAACTCTTGTTCAAATATGTGACCAATTCCGTCTCCTTTACTTCACGCTTCATCCACTACCAGTTCATTCCCACCTCTATGTGAAACTGCCACAGCGGTCTTGTCCTAGTAGCCTTTGACGATATGTCAGAGAAAGTTTTTGCTCCTGCCAAGTATCAAGTATGAATAGGATTCTCTTGGAAGGGGGTCGACCCCTATTGAAACCTGCTGCCAGTTGACAGGTTTGTATGTAGAAGAGTGTTTGGACTTAGAAAATATGAAGACTAACTGTTGCATATTAGTCAATGAAATAAAGAACATGGTCTCGGATTTGAACTACACACCTTGCTTTGGTGCAACTTAAGATTACTGGAAGTCTTAGTTTACACGACACCATAGGATACCTATTTTTCTAACAAAGCGTTACGCAAAGAGTGAGAATGACTTACTTTGCTCTTCTCGTATGGTCTTCACATCTCCCTCGCCCTTCCAGTAAGCGTGCTGCTGAGAGTTTGAAGACATACAGTCCGAGCTCAGCTGGTCTCTGATTGGTCCTTTCTCAAACTTGTCCTCTTCCTGGTGTTCACTCTGGTCCAGATCCTGAGATCCGCCTTCGCCTCCAGCGTCGTCATATATTATACTGCAAACAAGTTAAAAATGTGTTAATTACCAAATCTGCAAACCAAATGTTACCCCGTGTTAATTACCAAATCTGCAAACCAAATGTTACCCCGTTGATCTACAATGACAATGGGGAATTTCATTAAGCCTGCTTTTATTAGCGAATTTCCCTAAAGGGAAGTAGCTATTACCGTAGGTGGCACGGTAAAACCTAAGCTCGGGACCGATTTACTTTTTCATTTTTATGTCCCCAGAGGCCAAAAACACCATTCGTTCAAATTTTTATATATGTACATATATATATATATATAGATTTATAGGTATATATATGTGTCCGTGAACGCGATAACTTTAGTAATTTTTGTCCGATTTTGATGAAATTTGGTTTAAAGGTGTAAGGTGAGATAAACTTGAATGAGTTCGCGAACCAGCATGATCGGACCATGGGAAAGGGGTTTCCCGGTGGGTTTTGTGGGCCAAAAATTGGTTTTTCTCATTTTTGACCCCCAAAACACAAAATTTCCCAATTTATCTCTAGACCATATTAAAGAGCTTAAAAAAACAAATAATTTAGTATGTCAAAGTCTTTTTGTACGGTTATTAGTAACGGAGAAGAGAAAATTAAAAAAATTGTAAATTTAAAATTCCCATGTTATTCTTATGGAGAATATTGAAAATGTTGTAGTTTGTTTGTTTATGGATATATTTTTATCAAACTAGGCAAATTTATTTTTTTTATACTAAGCTATTAATATTTTACTAAAACACACTTTATTAGTTTCAGTTTCCTTGTGGCAGCAAACCTAGGTACTCGTTAAACCTAAATAGATTCAATTGAAAATCATTCAGAGAAATGGAAATTCGCTTAGTCGGCAGGTTTGCTGCGGTGGGGGTATTTTTATTTTTTGCAATCAACAAAAAAACATAAAACTATTCTAAAATAAGTCTTTTTAGGATACACAGGTCATAAACAAAAATAAGTTAAAACGGATATAAATGCCTAATTTGAGATGTAATTCACAGAACATCAAACCTATCCTTACAAATTCTATTCCTGAGCAGTCTTTAATTTTAGTTGAGCTTGTTCCATAGCTAAAACACAGATGGTGATCTCCTCATAAATTACACAAGACGAGAATTGAACCCTTAATTGTCAATCAAACAAGGCATTGGACTGCTTTTCTTTTGACCAGATGTAGTACTCTACCACACCACAATAACACTGGTCAACTAGAAGCCAAGTAAAATACATTTTTCAGCTGATCAGATCATTGCAAACGGTTGTGTGCTCTTTATTTTCAACACAGCTAAAAAAAAGACTTTGAGGATCAAATAAACCAAGGTGAAGGTAAAGTAAAACTGCAGACAAATTGCCTGTCACTATAAATTCAAAAGTTTGGCAAATTTCAAAACATACTTAACTTTTGCAAAACACGGGCATTCAGATAAGAAGTAATTTAAGCCAAGTATGAAGCGGCATCGTACTTACTGTGGTTTGATTTTGTTCTTGTTGTCGATGTCTGTGTAATCAAGAATGTCGAGAGGAGCAGTTTCGGATTCTCTGGAATTCTGCAACCCCTAAACACACTTCTGGGCATTAAACTATAGATATAGGTTAGGTTTAGGTTTTCTAAAAAAGCAATTTCAAACAAAAATCCAACTGTTTCTGGGATATAATACTATACCTTCCTGAAATCATAAAATCTTAAAAGAGTTTTAAATGCTTTGAAAAAGAATTAAAAAGATTTCTTGTGGCCAAACCGCTATATACAGTTTTGAGGATTTTTTTAGTGTTTAAGGATATTAAAATAAATATTTATTTTATATATATATATGTATATTAAATGTATCTATTTTCTATCTAGTTATTATGCGATATAATGTATGATGTATTGTTCTGAAAGCCATTCATGTATACTTTTGTATATATGTGAATAAAGTATCTTTGAATTGAATTGAATTGAATTCCAGAAGAAAACACATTGCCGCAAGGATTTTTAACAGTTCCATTATGGTATAAGTAAATCTTCTTTCTTCATAACAGTGTGGTGAAGGTTATTATATGAATGAATATAAAATTCAGCTTACCCATTATACATTAACATGAACTATGTGTGATTGACCAAGAGTAAAAATTTGTTGTTTCTCTAATACTCAAGGAATTGTACACAAACTCTTCTTTTTAGTAGCATTTTCTTGGCACTCATAAATCCATTATATATATATATATATATATATTATGAGAACTTTTTTGACAAATTTGTTACTAAATCCATGAAACATCTGTCTTTGCTTGTTGGAAGTGGAAAGCCTGCACTTAAGATAAACACCTACATTAGAAATCAAGTTCCTCTAACCAATAAAATAAACTGAAAACATCTATTTTATAAGTATAAAAGAGGCGGTGGGTTTGTTTGTAAATTTGATTGGCAGTGGTAAACTCAGACACTGCTGAACCTGAACCGATAGCCACAAAACTTTGTCTATACGTGTAGAACTTCATGGAGTAGGTTTAAATATCTTCAATTTTTTGATAACTTTCAGGGCTTAGCCCTGGGACCATCTTAAAGGTACCCTACCCATGCTGGATTTTGAAAGAATTTGACTTAAATTTGTTTACTAACAATAAAATAATATTGAAGATGCATCTGCTGTTACATTTGTTTTAATTTATGGTTTGTTTACTTTTTCCTAGAGTAAATCTTTTGATTCTGCCACACAGTTTAATGCAAATGCACAATATATTTACATTTAAATTTAAAAATCAATAAGTACGATCGAGTTTTGCCTGTATAATTCACATGATAAGTGTGTGTAACTGATTTTTACAGTAAATTTTGAAGCCCACATTATTCTCTCAAGTATTCTTGCCTTGTTGCGATGCACGGGTAGAAAAACTAGTATAAATTTTAAAATTAAAAAATTAAAAACAAAAACTACTCTTTTGAAAAATTGATAGATAATGAAAATTGTAAATGAAAATATAAAGTTCATGAATACTCTTGATTTTAATTTTGTTTGCTTACTTTTGATTTATGTTCTGTGTCACCAACCATATCCAAATCCTTTGTTATCGCTGCTGTTTGGTTTAGCTTCATTCTCGCTTTGATATGATTACCAGGAGTGCGAACCGGTAGGAACTGCACCTCTTCTTGTCTTCCAGCTGGGACCTCCCATACTATCTCGTCACTTACATTTCCCTGTCACATGCAAATGTATACGTCAATCATTTTGACTCTGATGTTTTTGTTATTTATTTGGTGTCGAAGAGGTGTTGCCTTACGAATTACTTAACAATTACTAATTTAGAGATTAAATACGTTGTTGCCAACGTAATCCTTGGTAGTCTTAATGGCTATCGGTTTCAACACACTTATGGTGTCATTGTCAAGCCTAGATGTGGTTATCGTTCCTAGGAGGTCGTCATAAAGTTTTCAAAACACATAATGAGACAAATAAATAACAAAAACAAACACAAATAAACATTTTTACGATCAAATATTAATGTATGGCTATACAACTCTTTAGAACAAAGCCAGCCTCTTCTTTTATAATCTCTTCTTGTATGGCTGCAGGTTCAGGTTGTAGGTCTAGACTACAGTCCTAGGCACCTAGGTCTACAACCTGAACCTGCAGCCGCACCGAAGAGTTGTATAGCCATACAGTAATATTTGTTCGTAAAAATGTTTGTTTGTGTTCGTTTTTGTTATTTATTCGTCTCGATATATGTTTTTAAGACTTTATGAGGATCCCCTAGGAGTGACAACCACGTCTGGCTAAACAATGACACCATAAGTGTGTCAAAACCAGTAGCCTTTAGAATACCAAGGATTATGTTGGCAACAAGGTATTTAACCTCTAGATTAGTAAATGATTGAGGTTTTGTGTTGAATATGACAAAAGTGTTGCAGTGAAGTGGAAAAGTATGTAGTTGTCTTTACATTTACCATTTCATTTGCACTGGGACCAGACATTAGGATCAGCTGAGAGATATTCACGTACAAGGAGTGAATGAACTGTAATGGTATGCAGCAGGCTAAACCAGACTTACAGTAAAGTGTAGGTTCCTTAAAGATCTTCTCAGTAAAGACAGGACGAGAAAAGGTATTGTACCTATTTACAAAAGTGTACAGTCATACAACATGGAATAGCATTGGAAATCTCGGTACTCTATCGTCTGCAAGGTTCGTTGGAAAAAAATAAGCTGATCATCTGATAAACGAAGATCAGATGATCATGACTCTACCATCATTACAGCTGTATTTATGATTCAATTTACTTAAACTTAACTGACAGTTTTACCAGTTTAGACCTATAATCGAGTCACCTTGTAAGTTTCAAAATCTGGCAGAGAGTCAGAGAGGGCTCTCCGTGCTCTAGCCAGAGAGATGTACGAGGCTTGCGTCGGAATACAACTTGTCTTGTCTTGGAGCAAGTCATGGTCGGCGTGCTCACGCATGTCATCGAAAATCAGTTGCTCTGAAATAATTGATAGCATTAACTTTGCCTTATGAGCATGTACAATAATATAAAGTGTGTATAGTTCAATAGTTGAAGAATATGTATTACTTTTTTATATCTGAATGAATTTGAAGGTCAGTCCAACCACCTTTGAACTGCTGGAAATTTAAGTAGAGACACCCAGATCAGTGACTAAACGGATGAAAACTCAAACAAAGTTAAATTAGTGATTTCCCTTAAATTCCTTTTACCAAGTGATTTTCTTGTTTCCAAAACACACAATGAAGCATGCTTGAATGAAAGAGCTGGATTTGGCATTGTAAACTTTAACATGATGGTTAAATATCTGAAACAATTTGCTTATTAATATACCTTTAGCTATTTAGTGATCCTTAACACACCCAATCAGAATAGACTACATGAAAAAGGGTTTAGATTGAAACTAATTGCTATCCAATCTAGTTTTGAGATTTAAAGTAAAAAAAGACTATTATATGAGCAAACAGCAGCAACTATTAAACAGTAGGAAATATTGTATTTTCCTTTGTTCCCAGCCTGGCAAACACCCTCTTACACCATAGTAAAAAGAAAAAGTCCAAGTAAGCTCACATTGATAATATATTCTCCGATTTTTTAAATTCTCTTGTCATTGAAAGGATTGGTAGTGTTGCTCTAAAATGTCTGGTTTTTGGGTAATGTTGGATTTTCAGGGGTCATTTAGGCAGGAATGAGGGAGTTATGAGGGAGGGAGGGGTTCCAAAAACATTAATTTATTTTATAAATAGCAGAGCGTGAACACCACTGATATGGTCTTTGTGACTATAAGATTGGCTTCTTTAGCCTGGACCATTTATTGAAAGCCGAATGATAGCAGCTGGGCCCATTTTTGAAATCAAACCATTACTAAACCTGAACAGATCACCAAACCAAAAAATAAATATATATTTTTTTAATAAACGCAGCATGTGGATTATAGAAACATATTTTAGAATCTTTCAGATGGTATCTGATTATGATTTATGGAATGCACTCATTAATCCTAAACCTCAAAAATGCTTCTTGAACAATTCAATCATCTGCTGTATGAGAGAGTTCTTTAAACCATACATTTATTGTGAAATACAAGACAAGAAAATGGATCAAAATATTACTTTTATTATTTTTCAACGTTACCTTCAAATGTAAAAGGATGAATGACAACAAAGATTAGCTAAAAGTTATGTGATGGAGAGGAAAAGCTATGGGATACAAACATTATCTAACTCAACAATGAATATTTAAATTACTTCCTACTTAGCATTGGCAACCTTGGAAATCTGTAGTTTGTGAAGATGTAATCGAGAACTATGTTAATCAACAGGAATAATACAAAACAATTGTGTAGCAAGAGATGATGAGAGAATAATACTTCACAAGTGGATGAATAAACTTGGATATCTTGGAGCTAACAATTTTACAATGACTGTGACCTTCAGTATGGAAGTAGCTAGGAGGAACTTAAGACCTGGTTTCTTCTCGAATATAGTCAAACTCTCCTGAAGTGGACAATTCATTGTCATTTCAAAGTTGTAGCCCATTTACAACGAGACCTATAAGCTCACTTAACTAACCCACCAACAAAATGGGCTTCTATAAATTACCCTTTTATTTCTCATACACCAAATTTTTTTCATGACTACACTATCTGGAAGTGTGATTTATTTAACAGCATGTTGTACCTATTCTATGTTACATCAAAAACCATCCACTTAACAAAAACTAAAAGATAAAAAACAATTTTAACTATCACACTTTGTAAGTGCTCAATGAACTGTGTTCTTTTTTTAATTAGTTTTTTTCTTTTTTTTCTACAGCCAGCCCATTACTAAACTGTTGTATGGGTTAAATATGTCTACTTCAGTATCCACAAATCAATGGTATAAATAAAACATAAGTACAGTAAACTCCCTCTTATCCGGACTCCTCGGGACCAAGGATAGAGGTTTTTCGGGTTAAACCGACGTCCCCAAAAACTCGTTAAAACGGACTGTTTAAATTCATACTGTATACAGTATAAAACTTAAATTTAGGAGAGCGCTTTTAGACACGTGATCAACGGTCTCAAATCTTACCCACGAGAACAGACGTTTCAGTATACCGCCCACTTCCTGCCGATCTAGTCCGGTTAAACCGATGTACCAATAAAAATTGTCCGGCTAAAGAGATGTAATTTCCGCCGAGTGTAGTCCAGTTAAAAGGTATCCGGATAAGAGGGAATCTACTGTAAAGGTCGGTCAGTTTACAACTTTTTAAGCATTGCTGAGAAGTATTATTTTAAATTTTATCATAAAAAGGCTTACTCGCAGTAGTCATGACGTTCAATGAGATTTATCCATTTGGGTTGACAACATAAAAAGATACACAGTACAAAATCAACAAACCATCTTTTTAAACTTGTGGCAGGTTAAATTCAAAATATAAATATCAAAGTAGAGTGGAAGCAGAAAAATTTTGACTATTTTTAATGAATCCCTAACATACCATACCTGTACGACCGAATTTAGAAACCACAAAACACAATTTAAACCTTAAATTTCCCTACCTGCCTGAGGAATGCGGGGAATACTTTTCTGTGAGGAGGAAGCCATCTTGACGACCCCGACGGAGAAAACCGCGACAGGCAACAGGATAAGCGTGACTCCCAGCATGATCCTGAGAGCTCTGTGCCGACCCTTCTCCTCAAAGTCCGCACACCATCTGAGGAAATAGTGTGTCGCTGAATACGGAAACAATATAATTTGCTGTGAAGCGTGAGCACAGTGCCAAGGTCAGGTGCATCTGCCATTCTGTCAAGGTCATCCAACAATAGTCCTACATTTGGTCTTGTTGTTAACAGGATAAACAGTATGTACCTGGTTTGCTTTGTGTATATCATTGATTGTGGAAGTATTCATTGATTTAATTCAAGCTAGTGTTTATCTTAAGCCGCTGTTATATAATCTAACACTTACAGCTGGAAGCAGTTAATTATTATAATTACTTGAATGAATTATACACTCTTTAAAGTAAAATACTGCTATTCTTTTTTTATCCAGGCCAAATAGTATACCAGATTGTGATTGTGTTCTATTCAGCAAGTCATTGATTGTGATTTTATCTGACTTTTTTTTAGCTAAAAATGTTTTTTGTAATTACTAATCAGAAGTCAGTAAGTGATCTAAACTATCTGTGATACAAACAAGAACTCATAATCAATACAATTTGTTTTACATTATTTTTTTGTAAAATTAGTTATTTTAAAGTGACAAAAGTGAGCTGTGAAAGTTGATGCATTATTGAAGACTATTGTAATATTAAGCAATCAGTGAGTTTACTTATCAAGTATAAATGGAAGGATTAGTGAAAAAAAAGCTTTGTAGAAAAGTGGGCTGTTGACTGAAGGTAGACGAGTGTTTTAAAACAGAAGTTTTTCTTTGTTAAACATATATGAATCTTGTTTTGAGTCAGTGTTTGATTCAGCACAGAGAGTGAGGTACAGAGGAAACTTTGGTTATGGGACGAACGTGCGCTTTCAGCTCTAGTGTTGTGCCGGAAATATACTTCTGACGAACAATGAAGAGCCAGAAATGCGAGAACTGTGTGGAAATTCTAATAGCACAGGGTTTTCTTCTACTGTGAGAATTGTAGTACACGAGGGCGAGGGAGCCGGTGTTGGGCTTTGCCCTAGACACCAGCAACTATGCTAGACACCACTTAGGTGTACCATGGAATGTTTCCTCTGTACCTTCCTTCTTGGTGTGTTCAGTTATGCCTAGTGTTTCAATATGAAATTACAGAGATGTTTGCATCTACTGGTATCGCGATGACAACTTGCATTGCCAATTACCTAACTGTGAATATCTAATTGTTTAAGAGATTTAATTTGATACGTAATATTTAAATGTATATAATTAGATTAATTTAGCCTACTAAACCCTTAAAAGAATATTTTTTTTTTTTATTGTATAGACTATAAAAACAATGCCTCCTAATAATTAACAAACATGAGTTTTGGTAGGTAGGCCTAATGTATGTATGTATTTCTTTTAAAACTCTTTGATTGACTTTTGTATTCTAAAGCAAAAATTACTGAACATATGTATGGACTAAAAATAGCATATAGACATCAAAAGCGTGTTTTATACTCACATATTTTTCACACCCAACGTGTGCATGATCAAAAAACTAATATTAATTCCAAAAAATTTTAAAAACTATGTGATTACATTTTTGAAACTCTACAAACTAAATATGAACCAGAAAAACAAAGTGATCATTCATACATCATTAACTAAGTGTGAATAATGAGAGCTTAAAGGCCACATTTCAAATACTGACCCTGACAACTTGGATTGTAAGAAACAAAAACTTGCTATCTCAGAGTTCGTGACACATATAGATCACTACGCTGTTATTTAACAGCCGACAATTAAAAAATTAACGCTGAACTTTTATTTATAATCTTACAGATAATATGAGAGTCAAAATGTGCGGTTAAATCTATTGGGACATTACTGGTATGATTATACCTATTATTAATCTATAACAGAAGCTAGAAAATGTTTTCAATTTCTAATTCACTCCATCATTTACAATTTTTGAAGTAGAGGATTTTTTTAAGTAGCCTAGATAGGGAATAGTATTTTCATTACTAATCAACATAATTGGCTGAGCTTTAGATTCTTTAAGATCCTGAGTACAAGTCCAAAATCTTTTTGACAGTTTGAAACTGGACCCAGCTGCCCTTGATCTTCAGGTTTTTAGTTAATGGTCCTGGCTATCCTGCTGAGCCTAGTCAGTAGAAAAAGCTACCATCTCATTCGTCCAACACTAATCTTTCACCATAGTCGCAGTAACCGTGCTACTAGCTAATGGTAAAGAAGTAATTTGTCAAATCTCACCTGCGAAAAGCACGAACAAGTAGCTCTGAGATCTTTCTGTGTGTGGATTTGAATCCCATACATTTGCAATCCCTAAGCTTACTAATGTGTCTTAGCCAGTGGGATGGTCCTTAAATATGATGTCCGGCCTGGGTTGAAACTGACGGCATCAGTGAGCTTAGGTATTGCACACAATATCCAGTGTAGGGAAGGATACAATTTTTTCCCAGAGCCAAAGGATTAAAATACACATGTTGTATTGGCTTCATGGTTATAATCATAGTTATCAGCGTGGTTACTAATTTTTTTTTTATTTTAAATGCCGATTTGAATAACATGGAGTTTAACAGAGTCCTGCAGTATGGCTGGATATTTCCTACTTAACAAGCATGATTTCCTAAATTTTCCCTGTAATATTTCTGTACTTTAGGTAAACATGATCAACATTAAATAATAATATAAAGCTGAATCAAAGTCTTACTTAACTCTGCCGGTTTGTTTTGAAGCAGTGAGCCGACAACACTTGCTACAGCATACCAGCTTAGTCTGTAACGCACAGTGTTCTTATGATCGGGTGCACGCTATAGTGAAACTAGTACAATATCCTTCAGTAACTTAAGTTAATCAAAATGAACCACAGTCTAACAAATTGCTTGAATTTATATTCAGAGTTGATATCTTTACCTACCGGTACCTATATAATTTTTTTTTCATGGATAACTCCAAGAGGGCACTGTGCAATTTTGAGTTTCAATCACACACTTTTTCCCTATCTCATATTTAGCCTATTTCAGTAATATTACTAATATTTCATAACTAAATGTCCACATTACGACTTTTTATTATTTGCTCAGATTAATATCAATTTTAATGGATATTGTTCATACAATTGACTGTACCTATTTATTGTTCGTATGAAAACATTATTTTATTTTAATTTTTTCCACCTGAACAATAAAAAAAATTTTAAAGTGGGCCTTATGCAACCCTTAGAAATATCCTCATGGTTTCATCATTGGCTACAATTAATTGTCAATGGTTGTATGCAACCTTAATGAAGCTCTTATGAAATATTCGACAAAGTTCATAGTATGGTTATTATTACCTAACTAAAAGAAACAAATTATATAAGTTAATAAAAATAAATTATAAATACTAAAACTTTAAGTTTATATAAACTAAAATTCTGCGAATCGATTAAAAATTTGGGATCTGGTGGTACAAAGCTTTTAAAAAATGAAGGATGGATGAATGGTAAAAATTAAATGTATGTAATGTATTAAATGTATTGATGTTTCCAACATTAACGAACTTGTAAGACATTGGTAAAGGTAGCCAAACAAACTATTTAACTTTATATCTGTTTAAAAATTACAATCCTAACTACATTACCACAAAGCATTACAACAAGAGATAAAACTGTAACCACAAAATTGCTTAAACAAATCATCAGCTAGCAGTACCTATGTATCATTACACAAGCCTTAATAGTCCTATCCTACCATATTGAGGGTTGACACTTGTCAGGTTGACACGGTGACAGCACTTGATACAGAAATTACATCAAATGAAATGGTCAGTCTCAGCAAGGATTCAGGCTTGACCCACTAATTCATCGGGACAATAAGTTTAACCTTGGTGTGGTCTGACCTCTGGCCTAACATCACTCTACCAATCGTTGCAGGTAACGTTTGACAATAAGTTTTGTTCGCAGAGATTCAACTTGGAAGAATTATATGTTTTGGGGAAAATTCATCTTTGTATTTTGGGAGAGATAACTTTGTAGTTTTTTTTTTATGTGTGCATTGACTCTTTTGGAATTCCAAAACTGACTTTTTACAGCAGATAAAATTATGCATTTTGTATGTTGTCCCGAGAGGCCAAAAACACCATCCGTTCAAATTCATAATCGTATACATGTACTGGACATGTACCTATAGTATGTGTATCCGTTAGCATAATAGCTCTAGTAAAAATCATCCATTTTGATGATACTTGGTATAAACGTGCAAGACTACCTCATCTACGGGTGTTTATAGGAGGTTTTATAAAGTAAAAATTGGTTGGAAATATCACAAGTTTTACAGTTTCTTTCAAAAACCATTTGCAGTGCTTAAAAACAAAGAATTAGTATGTTGATGTTGTTATGCACTATATAATTAAGGAAAAAAAATTAAATTCAAAATTCTTACGCTATTCTTATGGAGAATAAGTTTACTTTTGTAGTTTACTTGTTTATGAACATTGATCACTTGGAAAATGTATGTATTTTATACCGGTACTAAACTATATTAATCATTTCATAAAAAACATTTTTTTACCTTCTCTGTAGCATCAAAAACTCGTTAGACTAATTTTATTGAAATAAGGAATGAATAAAAAATTTTTAAGGAGATATTTTAGAGAAAATCTATTTAGACAAATGGAAATTTGCTTAGTCCGTAACAGGTTTGCTGCGGCGAGGGTATTACATAATATTTTTACTGTGGGGATTTTTGAGATGGATTGCTCATAATTTTACATTAAAAACATAAATGAAGTAAACAAATATTTCACAATAAATATGTAGTAAATATTTTATGTGGATACAAGCACGTAAAGGAACCATGCAAACCCCTGTTACATGATTAAAATAAACATTCAACAAAGACAAAAATCCTTATAAAAGTATATGTACGAAATTGTAATATATATCGTATTGTACAAGAACAAATGAATACCATCAGAAAACCGTTTTCCAACCAAATTCACAAATAGACAGTTTTTGTTGTGTATTTGTTCTAAAACTTTTTGAAAGACTGCCTAAAACATGGGTTCTTCCTAATTTTAAAGAAATTAGAGGATAAATTAATTTAGATTAACAGAAACCTCACCTTATTAATTCATAGACTGATGCGTATTTTTCTTCATGTTTAGATTATGAAAAATTACTGAAGTTTTTTTCTCACTTCTCAAAATTAAAATTTGTCAAATGAAACTGTAATCTGTAAACAAACAAAGAAGTTTAATAAATAAACAAATCCAAACATATGTACTTTTATAAATAAACATAATTAAATCAGTGTGTTTTAACTTTTTTTCAATGCTACAACAATATTGTTTTACTTCTAAAGACATACTGTAGAAAACCTCTAAAGACATACTGAAGAAAACCAGAGCAAAATATTCTAGTTGCATTAAACTTGAGTCGTCATTCAAACAGATTTGTGATTAAAGAAATTTTTTAATAAAAAGTCTACCTTACTTGACCTGAGCTTACCTTTGATCTTCCTCTCTTTCCCATGTCTCTTCGCACCTGGTCCTGCCATCTTAGCCGAGGTCGTCCTAGTGGTAGTCTTCCCCAAGGAAGATTTTCAGACAAAATTCTTTGTCTTGAATCTTCTTCTCTTCCATCACATGACCAGCCCATCTCAGTGTTCTCTTCTCCTACTTTTTATTTGTGCTATTATATCTCGGTTTAGATTGTCCTTAGATCTTTTGTTTGATAGATAGTTCCTGATATTTTATTTTATTGATTCTTTGTCATTGTCAAGGTTTCAGATCCGTAGAGTGGCTGTATTTAGTTTTGCATGGTTTTGTTTTGGTTTTCCTTGACAAATAAAGTTTACTTTTTAGTAGTGATTTAAGCGCCCAATAAAATTTATTCCCCACAAATAATCTGCCATTTATCTCTACTTCTTCTTAATTTTCTTGGTCTATGGTCACTCTTAAGTATTTAAACCCTGTACTCAGTTAGAATTTATTGAAGAGAGTTCCACATCAAAATCTTCTAGGCATCGTCCAAATTCGCTTAGTAAGGATGACTTCACTAACTCGATAATATGATTACAATATATTTGACAATAAATAGCTTCCCCGGCTTGGTGAAAGTTGTCTCTAGTGTTACTGAGGAGAACTCTATTGGGAATATTTTAGTGCAGTTGCCATCGTTCAAAAATAAATTAAGCTTGTTGGTTCAAAATACCACACTGACCATGAATCATGAGTTGCTTACACTACTTTACCTACGATCGTTTGTAAAACATCATAACCTATACTCTTTCTGTTTAGGTATATTTTTCTGGGAAAAGGTAGGCTACTGGGAGCAGCATTCTTACTCAAAGTTTCAGGTACAAAAATACAAATATTACATATCTTTTAGCAATACTGAATTATTGTAACAGTTTACTAAAAACAGTAACAACATTTAAATAGAATTAAAAATTATTAAAGTATCTAATTATCATTATTATCAGTGAAGGATAATGAAGAAGCTGGTCGTTATGAGCAGATCATCACAGTTTTACTTCTTTTAACGTATTTGAACCTTACTGCTCCATTACTTTACCACACTACTGCTGTAAAGTAAGTAAACATTGCAGTTAAGTACTTAAATAATTTGGTAAAGTGAATCTTTTCAAATCTCAAAATTTAATTGAAAGGCTTTATTATAAAAACTGTAGTAGGTAAACGAATGTTTTCAGAATGGTGCACTGCACAATGACCCCGACCGTCCTCACAAACCTTCTCCCCCAAAACGCAACTCCCGGGGGTGATGAGGACTCTTTAAACTCAATGAACACTAGTCAAAATCACAGACAGATCTTGTTGTCATGGGTGTACAAATAAGACAATTTTATAATACAACTTTAGTGTATTTGCATAATGATATTATCAACATAAATGTTACACACAACAGGTAAATAATTACAAGTCCTAGAGACTCACAGTACTTACAATACTAGCATGATATCACAGACAAGATTATAATATATGGTTAAAATACAAAACATCTCTTACAAACAAGCCCATACAGTTTAACGTCTTGTGGACCTTATCAAAATACTAAACATACTGAAACAGATTGTTATATTGAAAGTAGGAAAATCAACTAAAAATATAATTACAAATTTGTTCATAGTTGCCCCAAAAATGGAAACATAAGTATTGAGTTAAATTAAATTACAACAATTTTTCTTTTTAAAGTTTGTTAGAATAAAATGATTATTAACCAAAGATGCAATGTTTTCCAAACGCATCTTAATGATTTTAAATTATCTAGATTTGGTGGTTTCTTTCCTTAAAGACAGCTCCAGACATGTGCCGTTTGCCAACAAAATATTTGACGTTCGGCGATCTAGTTGTCTTGCTATTCGCACAACATGTGTCTTGCTATAGTACACATCAACACCATGTGTTCTTTTCCGAGCCACTGTCCGTTTTTCGTTCGTTTTGGGAATAGCAAATATTTGTTCACTTTGATGTGTGCAAAAATACCGACAATGAACGGGAACACCTATCCAGACAAACATATAGACAACACCTAATAGACAAACACCTATCCACACTACTCGCGATTCGGCGAGTCGCTGCTCGGCGCTTGGCAAATGGCGTATGTCTGGAGCCGCATTTACTATTATAATTTTTACTTAAAGACACAAGTGATTTTTCCTCAGTACCATTGTATAGAAATGTAAGGCTAAAAGAACCAGTAGGATCAACATCCAATACCAAATCTTAACAAATATTAAGTCAATAGCATAGTAAATTTATAATTAATTTTTTTTCAATGGATTTTCCAAAGTTGAGTTTTTGTTCAATAAAGCTATTAGTTTACAAAGTTATTATAACATGGTTTTTTGATAAACAACACAACGCTACATCTAACAACTAAATTAACCTTAAAAGAAATGGACTAATCCTATATTGACTTCTGTTAATTGTCTGTGGGTAAATAATTAACAAAAATTAAATACATGTTTTAATTATTACAATCTGTTAAAACCCTACCTGATAAGTTGAGCTCTATTCGAATAAACAATTGTTTATGAAGCAACAATGTGTAGTTTGAGTTAATTTAAGCTACTAACAGTTTTATACATGATGTTAAGTTTTCCACTTAAATTTGGATACTCGACAATCTCTTTTGAATACAAAGAGAAATTTAAAGCTGCATAGAATATGGATCTTTATTTATTCACAGTTTTGAGTTTTATCTGGACAATATCATTTTATTCTGTTTCAAACACTTTCGACTCACATTATAGCTGCTTTAATAATATGAATGTTGATTTTTCACTGTAGTTATTCAACTCAGCAATAGCATTTACAATAAGAAAGTTATAGTCTGTTAACAAAATTCAGGCGGTTTGGGGGGAAGTTCCCCCACTACTTTTTGGCTTAATATACATTTTGCAGCTGATTGATATCTCAGCTGTTGAAATATTAGTTTAAGTTAAGATTAACTGGAGGTTATAGATTTCTTCCCCTAAAACCATCTAAGTTTTGTGAACGGAGTGTAGGTAAATAAATACATAATTCTTGATGGATAAAAATTAGGAACCGGTACATAAATATTTTGTTCAACCAGTTGCATTGAAAGGATTTCAACACAAGCTTAAACATAAGCAACATTATCACATAAACATATTTACAAGTTTTATTCTGGTCCTTCTGAAGCCGGATTTTCACATTAAAGTTAATCACTTAGTTGGAAACCGTTTAATTTGCCCTGTCAATAACACATTTGACAGTTTTTTGGGAATAGAGCCTTAGGTACCTTATGTGACTCAGCCTTCCTCTTGTAACACTCTAAATTAAAACAATCCTCTTAATAACACTGTGACATGTACAGACAATATAGCCAAAGAATTCCAAGAGTTTACTTTAATTCAAAATTTCCTTTAAGTATTAGTAATTATATCTTATTACAAGAAATAACATAAATAAAAAGTAGTTTCTGTCATTTAAATTCCTTTTTATTTTATCATCATCATTCTTTAACCAATGTTTATTTATTTTATGAGAAATTATTTAGATGTTTTTAAATTCACCCTTTGGATATCATAACAGAACCTATAATAATTTCCCTTTCAGAATGATAATGGAAAGGACTTGGTCCCATACTGAAGACACCTTTGAATGTCTTAATACTTTAGATTAAATAGTTTTAAATATTGTTTGGATTTAAAAGAAATAGTATCAAAGCAATGGGTTCAATACTTCTTACTTCAAAGATATGCAACCATCAAGTCCTTAATACACTTACATGTTTCCTTTGAAAAAAAATAGTATTTTTTTCACCAACTAACTCATATATTGCTAGGATTTTATATAGATACTTATATTTGACTAGAAGATAACTTTGGTGAAAAATATTAGGGTATACAAAATAAATATTTTGTGTCAGTTAATTATTTGAAAATGTTTTTAGTTGTTTTATCAATTGATTGAAAAGCCTAACATTTTATTACTAAATGTATGATGTTGTTTTAAATTTATTTGTTTGTTATAAAAACACCCTTTGCTAATGTTACCAATATTTCAACTTTTTCTTTTAGTTTTGTTTCTGTTATTTTGTCTCTAGATTTGTAAGTTTTCTAAGCATAATTTAAGATGAGCTTGACACACACACTCGTCGTCACCAATCACAACGTTCTTCTGTCTACCAGACTTCACATTTATTTACAGGATTCATCTTGGAGCCCAAAGGACAGTTGAACTCCTTTGAAAACTCGGGTGAGTTTGAGAGTGACCCGATCACCCGAAACTTGGGTGGGGCGTGAGCATCCTTCTCTATCTGTAGATTGGTGGCTTCTTCCGTGCTGGCCGAGCACCAAACCTAAAAGAGTATACGTTTTAAATTGAACGAATCATATAAATATTTAATTTATCCAGAGAAAATATTATGTTTAATATATTTCAGCGTGAAAAATTGTAATTATCAATTCTTTGAAACAGTAACTTTGTTATTGACGTAAAGCAGATGTTTTGATGGTTAGGATTATTTATAAAAAGCCCAATGATCAGGGAGAAGTGGGCTCAGTTTCAAACCATTAAAAATCTAATAACTTCTCAGGATCAAACTGGTAGCATTCCGGTACTGTAGCACCGGTAGCAAGTACTTCATCCACTTGTCATCCTTTTGTAAACTCTAGTTCATGTTGGTGGCATTTGAGCGCTAAAGTCAACTAAACATTATTCACCTACCCCGGATAGATTTGGGGATTTGAAATGTACTCTTTGGTTTTATAAACCTGATAAGCTATATTTTCTGTAAATATATGGTTTTATTTTATCAAAATACAGTAGAACCTCAATTGTTAGACACAGGCAGTGATGACGTAACATGTCGGCAGTGGCCGATGACAAGTTCGCCAAGGTAAAAAATTAGAGCCTTCTTAATGTGTTCATGCACGCCAAAAACCCAATACTGTAACCATCCCATTAATTAACATTCTTTTCTGTAAATTATTAGGTGCCAATTCACCAAAGTGAAAAGCAGTTGAATATTAAAAGCTATTTTATGAAAAAAGAAGACAAAGAATGTACAGTGGAGCTTTAAGTTGATATGTTTGTTTATTTTTTGACATGTTACAGGCTAATTCAAAATTAATACCACAACTTTAGGAATTTAAAACTCTGTAAAGAAAAAAAGAAGAGCTAAGCACTTATTTGACATATTTTTTGTACTTTCAGGCGTTTTAACTTTAATGACACATACGATGCTGATCAAGAAGTTATTTAAATGATTAATCTATTTAGTATGTTTTGATCTATATGACACGACAGACCTGTGCGAAGCTGAGGAAGAACAGCTGACGATGTGTAAGGTTGAGGGCCGGCAGAGGAGGCTCTTCATGGTTGCGTCTCACCCAGTCCAAATAAGCTCTGTACGCAGCCTTCAGTCCTCCGTTGTCAGCTATATTCTCCCCTGGCGAATAATTGAAAATTACATCATACACTTCGGTAATCGTTTGTAATCGTTTGTTCGGTAGTCGTTTGGTAATGGTTTGTCATTTGTGTGGTAATGCTTTCTAAACAAGACCTAAGCTCATGAAATATAAGTATTTCCTATCATAATCTAGTTCGACATAAAGCTGATGCACAGGATTGTGTTTATTTTGATCAGCTGTGATAGAAGCAATTTAAAATAAATTATTATTTTGATATTTATTTTAATATATAACTGGGTTCTACCACAGAAAACATACTACTTAACCTAGAATGCCAACCGCATGGTAAAAAGCATTAAGTGTTTTGAGAGAGCTTTGCCTGTCAATCGTAGGCAGCGCCACCAGCGTTGCTTTTTACCATGCGGTTGGCATTCTGGGTTATAGTAATATGTTTTCTGTGGTTCTACCCGGCAGCCTGAAGTTCTATTCAAGATGGCAGATTATATGGATTGAAATATAGTTTGAGATTGAACATGCCTCTATTGTGCAAGCTCTCAACATTTTAAAACTAACTAGCGTACATGTTGCTCGAATTCGAGCAATTGCAATGTATTACAGGAGTTATTTCAAAACGAATAACAGTCATATTTACAATGAGTTTAAAAGAGTCAACTCAATGATTACCGGTGAGTAACTCAGACCATGTTTATCTTCGTTATTGATAAACCTAAAGCATTCCGGTCGGTTTTCTCCTTCTCTAAATGCCTCGCTGTACAGGCAACACAGGTCATTGATAGAGGGCCAATTGAGAACAAAAAGTCGTTTTTGGGTAGTGTTAGGGTGCATTTGTAACCTAATAGTTGAGTGTGTCCAGGGTCAGGTGCCGACTGTGATGAGTTAAGCCTAATACGCGCCACTGATCTGTAGCTGTGGTCGTTATCACGATTACGCCTCCTGTCTATGTTTCGTTTTCGTCCCGTCGGAGACATTTAAAAGAAAAAAACAACAACAAATAAACAAATTATAGGTACACAAAAACACTATAAATGCACAAATTTAAGTTAGGATCATGCTAACCCGATCCGTCATAGCGACACAAAACAACCATAAATACACAAATTTAAGATAAAACCATACTAACACGATCCGTCTTGGGGGTTATGTTTACACAAACTCAAATAGTAAACAAATGTACTCGATGCGCGAAACGGCACACGGAAGATTTCTCAGGTACTGTTTGATGTCACTAACTGCTGACGTCACTTTGAGGGAACACCAATACCGCAACGATATGGTTTAGAGCCATCGGCCTCGGTGGCGCAGTAGATAACGTTGCGGGCTGATAAACTGAATGTTCCGGGTTCGAATCCCCGGATTCGAACTTTTTATCAACAATTTTTTCATATCAGCGAGTTTGGTTGGTTTGGTTAGGTTATTACAGTTTAATTTTATAATTAAAAAATTATAAAATTGAATTTTAGGCAATTATAATTTTATTTTATGAACAAAACTATGTTTTAGATTAGTAAACCTTTATTCGATTTTTCCATTATCAGCTCGTTTGGTTAGTTTGGTTAGGTTATGACAGTTTAATTTAATAATAGAAAATTATAAAATTGTCTGTTTCTTCAGACGCAGCAGTTAGTGACGTCAAACGGCACCTGAGAAATCTTCCGTGTGCCCCACCGTTCAATGCGTTTCATTGAATTGAAAAATAAATAACAGCAATTAAATTATACAGCTGATCAAAATGTAAACAATTATGTTCCTCATAAGGATAACATGGGAACTTTCAAAGCCACTGGGGCAGAGCCCAAAGGACTTTTTCAAAAATGTAAGGCCAGTTTGCAAATCTACGCAACACGCTCTTTCCAGTGAGACGTCAATGGATGAAATTGGTTAATAAATGGCGGAGAAGTTCAACCGACAAAATTTCATGTAGCGTATTAATTATATAGATTTGATTCCAATGATTGTGTAAGTTTGTGTTCATATCAGAGCTTGCAATGGATGAAGACAAATTAATTTTTAAAAGATATTTAGAAGCTAAAATTACATGTGGACTTTTACTACGACTTTTACTTTTATGACTAATTTACGGATTTTAAAAATGATTTTGTAAATACTTAAAGAAACAATTACAAAGTTTCAGTTCATCCAGTGCATAGTTTGGATGTTTGTGAATATTTCACAGTTTATTTCGACTCGATAAACACTTTAATAATGACATGAGGTTACTTTTTGTAGGACCATGTTTACGTGGTAACCAGCCGGCAGGTGGAATCCTCTTAAGAAAGAATTACAACTTTCCTCCTGCTATAACCTTCCCAACCTCAAACCATAGGAGGACTTAACTAAACTTCTCTAAATGGTGGAAGAAGCCACTTTATTTTGAGAAAACCCAATACTTTCAAGATCAATTAAAAAATCACAAGGGAAGTTCAAGCCTTAAAACCTTAACTTAGTAAAAGTTCACATGAAAACTTTTACATTATTAAAGTTTTGAAACTTGAAACATTTAAGTTCTACTTAATGTTTTATTGGCAACAGCAGTTGTCATAGCTTTCAAAATAGTGCTCTCTAAAGCTGCAATTTGTAACTGTAAAAAAATATGTTAATTCTATGCTAGCATATTTTAGAGGGAGCTATGAGGTAGTCTAAGCAAAGCCATTATATTGAATTAGTTAAGTTACTATTTGTGTTTACCGCTAGAAAACGGTGATGTTAAATCATGGAGCACGAGTTCTTACCATTCAAAGGGGTTTGTAAATATTTTTAAACCACACTACACTGTTTTAACAAGCTTTCCGCACAAGGATTTTATCCAGAAAACAGCAGTTTGCTGTCTGCTTAATCAAATGGGGTTTCATTACGTACTACTGTACTGTAGCCAAATGAGTTTTTACCAGATACCAACCAGCTGATTGTATTTGGAAATGAGTGGTTATAAACAAAAAAATAACCTCTCTGAGTGGTTATGAGTAGTGATTGTTAGTCCTTTAGTCGGTGGAGATGTATTAGGATCTAAAGGAGATCTACAGATTTTGTAATTGTTAAGACTGGGACAATGGGGTTGTCCTGTAGTCCAGCTACTACTACGTCACAAATTGTGGATATTTATAGCCATGCTCTGTGGATGCGATATTCCCTGGTGTGGATTAACATCTGCACTAGTGAGTACTACAACTTTCCGCAGTGTTCTATCCTGATAACTAGTTAGACCAATTTGTTAATTGCAAGGCAAAAATGTGGTTTAGATTCCACCATAAACTGTAGGTCCCTTTGTTGCCATTGGCTGTATGGGCTGTTAAAATTAACAGCTGTGTCTAAGGAATATATGTCGGCCTCAGTCACTAACAAAACTACAAGATCGCGCCACTCATCCTACACTCATCTCCATTCATACTCGGCTTAAAATACCTACTTTGTATGGTCGCCATTTAATAAGAAAGAAAGAAAATAAAGTCTTACCTAGAGTTTGTTTTCCGTTGAGATGTTTTCCGTTGATCTCGTAGCTACTGTACTGCTTCACAACACATTCTGTCTGGTTCTTGAACTTCTCTATAGTCTTGTTGTTCCACCATTGATGAAGGTTGCCAAATTTGTCATACTCTCTTCCTGTTAAAGATGCATTGGAATTTTTAAGTTTCTAAAGATTTTCTACCATCTCCACCCTTATTCTAATATATACTTTTGAGGCTTATAAGTATATAGAGCAAGTGAAAAAATTAAAAATTTGCATTTTAGCAGGTAATAAAGGCATTGTGTAGTACTGTAGAAACATCCAAAATTAGTGATAAACTGTTAAATTATTATTTGATCAGACTTTAAAGTTGATGCTCACTAGAAGTGAGCATAATATAAATAATAAATTTATTCATATGATAAGGATTGTTTTATAAACGTCCAAAATAAATTGTTTTTCAAGAGGTGACAAATTTTAATGTCGGCTAAATGAAAAAAAACAATACTTTCCAGAAAAAGCACATTTTCTTTCTTCTAATAAAAAAAATATAGATTGAGATTCAAAATTAAAATAACTACCTATCACAAAAAGCTAAAATGATATTGTGTATTTTACAAGGTGCAAATTTAACACAAAATAAATCAACTATTAAGAAGTACATAATTCTAAAAACAGTAAAAACTAAAACAACATACTGTATTTGTCTCCTTAAACCATGCACAATGTTGCAGGACAATTCATAGCAATAAGTTAGCTGATATATAATAAAAATAAATATGTCAATTTAGTATATACTAGTTCATGTAACAATCAAAAACAAAAATGTATTAATCAAAAACAGTTTTCCCGTTATACCATGTAAAGCTTAATGCATTTATATTATATGTCTATTTGCAAAAGCTATCAATCTCATTGATATGGGTTTACTCTTTCATAACAAGAGTGAAAGGAAGTCATTACATATTTGAGACCATGTTTGAAGTGCAAGATTTATCAAGCACTTTAAATGGTTAAGAATTTGTATAGACCCACATTCACTCGTGTTTTGAACGTTACTTTTTGCTACACTACGAAGGCTAATTAAAACAGACATTGGATATTTTTTTGTTAGTTAGGTAGGAAGTACAAAACTCATAGCATTTTTTAGGTTATGCCTTAAATTGAAAGTTAATATTTACTTTGGTTGTACAGTTTTGGTTATTGAAAATTGAAACAGTTGACATAACATAACTAATCTCTGTTTGTTTGCGTCGGCAAAATCCAAAAAATATAGTAAACATTACTTTCGAATAGTAAACATTCTTTTTCCGTGGTAAACAATGTAATGATGAATTTTCGCAGGTGATAAACATGAAGGTAACGAAAATGGTCATTTCACAATAGTGTAGCAAAAAGTTGTTTTCTCAACTGCGCTGTATGCAATTGTAAAAGGGTTTAAAGAAAGGTATAAACTATTATATCAGCTGATTAGCTGTCGGCTGTTGTTTTAATTCAATGTTAGAGTGAGGTGGAGGGGATGAAATTGCTTCCCCTCAAACCCTCTAAATTTTGGGAACAGAATCTAATAATTACTTTAACTCAAATGTGTAAAACCACACATTATGTGTGGTATAGTTACTAAATTAAAAGAATGTAAAATGTTATATAAAACTAGTTGGAATGAAAAAAAAAATTAAAAGTCCTTAATGAGTTTTGAAACTTAGTTCAAGTCATGCTAAATATGAGGTTCACAACTCATTACACAACATTTATTGATGAAGGATTAGGAAAGTCTCCCCATGCGCAGGCAACAGCAATCCTAGAACCAAGAAGTACATAGCAAACATGCATTGGGGGAAAAAATGTTGTACCTTGAAAAATATTAAATCAAATATTGCTTGTTTCAACTTTCAACCAACTGTTAAATGTAAAAGGTTTTAACTGGTTTATGAGCATTTAGCCTTAGGAATTAAGTAAAGTACTAGGTACTATCCTGTTCCTTATGAAATACCTTCATGCTTTCCGTCACAGTTGCAGTAGGCCTAATGTGTGTTTTTTGTAAAGAACAAAATGGTTATAGGTTGACTAATGAGTATGTAATAAGATTAGTTGTTTAGTTTTGTCTGTTGGTCATCCTGCAGATAATAGGCCTACTAAAAATGTAAAGATGATGTATGTACTCAGTGTTTTAGAGTTAAAATTAAAACTGGTAATACCAAAATAGTGTTTAATTTCACAAGATAAAAATAATTAAAACAAAGAGTACATTAGAGTTTACAGCTCCTTACGCTCTTTTTTAGGGATGGACGGGATTGAATTTTTAGTTCGGGACGGGACGGGACGGGATTTTTATTTCCTTCCCGATTTTCGGGACGGGACGGGACGGGATTTTTTTCTGTGCATAAAAAGAAAGTACTGTATTGCAGTTACCAAAAAAGACATACGAAATCAATTTTTACCATTTGTGGCACTGATCTATAAAAACCAAAAAATGGGTAACAATTTACAGGTACCTATAGAAACTTGTGACTCGCGGGTCACGGGGTGATCGTCTGTATGACTCACGGTCAACGGTCATGTCGCGATCGTCGTCATGACTCGCGGTCACGGCACGATCGTCGGTATGACTTCGCGGTCACGGGGTTATCGTCGGTATGACTCCACGGTCACGGCGCGATCGTCATGACTCGCGGTCACGGCGCGATCGTCGGTATGACTCGCGGTCACGGCGCGATTGTCGGTATGACTCCGCGGTCACGGGGTTATCGTCGGTATGACTCCACGGTCACGGCGCGATCGTCGTCATGACTCGCGGTCACGACGCGATCGTCGGTATGACTCGCGGTCACGGCGCGATCGTTGTCATGACTCGCGGTCACGGGGTTATCGTCGGTATGACTTGCGGTCACGGCGCGATCGTCGGTATGACTCCGTGGTCACGGGGTTATCGTCGGTATGACTCGCGGTCACGGCATGATCGTCGGTGTGACTCGCGATCACGGCTCGATCGTCAGCATGACTCCGCCATCACGGCATGATCGTCAGTATGACTCCGCGGTCACGGCGCGATCGTCGGTAGGACTCCGCGGTCACGGCGCGATCGTCGGTAGGACTCCGCGGTCACGGCGCGATCGTCGGTAGGACTCCGCGGTTACGGCGCGATCGTCGGTATGACTCCGTGGTCACGGGGTTATCGTCGGTATGACTCGCGGTCACGGCATGATCGTCGGTATGACTCGCGATCACGGCTCGATCGTCAGCATGACTCCGCCATCACGGCATGATCGTCAGTATGACTCTGCCATCACGGCATGATCGTCAGTATGACTCCGCGGTCACGGCGCGATCGTCGGTAGGACTCCGCGGTCACGGCTCGATCGTCAGCATGACTCCGCCATCACGGCATGATCGTCAGTATGACTCCGCGGTCACGGCGCGATCGTCGGTAGGACTCCGCGGTCACGGCGCGATCGTCGGTAGGACTCCGCGGTCACGGCGCGATCGTCGGTAGGACTCCGCGGTCACGGCGCGATCGTCGGTAGGACTCCGCGGTCACGGCACGTCGGTATGACTCGCGGTCACGGCGCGGTCGTCGGTAGGACTCCGCGGTCACGGCGTAATCGTCGAAATTACTTCGTCTCCTGCGTTCGCGAACCTATCGCTCGCAATAACGGCGTTATCGGCACTCGCGAAGCGGAAAAATCGCCGACGATCGGACCAAATCCCGTCCCGAAATATTCCCGAGTCAAATGTAATCCCGTCCCGATAATCGGGAATATTTTTTTCCCGAAAAATTCCCGAAATTTCGGGACCCGTCCATCCCTACTCTTTTTACACTAAACAGTTTTTGCTGTTCGGTTGAAAAGAGTACAATTTTACGTAGTGTCTATCTTTATTTCACATTACACAGTTTTTGACTGGGGAGATGAATGTGTTTAGTTTACTATGTCACAATAAACAAAAACAGTGTCCAATTGACAGATCTGATTGTAAACAATAAATATTTCAACAGCTGATCTTTTTGCACTGGCTGGTAGGCTTCGTTTCAGCAAAAAGAAAGCTTGCATCTAACTACATGACACAGGTCCACGGCTTGACAACCATCCGGTTCAGTAGCATTGGATGGCTGCCAGACAGCACAGTTTTCTACGACCGCTGTAACTGTGTAGTGTGAATGCTATGCTGTTCTTTAAAAAATTTACCGTCAGGCAAAAACCTTAAAGTGTGAAATTAAAGCGGAGCGTGTGGAGCGTTGGAGTTCAAATTAAAATTGTTGTTACCAAAATGGTGTTTTATTTAACACTAAAAGTAATGAAAACAAAGAGTACATCAGAGTTGATATAGTTCCGCATACTCTCAAAGAAAAACATATGTTTGTTTCTCATTCATAGTCACCTATACTCCGTTCACAAAATTTAGGCAGTTTGAGGGGAAGCTACCCCACTACTTCTTTGCTTAACATGCATGGCACAGCTGATTTCTGTTTTGGCAAACCTCAGCTGTTTAGCTATTATTTTAAAGGTAGGTTTAAGTGGAGGGGATAGATTTCTTCCCCTGAAACTGCCTAAATTTTGTGAACGGAGTATAGTGTAAGTTGATTATCTGAGTATTTATGATTTACACAACATTTCTCTGCAAAAGTCCACAAAGAAAATTTAAGTTTAAAATATAACCTAACTCCAAAACCTCAAAAAGTTACAAACAGAATACTCCATTACCATATGAACTATTTTTTACTTTATATCTCAAGTGTAGCATTCCAATGCATTCATAATATAAGTGATTGAATAATGAATAGTTTCACCTTGATCATCAAACGCGTGAGTGAGCTCATGCCCCATAACCACCCCCATAGCCCCGTAGTTGAGGGCTTGTTGATGGTTGATGTCGTAGAACGGAGTCTGCAGGATCCCGGCGGGGAAAACAATCTGATTACGGGTTGGAGTGTAGTAGGCATTCACAGTAGGAGGTGTCATGTTCCACCTTAGTAAAAAACATGTCATTTAGATCGAAACAATTAAGTAAAATGTGTAAAGAAATAGCATTTCATCTATAGGAAGTTAAAAGTGAAAGATACTAGAGGGGTAAGTTAAGTCAGCTTAGATATATAGACAGAAAGACTAAGACGTATTGAGCAAGTGAGAAGAGTGAATTCCTTGGAAAGTGGAGTTGATGATTGATGGAATGAGACTAAGAGAAAGACTAAGAAGGGGATAAAATAAAGGGAAGAGGGCTGTTTAGAAGTGAGCGAGTGAAATGGCAAAAGAAATGATTGAGAGGAGACGACAGAAGTTGGAACAGTAGGAGAAGACGGAGAGACGGGCTTAGTCAACGCCCCAGACCAACAGGACAGGATATACAGGGTGGAAAGAAGTCCCGGGACAGTTAAATATTTCCAAAAATATTAAAGATATAGGTAGAAAACATGGTACAATGTTACTGTACATTAAAATTAATTAAAAAATATTATTCATTCAGTGATGTAAGCTACCTCCTCGTGGAGGGGGGGGGCAGTCTGATGGGATCCAATGCCACAAGTAGTTTTTTTTTAGCTAAAAAGAACAACCGAGTAAAAATGGCAGCCGTTCAAAGATTCAAAATGGCAGATTCAAGAAATCTCTGAACGCCTGCCATTTTTTATTCGGTTGTCCATGGCCTTTAATTTCATGTACATATGTTCATGTACATTGATATCAACCTATGCTTGCTTATATTTAAGATTTTCTTCTCACTCCTAGTGGGCGGTACCCCTGAGGGGGGAGCGTATCACCGAATTGTGTTTTAAAATGATTTTATTGCCCATTAACTTTGTTCCAAGTTTTCTAGCTCTATCTTGAATATCTTTTGAACTGTCCTGGTGTTTTTTCCACCTTGAGAGTTTTTTTAAGCTGGGCATTTATTTCTTTATTTGCAACCAATTATTGCTGTGAAGTTATTTTTTGTTTTTAGCTAAAAAGGCTATCTGACCTTACTGTATTACAATGGGCTAACTGCTCTATTCCATTGACTTGTATAATCAAATAGCATTCCAAGCCTTCAATTTGCATGTGATGCACTATGGGCTCGGGGGATAATTGAGCCCCTCTCCACCTTCCTGATGTACCTTATGGGGGAATTTCACCCTCCCTTGCACCCCAACAACCCTATAATCTCTTCCACCCCTGGGCTTGGGCCTGGAGTGGTTCTATATGAATTGGATTACTGGAAGACTACTGTACTGTTGTTTTTATCATAACAAAGATAAGATTTAAAGATCTCTCTTTTAAGATTGTTATCTGAAAACCTAGCACCAATTCTGTATGTATACATGTATACTTTTGAGGTAGTTCCTAGTGAACCTCCAAAAAAGCATCAGTTGTAGTTTTGAGGGTCCAGTCGGGAGAATATACTAACCTTGTTTTATTCACAGGCGTTCCCAAATTCTGAAGATTTCTTCTCAGGTTGAACTGGTTAGCGTGGATGTTATTTTCAAAGTATGTGTTCTCATTGACCTGGAGATCTTTGTACCGTTCGTCCAGCTTATCTGAATCTAGTATAAAATCTGGAAAACCTAGATGGAAAGAGACTTGAATGAATTGTCAATAATTGTGACAGAGAAATCATAATCGAAAATAGAGACAGTATAATGTGTTACATTTATTTCAACATGTTAAAAAATGAACGAACATAATTTAAAACAATAATTTTACTTCAGTTAAAAAATGTATCTCTTTTCTCAAAAACGATTGAATTACAGTTGTTTCTGGATGTACAGGATACTACCACAACAGCTCAAAGAGAAAAGAGTGAAAATTTAAAAACGTACGTTTTCAGGAAAAGCACTTTGCAAATTTTTTTCCCCTCTTTTCAAAACTTTTATTATTATTTTTATTTCATTGACATTTGAAGTTTCATAAAATGTCCATGGTAACGCAATATCTTTGGTAGTTTTTTTTTTTTTAAAGAGCATCTTTAGTGGAAAAACACAAAATCCTGTCACGACCATAACAGACGTTTAAATGAATATTAAAAATAGTTAATATTATTTTTATAACTATGTTTTGCTATAAACTAATTTACTTTTATGACCATTATACAATAAAAAGGTCACTGAGCTTTTGGTATATTTGGTCTTTCTAGAAAAAAATAAAAAAACTCAAAAAATTTTAAAAAAGCCAATAAAATCTTTTTAAGTTTGTATAACTCCGAAAAAACTTACCTGAGACCCGAAAAATTGTTATGTTTGTATAGAGGTGTGCTTCTTTTGTATATAAAACATTGAAATATGACGATATTTTAATTTTTGAAATTTTTATGATAGAAATCATGAACGTGATGGTCAGGGACAAGCGGTATGGTCGTGAATTTTCCGAAATAATCTAAATCTTTCTTAACAATCCTTCAATTATACTGTTAGTTATAATAAAAATATGTGTTTCAATTGTACTAAACTGTTCAAATTACAATTATATTAAAGTTATTGTCACGACCAAACACACTATAATCCATAAGGCTGGATTGGTCGTGAAAAAACCCGCGATGGTCGTGAAACTTTGGTCGTGAAATTACGTGTTATTTGGCTCTGTTCTGGAGGTAGCCCTGCACCTCATGTTCGAGGATACAAAGTGGACTTCTAGGTTAATCTAGCAATTGAAATATCTTACAAACAAAAATTAACACCATGTCTACTTCATCGAATGACTACGTACGGTCATGGACACACCAAAATTACAAAAAACACAATATTTCCTTTATTAATCTTGTAATTCCTCCTTTCAACTCGAAACGACCGGCACTACAATCCTGACGTACACCCCGAACTAGTCTCTAAAACCAACTGACTCCATCGACGCCAGGCTTGCCACTGTCGTGCTCCAAAGTTGAAAATTTTTCCCAAATGGTCGTGACGCCAAATCGAGGGACAGACTTATTTTGTCATGGTAGTCAGTTTGCAATGACAATAAAATTATAATATGCTCCTTTTTTGTAAGTTTAATAACCATTGATGACATAAAAATATGGCTTTATATATTTCGGCATGAATAATTAGTCTAAAAACAGCGTGAAAGTTGGAAAACGTACCCTAGGGACACGTCATGGTCGTGAATTTCGAGACTTTAAAAATACCTAGAACCTATTTAAAACCAAATAAATGTGTGTAACATGTTAAAAAATATTAAAAAACATAATAATACACTACAAATCCAGTATCTACGAAGTAAAAGGCCAGGGACATGAAAACGTACGTTTTTAAATTTTCACTCAAAAATTTCATAGGTAGGAAGGAATTTCAACATTGGTTTTATAGTTTCAACTATTTTACACACATCTTGTGTTGATTCATGGTTTGTTGTGCATTCACCTAACTGTGGCAAATATGTTGTAAGAACTCGCTTATAATCAACTTGTTGAGGTTTGTGTATTTTGTGTATTAGCTTAGGTATTAATTAAAAATTACAAGAGTTCAATATTCATTCAAACTTTATGTTCATTTCGTTCATAAAGAAGAGCCACGTACCAATCATGTCTGTGATGGCATCAGCTTTCTCCATTGCCAAAATTCGAGTTTCCGGATCCATCCAGTTGAGATCTTTTAGGTTCTCTTTGAACGCTGTTCTAATGGTATTGATCATGTCTTCAGCCTGTGAAAAAAACATTATTTCTTAAACAGCTAAAAGAAATAATAGACCGATTTTACTAAAGTCGTTGCAGCGTGCTAAGAAATGTAATGGAATTATGGGTAAGCAATACTATTTTTTTTAAATGCTACATTTACAGTATATGCCAGGGTATATTAACCTATATTATTATATCTTTAGTATCTGACATACACTAAAGAACCATACAAGATGCTATACCAATGATCCACATTTGAATGGGAGATCGTCTAACCAAGGGCCGGAGAATTTTTAAATCCCCCCAGTGCCTTTGAATCAATTGCGCAAGGAACCTAAACCTCTGTAGATGAATTAAAGATCAAGAGAGAGGCCAGTTAGTAGTATTTTTACCACCCATTTATCCATTGACCGTGAAAAAAACTAATTAGAGGTTTTTTGCAAACACACAAAAAAACATTCAAAGAAATCTTCAAACTTTGTTTCATTAAGTCATACACACTTCAACAATGTGGTAAGTAGTGATGGTCAAAACTAGAAATATCGAATCTCAAAACCGAAACTTTCAAAAATCTAAACCCGAATCTCGAATCCCAAAACTTAAACTCGAAACTTCTTTACTTACCTGGTTATAAAGGTCAAGGTTAGGTACAAAAAATACAGGTAATAAGAAAATGTTAAGTATGCAATCAAAACTGAAAGAGATCGACTCCTGACCCTGACATAACATAAATATGTGACTGAAAATATTTAAACCAAATACGACATAATGTTTTATCAAAAACCAACATTAAAATAAAATAAACTCCTAACACCAACATAAACATAAATATTAGATTGGTTAGAAGCAGAATATTCAGTGGTCAATATTTATTTTTTGTTTAGTAAATATTGATATGAAACTGAATTCTACGTCGTTCCAGTTATAACTATTTAAGATGTCTTTTGAAGTTCAGAATACAGTTTACTTAATGGTGATATGTTTGCTCTATTGCTATGAGCTTGTATGGAAACAGTGTTAAAAAAAATTATAATGACACAAAAAAATTTCAGCAGTTTCAAAAATAAAACTGCCAAAATATCAAATTTTGAAACTTTTGGATTTCAAACATGGTGATCAAATCTCAAAACCAAAACTTGTTGATGGTTTGGAGATTTGAGATTCGGTTTTGACACACCACTAGTGGTTCGAGTTACTTAACTCACCATTCGAGTTACTTAACTCACCATGGATTTGGAGTTGCCCTGAAACAGTTCTCTGACGTACATAGCTCCGAGAGCGAATCCAATGACATTGTTAGTGTCCGAGAAGCAGTACCTCCATGGCTCTTCTCCCCCCTCTGCCCCAATGAGAGCCTTACGCAGACCCTTGTAGGCATCACGGAACGGTTTTGACAAACACGCAGTCAGACTTCGAACAGTCTGCCACACCAGGTAGTTGTTGAGGATTCTGGAGTAGTAACACACAATGAGTTACAGATAACTTATTTTAATATTGCGTTTTTAAATTGTAATGCTATTGTCTGGAGTATAGAGGATCAGCATTCATGAATGACTCAGCTTGAGATAATTTTATTTTTGAATGTGTGTGTATGGTTTTTTTAATTTCTCCTCTTATACATAATATATGCAATTATTGACACCATTCCACTTATAAAGAACTTTGAAATAAAAATAATTTGATTTGATAGTATGTAAAATGTACTGTTTTGGTCAACATTTGGGTGGAGTTTGGGTGGAAATGTCTGTTTTGGGTCCCTCTGAGACCCAAAAACTAGTTTTTGGAGTTATTTCTGGGTGTGTGTCTCTGGTATAAGTACATGTTTACAGAGCTACAGACTTAACGAGTATTCAGATTTTGATGAAATTTTGTATATTGTTACTAATTTATGGTTATTCCATATTTTTTTATTTTGAAAACTAGAACTTTAATGGTGATTTTCCATTAAAAAAGTACATAAAATTACAATAATATCGGAATTTTCTAAAATGGCTTGAGCGATTCTTATTAAAATATTGTATATTATGGTTCTTTTTTTATTCTTAACAAAAAGGGTACTGCGTCAATGCTGTAAAATCTGGTGTCTAGGGAAAAGTCCAACACCATGGCCCTCAGGTACTACAATGGTCACAGTGTAGGATGACCCTGTTCCTTGTGGGATAGGAATTTCCGCACAGTGCTCGCAGCTCGGGCTCTTCGTTGTTTGTCACCAACATGTTTCCGGCACAACATACCAGAGCTGAAGTGCAAGGTCAAACTTAAGCTTACTCATAAGTGTGTTTCCTTTGTTCCTATCTCTGTGTTTTCTATGTTCTGTCCTAATGTTATTGTAGGCTAATGATGACAAGACCAATCATTATTACATTTACTGACCAAAGTCAAGGCGGCTTTTATAAATGAGCACGGACCAAGGAGCGCAAAAGGTTTTAGGTTTGTTAGGAGTACAAGGAAAACAAAAATTCCCCCACAAGGTAGGTGGAGAGGGGCGTAATTATCTCTTGGGCCCATAGCGCATGCAAACCGCGGCCCTGACCATAATTACAAATGAAGTAAATACACTATAGGCCTATAAGCCACATTCTTCAAGAACATGCTTATTCAAGTTAATTAATAAGAAAAATAATATTATCTTAAACTGATATTGATATTACTCACGTTTTTCCTTCTAGCGTAGAGTTGTATTCTTTAATTATAAGAGTGAGGTTTCTCAGATAATCAGGAGCGTATACAACCACTTTCTCTTTGTCTGTGATCTTCTTGTTGACTAACCTAAGTGCATCTGAGAAATATTCTTTCCAGGACATCTGAAAACAAAGTTTAAGTTGATAATAGGGATTGTTAAAAGTAACTGCAATTTTTATGGTATTCCTAGCCAGCTTTAATTTCAAATATCCACTCTTCATTTTCATTCTCTTGTCTGCTATCTCAGAATAAATACCAAACCAAGAACTCTCATTAGGCAAAAAAAGGTTGTGTTTGATTCTGCTATTGTCTACACTGGAATCAAGGAGCGCTGCTGTCGCTTTGCTGATGACGTAAAGAATTAGTTGGAATTAGTTGTAGTGTTAAAAAATACCAAATATCGCACTTAAGTTAGTTAAATCATAGATAAAACATACTCCTTTAGTAGATTTGTCATCCTTCAGGAACAGCTGAAGCCAATTTTATTGTTAGTTCTGTACGTCCAACTGTAGAGGTAGTGTTTTGTTTACAATTTGTTTCTTTTTATTGCAGTCGTTTAAAACCTCATTTAACCAAATAAAACGACACAATAAACAATAACTGGTCTCCTAGTTATATAACCAAATAGCAAAACACAAACCATGAAATTACGTCTAAAATAGATGAAACAAAATTTTGTCTACACTAGCGAACAGTGTGGACGTACATGAACTAGACGCAAAAAACAAGCTTCAAAATGTACAATGGGATGAAGAGTCTACTTGTGTTGCTTAGTCCATGGTTATATGTTATAATATCAGTTACATATATGGTATACTTAATGGTTCGTTAGAAATTTACTTACAAAAGGAGCGATTTCCTGAAGTTCTGCAATTGCTACTCTATGATACATTTTTTCTTCGTCCCGTCGGTCTTCTGAAGGTATTGTGATCTCCGCAAGCTTTGTTTCAAAGTCAATAACCTCCTGCATCTGGTCTTTGGTGTTGTTGGGGTCTCCTCCAAGCAATATTCCTATCTAAAACACAACCACTTTGCAACTTTGCAGTTTGAATTTTGTTAGTGAGTAATGTGTTTAGTAGAAGAAGTTATAAAAAGTCTTGAAGGTCAAATATAAATGCAAAAAAACATACGTCAAAGGATTACAAGCTAAATTCTAACAAAAATGTTTTCTACTACCAGATTTCTTTAATTGGAAGTGATAACATACAAAATGTAGGTACAATGTAGGATTTGCAATAACATGACACTATTTGTGAGAAAACTGTACAAATCAAGATGTTCAAATGGTTACTAGTAGTGTAATAAGTTGGTAATGGTATGATGGGTTTGATTCAGGAACAGAGAAATTAATGTGGTTGAGATTTGTTTGTACTTGGGTAAAAGTTTTTGTTCTTTATTGTACACCATCTAAAATATTTTCAAAAATTAAGTTTTAAGTAAGAATAAGTTGCAGGTCAAACAAAAGATGAAGTTGGAAATTGTACTCCGTTTACAAAATTTGGGTGGTTTGAGGGGAAGACATTCCATCCCCTCCACCTCACCCTAACATTGAAACAACAGCCGACAGCTGATCAGCTGATACTATAGATTAAGGCCTACCGCACACGAGAGACTTTTTGTCGGCCGACTGTTTGCCATCTGTCTGGCTGGAGTCGGGTGGACAATCGAAAAGTCGTCAAGACTGTATGGTCGTTGACTATGGTGCGCACACGACACGACTGTTTAGTCGTCTTTCGAGTGTCAAAAGGATGTATATGACAGAAACTGCTGTCATATGTGCGTTACTGATAAGATTTTGTGCAAGAAAACCTAAGAGAAAATACAGGATGCATCCAATTTATAGTCCGAGAACCTTGAAAGGCCAGATTTACCTCTATACTCGGATTTGAGGAAATATCCGGACAAATTTTTCATGTACTCATGAATGAGTGTTGATAGTTTTGACCAATTGTTAATACCCCAGCTTCAAATACCTCGTCCCATAACTTTTAGGGAATAAACTGTAACCGTTGGTCTCATGGTAAGACCTGGTCCCCGGACCGATTTACCTTTTCGTTTTGATGTCCCCAGAGGCCAAAAACACCATCCGTTCAAATTCACACACACACACACATAGGCCTATATATATATATATAACTCGAGCAAAAATGATCCAATTTATGAAATTTTGTACAAACGTGTAAACCTACATGTATTTTTTTCGAACGAGTTCACGAACCAGCATGATCGGACTATGGGAATGGGGGTTTATGGGGGGTTTTATGGGTAAAAATGGGGGTTTCCCATTTTTTTACGATAAAAACAAAAGATTCTGCAATTTCTTTAGAAAACATTTTGCAGAGCTTAAAAATAATAATTTAGCATGCTTATTGTTATCATAATGGTTACGGGAAATTCCAAAATATTTAAAGTTGAAATTTCCATGTTATTCTTATGTAGAACAAGTAAACTGTTGTAGTTTGCTTGTTTATGGATGTATTTTGATAAAACTTGGCAAATCTATTTATTTTATACTCAGCTATTAATGTGTTACTAAACCACACCCTGAATACCCTCCTTGTAGCAGAAAACCTAGGTACTCGTTAATCCTAATGTTATTGAAATAGATTAAATAAAAAATTAAATCAGGCAAATGGGAAATCACTTAGTCTGCAGGTTTGCTGCAGCGGGGGAATTTCTTTTATTGTGTCCAAATACTCCTTCAAAGACTTTTCATAAAGAGGGGACCGTGCCTCCACTTCATCCGTCCAACTTTACTTACTTACTTTCTAGCAATACTTATTATGAATAAGTCTACATTAGGTGACTTATATTGATTTGATAAGTGTTGATTATATAAGTTTATCAACTTTCTCATCCCTCAAAACACTTGCACTAGTGGTTGTCGAAGCCATAATAATAACAATAACACACAAATAATAATACTAATCATAATAATAATAATAATACACATGATAACAACGCACTCAACTGTCAGACAGACAGACTTTTTAGTCGTCAGTGTGTGCGTTCAAACTTATCTCCATGCCTTTATGAATACGACATGACAGTTGAAACGGGGAGCAGTCGGCAAGAAAATCGGTCAGCACCAAAATGCCCCGACTGTCTGCCAACTGTCTTGCTGGGGTCGGCCCGTGTGCGCGTTTAGATTTATCACTATGGGGCCGACTTTGACTCCCGACTACGACTAAATAGTCGGCCGACAAAAAGTCTCTCGTGTGCGGTAGGCCTAATCTAAAAAAGAGGTGGAGGAACCCAAGAAACCCTCTCCTTAAACCACCTAAGTTTTGTGAATGGACTATAGTGTTGTAGTCATTTTTAAATACAGGGAAAACAAATGAATAACCTTATGAAGAATGGTGATCATCATATGATTTACCTTAGTCATATAGTCTAAATAAGCAGTCAAAACTTTCTCATTAGCAGTCTTGTTGAGGTAAGTATCTCTAGTGGGTAAAGTAAGGCCTCCTTGGTCAATCTGGAACAAAATCATTCTTTGTTTAATGAGCAAAGCTGTGATTCACCTTGATGAAGTAGTCTCTTGATAAATAGGAAGACATACTACCATAGTATTACTAAAGCCCCTGTCATACGAAGCTTTTTTTTCACCACTAGTAACAATCAGCTAGAACCAGCAGACAACCAGCATCGTGTGACTGATCCTCTAGCGGCTAGAAACAATCGAACGCTAGAAACATGTGCTGGTACCTCTAGCTGCTGGAGGTTATACAGAGTTAAATGAGGAGACACTAGCAGGTCACGTGACCACCCAGCCATTGTCTCCAGCGCCATTGCAGCTCTGTCTGCTAGCTTAAGAAAGATGAATTTAAATTAATTTATTAATTAAAAATAGTCAAAAAACAATTTAAAACATCATGTTTAGAAAAATTTTTTTTATATATTGTCATAATGTTATTGTTATTAACGATTACTACACCTCACCTATATAAACTAAATGAATAAGTATTTTTGTACAGGGTAAAGATTAATAACCTCTGTAATAGGCCTACTACAACTTTTTTTATTTGTTAACTTTTGTAGATACAAAATAATAGTGTTTATTTTAACATTTAATTTTATCAACTTGCAAACTTTTTACTTCCATGATTGCTGGTCAGTGACAAATATCACCAAAGTCGTGTCTAATACCAACAGACAACATTATTTTTTTAACAACAACCACATTACCAGTCACAAAACCGGACTTGTAGCGTTTGTTAGTTCCCCAGCTTCATCTGACCGGACTTCTAGAATGCTGGAGAACCAGCAACTCAGCGAGAACTAGGCACTGAAACAAGCCCCGTGTGACAGGGGCTTAACGTATATGTGACAATAAAGAAAGAGATGTTTATATTTATTTTTTTTATTATTAATTTATAATTATTTAATCATCAATTAAATGGTTCAAAAAATTGTAGTTTTGAAATACTATACAAAGTTGTGTATACTGTACTCACAAATAAAAATCAAATCAATATCCTAATTGTGGGGGATTATGGTTTTTCTTTGTTTAAAAAACTACACTGGTAAACACTGGTATCGTTGTTATCAAGTGACACAAGCCTTAATTTAATACAGGGTGCGAAATAAAGAATATAATTTTCAAAGCAAAATAAAGGGAAACAGCTTTAGACCTACCTGTATAATATAGAGGCTGGAGTTGCGGTCGTCCTCCTGCACGGCCCATGAGAAGAGGCCGCCCATGTTGTATTTGTTCTGCAGAATGTGTAGAGTGTTCTGCAGGTTGAACAGTGATACATTCCATGTTCTCCCTGACACGTTCCATCCCCCTACCTGCAAACAATTATCTTGTTAATTGTAAGTAATTAGATTTAAGCCATCATCTAGCTCTTGAACTACGACACTACATAGCGTGAGTCTATGTTAGGTGAGTTGGTGGCTCAGTGGGTAGCGTCACAGACATTGGGCCCAAGGTAGAGATGTCATGGGTTGGATCCCGGTCACTGCCGCAAACATTTTATCAGTACAGTTCACCTTCGTAATGTACCGGCTCACCCCTTGCTTTGATGGGTATGTTCCTCGCACAGGCAGTTAGTCTATCTGGACGGGCAAATGAAGGCCACCAACTTCTTTAAAGAAGAAAAAAAATTTATAGATGAGTACTCTAAAGGGAATGATGTCTGCCTATCACTCCTGACATCTGTCTAGCCTCTACAATAGGATGAGAACTTTCAGAATACAAAATCAATGGAGGCATTCATGGAATTCAAAGTATTGAGTGTGAACACAATCTTGGTCTTTATGGCTTGACCGACCGTTTCAATTGGCTATGTACACTATTTACAGAATCTACCAACATTTCGGCCACATTACAGTTGGCCATCTTCAGGTTGAGCGAACACGATCACAGTAGTTCTCAGAACTTGACTGGCAAGGGTGGGGAGGGCTCGTGGGTTATGGTCGACTGTAATGTGGTCAAAATGTTGGTAGATTCTGTATATAGTGTACATAGCACCCAAATGACAAGGTGGAAGACCAAGATTGTATAAATATAAATGACGACTATGGAAGCCTATCCATGAAGTATTTTTTATAGCTGGGTTATACAAAGTATTTGTATGTTTTTAAATGCATGGAAAAAGACAGTTTTCCTTTTCAAATTTTGTGTAGCTATAAAAACATGTGTATAGATGACTAAAACAACAGATTTTTTAAGTGGTTTTCTTAGTCATAATTATTTAAAAATTGGTAGAGTGAGGAAAGAAAAAAAATGATTAATATATTAACACGTTCGCTACCACAATTATATGGAATTTACGTTCGCATAGACCAGCGACGCAATTGTGGGTCGACTCGTTTCTCACAATAGACCACCGACGCATATTTGCGTCAGCTGGTCACATTGAAATAGACTAATGACGCACAGTTGCGTCGGTGTTCAATGTTAATAATCAGCTTATTTCTTAGCAACGGTCTATTTGAAAGCCCTGATTTTATCGTATCGGTCTAGAGGGATATTTGCCGCAAATGTGCGTCGCTTGGTCTGTCGATATGACGATTGGTTACGTCACACAACAATTGGCAACATTGTTGTTTACATTGTGTATTCCCCGACATCACAGAACAGATGTAAACGTTATAACCTTTGCAGTTTTGGCTAGTGTTTAGTGGAGTTTCTTTATTTGTTTGTGTAAAAGCTTGAAACATCCAAATTTACAACGACGCTTACGTGCGTCGCCTGGTCTATTGAAACGAAAATGTAATCTTTTTAACTGAATTTGATTAAATAGACTGACCGACGCATATATGCGGTGTTTTAAAATTTGCTCAAAACGATAAATAAAAACAATATTTATTGCTTATTAATTCACTTAAGGTTAATATGAAGTCAATTAGTCCATTTAAACAATATTTCTCTTTTGGTCTGTCGGCAATGTTATTCCTATATCACTTGGTCTGTAAGCAACGTCATGATCATTCCTTTTTGGTCTGTAGGAGTGACCGGACCGACGCAAATGTGCGTCGCTAGGTAGCGAACGTGTTAAGAACATCTATAAAGGCAACTTTTGACCAAGGGTAATATGAGTTTACTCTTTAGTATATTTTGGACCGAGATTATCACCTGATCTAGAAGGTCCAGCATGGGCTGAGCTCCTAGAGCTTCCACTGTCTCGTTGACATCCATACAAGATAAGTAGTAGGACTTAGCCTTCTGCTCAGCTTTGCTCTTCAGCTCATTGAATGGTTTTTCTGAAACATAACCCACAAAGTGATGCTTATTTTCAAAATATCAGTTTCTGTCAATTTGTTGGGTGATTTTTAACAAAAAATTTGTTACAAGTTCTTGTAGAACATCTGGTACATAATCACTTTTGTCATTTATATATTTAATTCGCTAGGCATATTTTTGGTCATAATTGTTTTGGAGTGGCGGTGCTACCGATCACCATGTCCAAGGTGTCGTTAGAAAGGTCTTAGCAAGTAGTTTTGCCATAAAACAAAAATACTTTGGAATTCCATCAGGGCTCTGCCTCAGTGGCCTTCAAAGTTCCCATGTTATTCTTGGGGATGAAATGTTTGTTTACTTTTGAACAAATGAATATACTAATATTTGAAACAGCTGGTTATACTAAAATTTTGCACAACATCAAAACATAACCAAAACAAGTTCGACATAATGGAAACTATAACATGTTAACACGTCGGCCAATGGGAGGAGGCCGACAAACTTAAACTGGCAGACGCAAATGAAATACAAATAATACTATTGTCGTTGATAGCCGAATACAGCAAGCACCCTTCCGTTTTGGGTTTTAGTGTCCTCTCCAACAGCCGACTGAAGATTTCAGATTCAATTTAGGACTGTTGGATAATCGCTGCATAAGCTGTTGATTTTGGAAGACAAGGAGGCGGGTAGGACTGTTTTAGTTAGAAAATATAAATAAAATTAGAAGCTTTAACATTTAAAGTTCAGAAGTTTATTTCCAATTCCACTCAAGACTGAAACATAAACCTGACTGATATTGTTTACCTTCAAGCCTTCAACTAACATATGATACATTTAACATATGATGATATGTGAATATAACATTATAATACATCTTTCCCCTTTAAAAAACAGCAAACAAATTTGAAAGAATTAACTAAAAACAATAACCAACCAAACTTCTCCCTTCTTTTGAGACCATTATATTGTATTCTGAAATCTTGATGGTAGCTTGATTTCTCTACGAGGTCTTAGTTGTACTGGCTCGTCTTGCCTTGGAACTGACTGGGAATTGTTTTGTTGAGTGAGTGATGGTTTCAGATGGCGGCGATTTCTTCTTAATATAGCTCCGTTATCACCTTCTACCCAGTAACTTCTTGGAGTTGGTCCTTGATTAACAATCTTTCCCTGCTCCCACCTTCCTTCATTTCTGTAGACAACTCTTTCGTTATTTCTTACAACCCTTAAGTCTTTGGCTGACCGATCATAGTATTTTTTCTGCAGCTGTTGTCTTGTATTTAACTTGTCTTGTACTCCATCATTCAGCGTTGGTTTCAGCAGTTCCTCGGTAACAGGGATTGTTGTCTTACACCTGCGTTGAAACATCAGCTGAGCTGGAGAATATCCCAGATGCTTAACGGGCATGTTCCTAAGCTCCAATAAAGCCATTTTCAAATCCTTATTGTCATACTGTACTTTCCTTATCAACTCTTTGGCTATTCCAACTGCCCTTTCAGCAAGCCCATTGGATTGTGCATAGCCTGGACTGCGTGTCACAATTTCAAAATTCCATTCACGGGCAAATTCCCTCATTTGGGCACTGTTGTAAGGGACATTATCCGCTACCATTATATCAGGAGGGCCAAATCTACTGAAGATGTCTTTGCATGCTGATATTACAGACGTTGCTGATTTACATGGCATTTTAACCAGCTCCAACCAGTTTGAGTAAGCATCCATCATGACCAAGTACACATTTCCTCCATATGAAAATATGTCACATCCGATACGCTCCCATGGTCTAGTAGGTATAGGATACGGCATAAGGGTTTCCTTTGCATTACTCCTGGAAAACCTTTCACATATCCTGCAACGAGCCACAAAACTTTCAATGTCTGTAGCCATTCGTGGCCAATAAAGTATCTGTCGAGCCCTAGCTTTGCACTTTTCAATTCCTCCATGCGCGATATGGATTCGCTGAAGCATGTCCTGTCGTAGCTGTCGTGGCACAATCAGTTTGTGATTTAAAAACAATAAACCATCTTCTTCAGATACCATATGTCTTTGGTTCCAATAGTGGCGTACTATCTCTGGGGTGTCTTGCTTCCTTTCTGGCCAAACTTCTTTGCAGTATCTCTTCACAATAGCAGTTTCTTGGTCCTCTTCAGTGTAACGCTGGAATAATTTCTTCTTCTCTTCAGTCATAGGCAATGAACTTGTTAAACTGTGTACTTGAAATTCTGAAGACACTGTCATTCCTGTGCATTTTAATGCTGCTCTTGACAACGTATCAGCAATAAGTTGGCTACTACCAGGTAAGTACTTTACTTCCAGATCATAATTCAAACACCTTAGTCTCATTTTCTGTAGCCGACCTGGTACCACGTGCAAATCTTGTTGAAAAATATTTACAAGCGGCTTGTGGTCAGTCTGAACTGTTACTTTATAGCCATAAATAAACCTGTGAAACTTCTCAACAGCAAAAACTATAGCTAGAGTTTCCTTTTCGATTTGCGAATATCTCTTCTCTGTATCAGTCAATGAACGGGACATGAAAGCCACTGGCTGCCCACTCTGCAACAAACAACATCCTAGGCCATCTTGAGAAGCGTCTGTTTGTATTTCAAGAGGTCTTCGAGAGTCAAAGTATACCAAAACTGGTTCACTGGAAATTAACGTCTTGATAATCTTCAGAGCATCTTCATGCTCTACGGTCCATAAGAAGTCCACATCCTTTCTTGTCAAATGTCTGAGGGGTGCAGTGATTTTTGCTAAATTTGGTATGAACCTCGATAAATACTTTAGCATGCCCAATAACCGCATTACCCCTTTCTTGTCCGTGGGTGGGTCCATTTCAACTATGGCCTTTACATAATCTGGGTCGGGTTGGATTCCTTCAGCCGATACTATGTGTCCCAGATACTTAACTTCGCTCTTCTTAAATTGCATCTTGTTTGGATTAAACTTGATTCCAAGTTTAAGGGCTGCGTCCAAAACTCTCTTTAAATTTTCGTCATGCTCTTCCGATGTCGTTCCTCCTACAATAATATCATCATGTACTATGTTAACTCCCTTCAGGTTTCCAAAGCATTTGTAGTTATTTTTCTGGCACAATTCTGGACCCGAACAGATTCCAAAAGGAAATCTACAAAATTGATATCTCCCAAATGGGGTACTGACTGTGCACAGTTCACGACTCTCCTCATCTAAAACAATTTGAAAAAACCCATCCTTAAGATCCAAAACAGTAAAATATTTGTAACCACTCAACGTTACCAGAATATCATCAGGGTGTGGCATTAGAAAGTGCTCTCTCATTACCACCTTGTTCAATGGCATCGGATCTATGCAGATTCTCAAAGACTTATCGGGTTTTTCCACGATCACCAGAGGATTGACCCATGCTGTAGGTTTGTCAACTTTTCGAATCACCCCAGTTTCCTCAAGTTGGTCCAACTTTTCCTTTAGTTTTTCCTGTAAACTGTAAGGTACTCTCCGTGATTGTCGAATTTGTGGGATAGCACCCTCCTTAAGCTGAATATGATGAGTGCTTGGAAACTGTCCCAATCCTTCAAAAGCTGTCTTGTAGCCGGTTAAAACATCATCCTTATCCTTAAAATTCAAATATATCGAAGACACTCTCTTAATGAGTCCTAAATTGACACAATCGTTCAGTCCTAAAATTGGCAGTTCATGTTCGACATTCACTACAGCAAAATTCACATCTGCAGTTACACCTGTAATTGTTTTACATTGTAACATCACAAGACCTAGTGGTTTGATTTTGAATTTTTCATCTCCCCAGGCTGAGAGTACACAAGAACTACGTTTTACGTGTGTAATGTTCATTTTCTGTACATAACTAGCAGGTAAAATACTGATCTCTGCACCTGTATCTAGTTTAAATTTAACTTGTGTACCACCAACAGTCAAGTTTTCCGTCCACGATTTTTCACTTTGACCTTTCACTCCACTAATGTTTAAGCTTACCGAGCCTAAACTAACATCGCTCACACAAGAGTCTTCATCGTGTTGTTCCTCGTTTGTAACAGCATGAGATTTTATAGTTTTACTCCTACAAACCTTTGCAAAATGATTTTTACCATCACATTTCGAGCATGTTTTGCCATATGCAGGACATTTACCCCGAACATGTTTGTAGCCGCATAGATCAGCTACATAGATCATTCTGTTTTTCTTTTGCAATACTCCGCGAAAGTTCTTGATTTGGTACATTATTAACAACACATACACTGTATGGATCCGACTTAGTCCCCGAAAGCTTGGTTTCATTGTGCTCTACAATAGTCCTACATTGATCCTTGCTACTCTCTACAATCATACAGAAATCAATAGCTTTCTTCAAGTCAAGTTTTGTATCTCTTAATAGACGCTCTTGAGTACTTTTATCTCTTATACCTAAGACAATTCTATCTCTAATCATATTGTCAGGTTCAAGAAACTCGCATGATTTAGCTGCTATTTTTAACTGCATAACAAACTTACTGAAGTCTTGACCTTCTTCCTGCTTCATTCTATAGAATTTAAACCGCTCAAATATGACATTTTTCAGAGGACAACAGTAAGATTCAAACTTATCAAGTACGCAATCAAAACTATCTTTGTCATTATCTTCAAATTTAAAAGTATTATATACATCTAGGCCATCATCGCCTAACAGATTAAGCAGCTGCGCAATCTTAATTTCATCCTTAAGTTTCTTACCATGACTAGTAGCTATTAAGTACAGTTCAAACTTCTGACGAAATCTTTTCCAATTTTCACTCACATTTCCTTCAAAACTCATAGGTTCAGGCAACCTAAACAATCCAGATACTTCCATTATTTCTTCTAGGTTTCAAAATACACCTGACACCATGTTTTAGTTAGAAAATATAAATAAAATTAGAAGCTTTAACATTTAAAGTTCAGAAGTTTATTTCCAATTCCACTCAAGACTGAAACATAAACCTGACTGATATTGTTTACCTTCAAGCCTTCAACTAACATATGATACATTTAACATATGATGATATGTGAATATAACATTATAATACAAGGACTACATCGGAAACAGAAGAAAGGAGATATTAGATGAGTGGCAAATGCGTTGGGAGCAGAGTGTTTTATGTTAACGTTTTTTTTTTAGGTAAACGTTTGTATATATACCTAACATCTGAAAGAGACTGGAACAAGATTGGGAGATGGGCCATTATGAAACGCAGTTTGTCACAGGACATGGACAATTTCAAGGCGAATTTGTGAAGATTTCACATGGTGGAAGAGGAAGTATGTAGATTTTGAGAAATAAAAACCACGAGTCACATATTTATAAATTGTTCAATTCAGGAGACAAATAGGAGAGAACAGGAAGAAGTCTTGGATAAGATAGGTCTAGAGATAAGAAAATAAAACATGATGAGTGACAAGGAAACAATTGAGACGTTTAGAAAAGTAGCTTGGGAAATAGGAAAAACCAGGGATACATACAGGTGTTAAAATTTAAAACAAGAAACAAACAAAAACTAAGAAAGAAAAGGAATGAAAACTTGTCCATGAAGGGGAGAGGAAAGGTTAGAGCGAATCTAAATGATCCCTATCGCTCAGGGCAGTGTGGGGAAGGGAGTTGTCCTGTTAGGCTTTTGGACACATAATGTGTCTGGAAACCTATTGTGGCTATGAGCAAGGCTATTTTTGTAGAAACCACTATTAATAAATGTTGAGTATATCGATCTGTTATGTACATCTTGAGTATTTCCATAATCTTTGAGTCGAATATGTTAAAGTCATCAGAAATTATGACTGTTATTCGTTTTAAAATAACGCCTGTACTTAGCAATTGCTCGAATTCGAACAACAGGTACACTAGATATAGTCAATGGTTTTGTGTACAAACTGAAAAGATAAATACCACATCATGTATTTGATCTTTAAAAATTTGTGTGTCTTACAATACTTTACTTTGAAATGGCGACCATACAAATGTAGGTATCCAAGAATGAATAATTAATTTCACTTAACAATTAATTCTCAACTACCCACAAATACTTTACCCACATTACAAAAATCATTAAATATCAAAATATAAAAGTGTTAGAAGTTGTTGTCATGCACTGTGAACTAATAACAACACATAAATTCAATGACTTATAGCAAGTGAGCCTACGGATAGGTTTCCTGCCCATGTATTACACATATTTACAATTTGCTTATATTTTTGTTATTGAACATTGCTTTCTGTCAAACCTATAATTATTATTTGTCATTTGTCATTTATTTTTAGCTTATAAGTACCTATATATTTTTCCTAATGTACATTAGTAAGTAAGATTTTTTGTTTCACTGGAAGAGTATGTTCATGTTTTACACTGTTTACTTTTTGTTTGAAGTAAAGTTTATTTTGATTTGATAAAATATTTCATTGTATGCATCTGTGATTAACATAAGATAATATTCGTTATTTTAGTCAAGTGTGCATAGTTGTTAGTTCTCATATATCCTCCACAACTTGTTACTTATTTTGTTAATCTTAAGTCGCATTCTCAGGTCCTGTACAACACTTGTGTTACTAAATTTATGTGAACTCAAAATTCAAGTTATTGCATCAGAGGGTGTATAGTAAATGGTTCAATTATGCACAAGTATGAGAGGGGACCAACACATCACCACAAAACTTACGAAGTGCGTTTTTGACGACAAACAGATTCTGTTGGTCCAGCTTTACGAAGGTGCCCCACATGCTCTTGCCATCGGGTATAGGGTTGGCTCGCACCCAAGAGCCGCAAGCGTACTCATAAAAGTCCTCGCACGGATCAACCGAGCGGTCGACAGAAGACAACAGAGAAGCAGCTGACTGCACACATGTCCCCGTCAGGCAGAACTCTTGCTCTAAAACATCAACAATGTTATGTTGGTATCAAATTAAGATGTTTTATCAAAATCAATATCAGTTGAAGACGTAGAAGTAGGGGATCAGGAGATTACATAAAAACTTGCTAGAAACTACTTTCTTTTTCAGTTTTCAACGCCTCCTTGCATTTCCTGATTGAGAACATCAAATGCTTTTAAGGGAAAGTGTTCAAACCCATAGAATTTGTATGAATATGCCAGTAATTAAACCCTACCCTCTCGCACCAAAGCTAACCATTAAGCCTGCACTTGCAACACACTCAATGACTATGAAATACATTTATTACAGCATTGGACAGGTATGGAAAACATAGTCTACCACACCATTGAATGAAGGGTATCTAGCTTCATCGCTTCCAACACCTTGCTTCACATGGCATTGGGACAGGTAACAGTTACCCACTAACGCCACTACTCTCTCCAAGAGTATGACTAGAATAAGTGTTTCTAGTTCAAGGCTCTCACTTTGAAGAGACAGGGAGAAACTAATAAGCTCATGACAATTAACTTTCAAAGAAGTTGTACCAACTATGAGACAGTTTTTTGCTATAACTGTAACTACAATTTTTTACTAAAAAAATAACTACTCCCTAAAATAGCAGTGCGAATAATTGACAAATTCATTAACACTAATGATAAGGAAAATAATACAAAACAATTGTTAATTAGATGTTGGAATATTAGTAAAACATGTTGCTTTGGTGGTTAAATGCTGCATCACTATAATACTAGTATACTCTGTTCACAAAAGTTAAAACGGGGGGAAGAAATCTATCCCTCCACTTGATCCTACCTTTAAAACAATAACTCAACAGCTGATCAGTTTGCCAAAACGTCAATCAGCTACAACATAGGCCTACATTAAGTAGTGGGGGAACTTCCCCTCAAACGGGCTAAATTTTGTGAACAAACCATGGTAAAAACATACAGGGTGTCCCGGAACTCTCTACCAATATTTTAGGGCATTGTTCCTGGGTAAGAAACATATCTAAATATCATATTTAAATTGTCCGGAAGTCCTTAGTTACTCAGATAGCCGCCATTTTGTTTTTTTTCACTTATTAATTTTTTCTGAAGATTGGTTAAACATACGAAGTTGAAACTTTGCACAAACATTTATGACAACGAGACAAAGCTACAAAAAAATTATGACGATTTTTCAAATTCATAAAACAAAATGGCGGCTGTTTAAAATTTTGTTTCTTAAATTACTCGAAAACCGTTGATTTTACAAAAATTTTACAAGAATAACTTTTTTAAGGCAATTTTATTACAAATCGATCGACACCTTAATCTTTAAGATCGGACGAGTATTAACTGAGATATGGCAGTTTTAGTGATACGTGACCGCTTTCAGCATGCGCTGCAACTAATATCCGGCGGACACGTATCACTAAAACTGCCATATCTCAGTTAATACTCATCCGATCTTAAAGATTAAGGTGTCGATCGATTTGTAATAAAATTGCCTTAAAAAAGTTATTCTTGTAAAATTTTTGTAACATCAACGGTTTTCGAGTAATTTAAGAAACAAAATTTTAAACAGCCGCCATTTTGTTTTATGAATTTGAAAAATCGTCATAATTTTTTTGTAGCTTTGTCTAGTTGTTATAAATGTTTGTGCAAAGTTTCAACTTCGTATGTTTAACCAATTTTCATAAAAAAATTAATAAGTGAAAAAAACAAAATGGCGGCTATCTGAGTAACTAAGGACTTCCGGACAATTAAAATATGATATTTAGATATGTTTCTTACCCAGGAACAATGCCCTAAAATATTGGTAGAGAGTTCCGGGACACCCTGTATAACTGGATTGTTTGAATAGATAAGTATATTTTTACTGTGCATGAAATGTTTTAAGATCTAAATAAGAACTAAACTAAAAGAGATTAAATTCAAATCCAATATGCAGTGGGTTTATATGTCAAATATGGAAATCTGAATTGTGTATTCTAAAATCTGAAATGCATAAGGCAGAGGCTATCTTGAACTACACAATTACAACAAAAACTGCTTTTGTTTCCCAGTAAACAATAGAAGACCACGCCAAAGCAATTTCAACATCAGCCCTGCAAGCCAGATTACAACACAGTCATAACTTTCTGGCAATTTATATCAACACGAAGAATACATCCAATTTTCTCTTAAAAATTACTCTTATAAATCAATAGCAGGATTGTTAAGTTGTTGTTCAAATGAAGCCTGGCGTGTGATTGGATATTAATTGCTTGTCCTTACAAGATGTTGTTGAGCTTACGGCTGAGTAATTTTGTTCTGTGTAGTTACGTAATTATTTCATTATTGTAGTACAGTAGTTAGTTGAATATGGTTTATGAAATTTATCTTAAATGATGACAAACTATACGTACAACATTTTACCTAGGACAAATTATAAATAGTCCAACTTCTAAAATTCAAAATAAGTTTCCTTTAAAATAAAAACAGCTTATTACAATAATAAAGAATCAATTTCATAGAGACTTACAGATTTGTGCATGGGAATGAGTTTATTCCTCACACTACAAGAAGATTAAAGGGGCAGTTCAATTGTTAAAATAAACAGAATCGACAGTCCCGTACTAACTCATATAATGTGTAAATGACAGCAGCTTTTAAGTAAATGACAATACCAAGATAACCCAGAGACACTTTAGACAGACAGAGTTAATTTAAACCCCTTTGAGAGAAAGTGGTACAAATCCCCAAAGCCCGGGAATTAATTTCGTCCCTCTTGCAACTAAGTGAAGATCAGAACCCACTAGACAACCAACAGATTAAAATTTACATTAGCTCTTTCATTAATTATTAGTACAGACATTCTTGCAAATCTAGTGGACAGTGTATTGACTATGTCTAAAGAGGGGGTTTAAACCTTTTCCTACATGCCTAGGCCTATATTACTTTTGGGCATACACCTCATTATAAAAAATCCATAATAAGTTAATGCTGTTGGCCAGTAGAAGCACAGCTTATTTTATTCATCAGCACAATATTAGTTTAAGATTCTATATTTACTGCCTTACCTTTGGATGGTGTAGCAGTGCCCACATGAAGAAACTGGTACGGAACGTTGTGACTTCGTGAGCTAAGAATAGTGACCATCACAAACAGTAGCAGCACCAGTGAGGCTGTCAGTAGGATTAGGCACTTCTCTAGCAGTGTGCGAGCCTTCCATAGTGTAGAACCCTGTGACAAAGATATAGCTAAGTATAGTGACCATCACAAACAGTAGCAGCACCAGTGAGGCTGTCAGTAGGATTAGGCACTTCTCTAGCAGTGTGCGAGCCTTCCATAGTGTAGAACCCTGTGACAAAGATATAGCTAAGTATAGTGACCATCACAAACAGTAGCAGCACCAGTGAAGCTGTCAGTAGGATTAGGCACTTCTCTAGCAGTGTGCGAGCCTTCCATAGTGTAGAACCCTGTGACAAAGATATAGCTAAGTATAGTGACCATCACAAACAGTAGCAGCACCAGTGAGGCTGTCAGTAGGATTAGGCACTTCTCTAGCAGTGTGCGAGCCTTCCATAGTGTAGAACCCTGTGACAAAGATTAGTATAGTGACCATCACAAACAGTAGCAGCACCAGTGAGGCTGTCAGTAGGATTAGGCACTTCTCTAGCAGTGTGCGAGCCTTCCATAGTGTAGAACCCTGTGACAAAGATTAGTATAGTGACCATCACAAACAGTAGCAGCACCACAGTGAGGCTGTCAGCAGGATTAGGCACTTCTCTAGCATTGTGCGAGCCTTCCATAGTGTAGAACCCTGAGACAAAAGGTAAGTATAGTGACCATCACAAAAAAATAGTCTTTGAAGAATGTTTGAAACAGAGTGTGTATGTATATCTGGGGAGATTTGGTGTTATTTAGCTTGCCTGGTAATGGTAATTAGAATTTTAACAGATAAAGCCTGGGAAGACACAGTAGCATTCTAAGGCTAGAAACTGGACTAGGCTGTCCATGATTATAAAAACTTGAATTAATGCTCCTGATGAATTAGGAAATTCTGATCTTGTTATTACAAAAGCTATGCAGATAACTTCACTCCATTTTCATTCACCACACATTCACTAACCATGAATTCATATCTTAAATAAGGTTCCATGGTTGTAAAGAGTATTGTGAACGTAAATGTCTGTAAAGTGGGGTACAATAAATTGCATTATCTGTGTGGGAAATGTCACTAAGAATATTTTAACTCTCTAATCTGATATGCTATGGAATTAAAAAATGGACTGACATTAAAACTAGTTTAATAATTGTAATTCAATAATCCGTTACGATTCAGTCTAACACAATAACAACTAAGCGAGAATAAGTCATGAGTGGCTTAGAAAGTGTGATTGTTTATTCAGCAGTGAGTTACCATTCGAGACATTGCGGCCACCAAAGCTCTGAAAAGCTCGACCTCTCAACTAGCAGAATCACAATGCCTCTTTGAAAGTCAAACAGTATTCAGAAGTATCTTAGAACTTAGCTTTGTTGACTTTAAACTTTAGTGACAGTATCAGGTTAGGATAACATTCTGTGTTGCCAAACTTTATCTCACCTATGTCATGATACTTATTAGAAGATACGGTACTAAATATTTGCTTTCAGTAAAGTGCATTGAAAACGTAAACAATTGTATATATTTTTAGTTTAACCCCCTTCGCAGACGGGCGACTTATATGGCCTAAGACAGACAAAATTTATACAAATTAAAAAATAATTTTCATTAATGATGTCTTTTTATACTTTTACATCAAATACGGTAAACACAATGGAACGGCTCATACTATCTAAGCAATTTTTTACTTTTTTTATGCACACAAAAAATGGAGCGGATACATCCGCCACCCGTCTGCAGATGAGCAGAAAACTGGCAGATATATCCACCGCCCATCTTTGAAAACCAGGACGATTTACGTTAAGCGATTTAGGATTGTGCATATCACTATTTCATGCTGTTAGACAGAGAACAACTGTAGCTTTTAGCACCACCAAAGTAAACGTGGTGTTGCGCACGCAACATCGTGGGGTTGGGAAGAGGGTGGCGTGTAATTTTAAAGGTCGCAGCGGTTGCAGAGAGTGCAAGGAAGTAGCACAGTGGTAGCCCGAGACATCTGGATTTTGAAAAAACACCAGCTAGGCTGTCTGAAGATAAGGCGGATATATCTGATTCCCGTTTGGAGAATAACAACCCATGGGGATATAAACATATACACTACTCGTCCTTTATCGCCAAAGACTTTCGCAGATATATCTGTTACCCGTCCGTGAAGGGTTAATAATAGAGAATTACATGTATGTTAGCGGATTACAATAACAGAGGCGAAGTATTCACATTAAGAAGACTGTAGGGAAAAAACTCTGTCAATAATAACACTCAAGCTCTCTTGTACGTAGAGCTTTTTTAATAGCTCGAGTTGTTTTTGTATTGACACGTTTCAGTTTCCACAATTTACTTATTATAAAATTGGATTAATTGACTTCTTAGGACTTTGATTGGGAGGTTGATAAAAGATTCCCTCAGTCATCAATATGAGTTGTCAACAATAATTCAGTCAGTTGATACTTGTCTAATTGATATTGTAAACCGCATGCATTTGATCCAAAGTAGAATATTTTTAGAACATCCTAGTTCTCAAGCATATTATAGAAGTAGGAAGGGAATTCTAATATAAAAAAAAATACTGAGGGGGACATGAAAGACAATGAAAGATAACAGCCCCTGTAACTGGAAGTAAGGCTGTAATGTGGGTAGATATATTTGGGGCCATGATGCTATCTTACTCATATCTAGAAATCCACATAAAATATGTCTCGGGGGGGGGGGGATTTATAATTTTAGAATATTGTGTTTATTTACACTCTCTCCGCATAACTTTTTGTACACACATTTTTGCAATACTCTTACTTTTTTTATTAGTTACCAACATACTAAGCTATTGTATTAAAGGTAAATAACCATAAGCATATCTGGCTAGATGATCTAAGGTAAAAACTAAAATTAAAAGTATATTGCACAGTTTAAGTACTCCTTTGATGTGCTTTTAGTAAACTGCCCTGGCTATAACCAGCTGATGCCATTAGCAAAACAGAATATTACTTAAACCATTGAATTTTGGAAACAGAAGCAGACATCCCAAATTGACCAACTGTAGCTATTTTTTCATATAAAAAGAATGTAGTTAAATGAACTAGTCTGCACACAGAGTGTTTCACAGTAAAAGCTATGTATTGTTTGTCAAAAGGGTTTGGCACTATAATATTTTATGTAACGATTCTGTAGTTAACAAGAAACTGTTCTTTCAGTTTGACTTGATAAAAAAATTGGTGTGTTCAAGAGAAATCAATATAATTTGCGTCAGCACACTATGTCAGTGCTCAATTCAACCATTTTATATTTATCAAAATAAGAAGGTTACAATAGCTGCAGACTGCCTATAGTGGTCCTCGATCATTGACGATCTTTTGTGACTGTGACGTGACATCATGAGTTGAAAAACTTCAAGTTTTGTAAAAAAGGATGTGATGATGGTATAACAATATACACAGAATCCTGTTGGATGTTCGAGGACCACTATAAATTGAATTGTCGTACAGGAAAAATCCTCAAAAATTCTACAATAGTCGGGGCTACGGCCAACTAGAGCATTGAAAGGTCCCCTCAAATCCATCCATCACTGGGGATTTCCATTTTTTGCATGACTTTCAATGACCAAATTTTTTTCCATGACATTTCAGAATGTGGACACCCTGCTGGAATGTGGACACCCTGTATCAGTCAAAAATGTTTTTTTGTTGTTTTAATTAAATACCCCCGCCGCAGCAAACCTGCAGACTATGCGAATTTCCATTTGATTTACACTGAAATGTCTACTTAAAAATATAACATTTATTCCCGATTTAAATAGAATTAGTTTAACAAGTACTTACGTTTGCTGCATCAGGGAGGTAAAACTGTTTTTTTTTATGTTAATAGTTAGTAAGAAATAAAAACATTTTTCAAATTTGATCAAGATATGTTCATAAACAAGCAAACTACAACAGTTTACTTATTCTCCATAAGAATAACATGGGAATTTTAAATTTACAATTTTTTGGAATTTTCTCCGTAACCATTAGGCACATAATAACGCTTTAATATACTAAATTATTTGTTTTTTTAAGCTCTACAAAATGGTTTGGAAAGAAATTGCTAAATTTTATGTTTTTTGGGTCAAAAATGTGAAAAACCTATTTTTACCCCATAAAACCCCCCGTAAACCCCCGTTCCCATGGTCCGATCATGCTGGATCGCGAACTCGTTCGAATAAACGTAGGTTTACACGTTTGTACCGAATTTCATCAAAATCGGATCATTTTTGCTCGAGTTATCGTGCTAACGGACACATATATATATATATATATAAATATATAAATATATAAATATATATATATATATAAATATATAAATATATAAATATATATATATATATGAATTTGAACGGATGGTGTTTTTGGTCTCTAGGGACCTCGAAACGAAAAAAAAAATCGGTCCCGCGTCCAGGTCTTACCATGAGTACTACGGTAATAGCTTATTCCCTATATGGGAAATTCGCTAAAAATTGGCTACAACTGGTCAATAAAGACAGTAGCGGTTCAAAAGGGAGGGAAGCTAGAGGGCATAAAGCCTCCCCCAATTTGACCCTGGAAAATTAAAAATTTAAACATCAACTTCAGCTAGGTTTCTGGACACAGCTATATACGGTACATTAAAAATGGCTTTAGAAAGTTACAAAACCCCTTTTAAAATACCAACATTTTCCAAGACACACTTGGCCCTTTCCAAGGTCCTAGAACCGTCACTGCAGATGAGATGTCCACTCCTATCTTAAAGTAGTAGGTAAGTCAATGGTCATAGGTAAGTTCAACGGTGTTAGGTTTACTGTTCATGAACAAATAAATATCTCAAATATGTTATAAGTTGAGTAAAAAAGTATACCTTACCCTAAAGGACATGGAAGGTATCGGAGGACATACCGTGTGGTAGCGGATATGTGTGGCTGTAGCTGAAACTCCTTCAGTCAACTGGACTGAGCCTATACTGCTAGAGTCCTCTTCAAACTCCGCTTGTTTATATCTTGTCATCTGCAAAGTTAAAATCTAGTTAGGGTTGATATCAGATGTCACATGAGGCATTCGGGGGTTCTAAAAAAAGCTGGATAAATATTACACCCTGGTGAAATGTGTAGCCGCCAAAAGAAAGTCATGTAGGCTCCTACAGTGAAAGAATGGAAAAACAAGCAGAACCCCCAGTGATTGTGACACAAAAGTGTAAAGCTATTCGGCATTCACCTAGACTGTAAGCTGGATTAGAACAGCCATATTGACTATGTTTGTAGCCGACTGGCAAGGGTTGTGCACTTACTTCGTAAGTTAAGGTACTGTGTACCAAAAGACTGGTTAAGGACTGTGTATGTGGCCTTTTTCCAGAGCATCATCACATATGGACTAAGACTTTGGGGTGCCGCTCCTGGAGTTGATAGGGTCCTACTTCTCCAAAAAAAGGCTATAAGAATAGTAGTAGGGGCCAAGCACCTGGATCACTGTGAGCCTATCTTTAAGGCTGAATCCCTCATGACAGTTTATAATCTTTTTATCTTTCAGACCCACATCAAAACTAAGGAGGAGGTGGGCGCTCTCGAGCTCAGGAGCAACATTTACTCGTACGATACGAGAAGTTAACAGGATGTAAATGTACCCTTTGTTAGGCTTAAAAATTACAAAGGAACTATGACATTGTAAGCCTTAAACTATTCAATATGTTCTCTTGTACAGCCCGGAACCTTCCAAGTAAACAATTCTAAAGGGGCGTGGAATGTCTCCTCCTGGCCAGCCCAATTGAAAGTATAGATGATTTTTTTAAACTGAAAAAAGAATATGTAAGTAGTAAGTACTTTTTTTACTGATGTTTTGCCGAGTGTGCTTTTGGTTTTCACTCTTTGCATGGCAAGTTTCAGGACGTTTTCATTTGTCACCTGACACATTTTCCTTTTCTGTATCATGTAATGTTGAAAGAACTGTTTTATTTTTTAATAATCTTTAATGTATATTTCATAATGTACTAGAATTAGACGTTTTCCAATGACTTGTGTACTTAAAGTTCTAAAGGAAATAAATGGATCTTATGTCTTATGCCAAAGACTATAACTAATAAAATGAGGTTAACAGTAACAAAAAAGGTATCTATGTAGGTATGAGTTTAGTTTTAGCTTGACTCACCAGCAAAGTACCTATATGTTTGCAAGCTAGGGCTCAGCCCGGCTTACTACTTAGACTTTTTTCTACACTAAGTAAACCTGCATATTGCAACCTTAGGCCAATAATTTGTCTCAAAGACCCGAGGAAATGCGATAATACAAACCGATAACTTGAATTTGATTTGACTTGGCTCATTTTCTTGTGAACCAAAACAACAAAACTAACTTCAACGCAAGTAAACAGAAACAAGCTCGAACTTGAACGACTGGCACTGGCGTGACGTTGACTACGTCTACCTACCTGCGCCCTGCAGAGTGCAGACGACGGCCGCCGTGCTGACTTTAGTCAGAGTCTGCAGAACAGACTTCAGCAAGAGCAAGAGAGGGAGCGTGAAATGATCCAAATCCAAGGATGATGGGACGGAGGGGGAATAGTCAAATTGCCAAATCAATCATTACTGCATAACTGCAATCAATTTTTTTATCAATTCCTCACCAGCACCGACTGAGCTTGGATCAAGAATTAGTTAATTTATTGTCTTTTGACTCATTGCCACTTTATGAGGTCATTGAGTTGAGAATTGGACACCTGTATGGTCAAAAGCAGAAGACGGAAGACGTAAACAAAGCTTCAAGTTCAACTTTTACGATTTCAATTAAGCTTAGTATGTAAACTACTCTGCTAAAATCGTAAAAACCATCTTTAGTTTTCTAGTTTTCAGATAAAATATAGATGGTTTATGATTTATCCAGATTTACACAAACATGGCCTGTATAGGGACACTAAAATGATAACAAGTTTTGTGATGAGTTATAGAGACTTACTAGTTGGTGTTAACTGATGCACCTTTGTCACTCTGCGTTGTGTCAGATAATACCTTTGACACTGTTTATACCACATCAGCAATGTTGTGATCCTAATTGTTGCAGCTTGTAGATCAGATAATGGTCTAGGGAATGTTTTTGAAAAGTTATATTTGTGTATGTTATAAAGGGTTGACTGTGATAATGCTATCAATGATAATCCTGTTACATTTTATTTATTGAATTTCCCTATAAGGAAGAAGCTATTACTGTACATGGCATGGAAATACATATCCCCCGGGACCGATCTACTTTTTCATTTTGATGTCCCAGAGGCTAAAACACTATAATTCATTCGAAATTTTATACAGGGTGTTTTTTTAAAAACTTGCATCTTTATTTATGTAAAAACCGCAATAGATAGAAATATGCAGTTTGCGGGAATCATCTATTGACGTAGGGGGACCAATTGTTTTGAATTCAACGTTACATTCACATTACCCCCCTTTCCCCCCCTGCCAACAACTTATTTTTTTTAAATAGCAAGGTACCCCTTGTGACATATCAAATAAAAGAGCATAAAAAAAGAAAATGTTTGATGAAAAAAATTGAAAATCGGTTCATAAATTTGTGAGATATTCCCCCCCTCACCCCCCCCCCGGAACTTAATTTTTTTTTTATAGCAAAGTACCCCTTGTGACATATCAAATGAAAGAGCATGAAAAAAGAAAATTTTTGGTGAAAAAAAATTTAAAATCGGCTCATGAATTTGTGAGATAATCACCCCCCTTTTCCCCTACCCATAACTTGTTTTTTAATAGCAAGGTACCCTCCCTTGTGACATATCAAATGAAAAATAAATTTCGCCAAAATTTTTCTTTTTTCATGCTCTTTCATTTGATATGTCACAAGGGGTACTTTGCTATTAAAAAAAAAATAAGTTCCGGGGGGGGTGAGGGGGGAAATATCTCACAAATTTATGAACCGATTTTCAATTTTTTTTCATCAAAAATTTTCTTTTTTCATGCTCTTTTATTTGATATGTCACAAGGGGTACCTTGCTATTTAAAAAAATTAAGTTGGGGGCAGGGGGGGAAAGGGGGGAATGTGAATGTAACGTTGAATTCAAAAAAATTGGACCCCCTACGTCAATAGATGATTCCCGCAAACTGCATATTTCTATCTATTGCGGTTTTTACATAAATAAAGATGCAAGTTTTAAAAAAAAACACTCTGTATATGTAGGGCCGTGAACACGATAACTCGAGTAATTTTTGCCCGGTTTTTATGCATGTGTAGAGCTAGATGGATAATCTTGACCGAGTTCGGGAATCTGCAAGATCGGATCACGGGAACGGGTTGTTTTGACTTTTGAGTATGTGGAAAACAGAAGCAGGATTGTAGAAGATAAGCTTCACTCGCTCCGCTCAACTATTAAACTAAGTAGAGAATTCACAAACGATACAATTTTACCAAGTTGTCTTTCACCAATTGTTGAGCCCATTGTTGAAAGTCCTTTTTAAATTAGAAATTTGTTTGGGTGTTATCTGATGGAACTGCTTTTGTTCCCACCACGATGAAAGTGTCATTTATTTAAGATGTTTCTTTGAAAATGTTTTTATCAATAACAACTATATTATAAAACGCAAAACCGGTTAAACATAATAGAAGTAAAATAATGTATTTGTTTAGTAAACTATAGCGTAAATTTATGCATTTTTATCTGTTATTCTTCATACATTTTCCTGTTAATTATCTATTTATTGAATTATATAACTGCATATTTATTTATTAATTTAAGATTATAAGTATCGTAATCATTTTTGAAATGGTCTTTGGCCGTTGGAATGTAAATAAAATAAATAAACATTGAAATGTATATACACATTGACTGCAGTACAACATTAAGAATTGCAAAGCCAACCAAGTATTGATGGAGCAGTGCTGCCAACTAAGCAGATTTACGACTCATTAACTGTTGGATCAGATCCAAACAACAGTTGGTTGCACTGCATTGCCTCTTCAGCTTTTATACCATAGAAATCAGTTTCATTTATGGATATACTCGTATGTACATTTTTATATGATCTATTTTATTAGTTTCTAAAGTTTAGGAAATTGTTTAAGGGTATGTTTAAATCAATGTGCTTCCTCTTAGGCGGACATAAAATGACACATGTTGTGACTCTATATAATTTTAAAGCTTAAAATGCAGAGTTTTTGTACTGTTAAAAAGTTTTAAAAATGACCTATAAAAAATTATAAAGTAGGCTCAGTTGTGGTGCCTTTTTTATTTCTTTTTCACAATTCGTTATTCAAGTAGAATTTACAAGGTTTAAAATAGATCCGACTGAAACAAACTTAACCATTCCTGATAAAAAATGTAATACAAATTCTTAAAAGACATTGGAAATATCATTGTTAGCTAATAAAAGTTTAAATGCCCCCGCCGCAGCAAACCTGTAGACTAAGTGAATTTCAACTTATCAACTTGTCTGATTAAATTTTTACTAAAATATTTCCATAAATAAGACATATTTTTATTCCCAATTTAAATAACATTAGATTTAAAGAGTGCTTAGGTTTGCTGCTACGGGGAGGGTAAAAAGTGTTTTTGACCATACATCAATAGTATAGGATGAAATAAATAAATTCGCCAAATTTTATCAACATATATCCATTAACAAGTTAACTACAACAGTTTTCATTTTCTCCATAAGAATAACATGGGAATTTTAAATTACACTACATGTAAACATTGTGAGTATTCTCATTGCAGCAATGGAGACCAATCAATATTTACTTTTAAAATCCTCACCTCAGAACTTTTAAAGCCAAACAAAGCCCACATAGGGGTTTCCTATGTAGAATAAATAGAATGTTGTACTGTACTTTGCTTGTTCAGAGATAAATTTGGATATACCAATTTATTGATTCATACTATCCCAGATAGCAACAGTCCTTGATTCAAGGGCAACATCGTTCTTCAATTTTGCTTAAAAATTAAAGTTGATATTTTTGGCCTGATTCAGGACTGTTCCAAGGACAGCGAATCGTGTTTGGTACTCCGGCTCCTGTTTATTG